ACAATAATACCCCTCAGCTTACCACACAAGAGAACACACGTGTAACAAAATTCATCTCATCATCACCGTTTAAAAAATATAACAAACGGCCCAGATTGTAACTCACAAACACACCTAAATATGGGGGGTGCATCAGATCCAAAATCTCCAAACCAAACATACGTGATTTTAAATATATGGGTGAGAAAATGCCAAAATGATTTTGGTATGTAAGCATAATTAGAGGCTTAATTTTCCCCAGCCACTCTTTCTCCGTGACTTTCTCATATTTGTATGGAGTGTGTTAATTTGAGATCCGAGAGAGGGATATATAAATAAGAGGGGTGTTAGCCATTTTTAAAATGAGAAAGGCAATCCAAGAAAGCATTTAATTTTACAGAATAAAAGAAAGAGAGTAATAAAGAAGAGAAGGAAATGGGGTTTAGAATATGCTCCGTTTTGCTTGTCTTCTTCTTTCTTCTTGGCATTGCCACCTCCTCACTCCTTCATTGTATGCAATATTATCTCATTTCATATATTTAATTTGCCTTATTTTTCTGCATATTATTATATATATTCCGTTCCACGATCTATCCATGCATGCATGCATGCATTTGAAACATTATTTTTCTTTGTTTTTGATGCACAAATTACAGATGATACACCGGAGACTCCAGCAGAAAAAGGGCGTTCCCTTCTTCAGACAAAGAGTAATAAAGAAGAGGAAAAGAGAAAAAAAGAAGAAGAGGAAAAGAGTAAGTGGCTTAAATTTATTTAGATTATATTGCTTATATATATAATGCAATTATTATCATAAATAATATAATTTTGATGATTTTGCCTATAGAGTGTGCATTCGTGAACAGGGACGGAGCCAGAAAATATGTTGAGGGGGGGCAAAGAAGTAAGGATGGATTCAATGGCGGATTCAGAAATTTTATTTAGTGAGGAAAAAAAAATTAAAATAGAAGAGAAAGTTTTAAAACAATGAAATACTTAAAAAGTATAACAATAAATATTGTTAGATATAGCGAAAAATAAAACATATTAGAACTTTATAAAAATATTTATAACAAAATATGAAACATAATTAATTTGATAAAATAATTCGAATATAAAACACATTATAAATTACACATTCCATTATTAATATAAAGAAAATTATAATGGAAGTTATATATATCATGCCAAAATTTAATTGTGTTAATCAAAAAAGTGAAGAAGACTGTGACATTGTCAATGCAAAGACTCAAACCCAGGCCATTCCAAAACTCATACACGTTAGCTACCACCTTGTCTATCACAACTTTTATTTACATAATCTGTTTTATAATATTTATATGAATAATGTACTATATATACATATTATATACAATATAGGGTAGGGGAGGGGTGGGGTGGGGTGAGGGGGGGCAGCTGACCCCCCTGCCCCCCCTCTGGCTCCGTCTATGTTCGTGAACAACTTTAATTACACAATAGTTACGAGCCAGTGCAAAAGACAACCCGTTTACTTCCCCATCAAGACATGCTGCAAATCACTTAAGCAATTAACCTGCAAATATCGGGATCAACTTAACGAGAATCCCAATTGCGGCTTCTACATGTTCCAAAATCTCCGTAACCAGGGCAAGTATCCTCCTACGACTTTCTTGCAGAGCTGTGAACAATTTGAAGGCAAGAAGGACCTTGACTGTTTTGGATATTAATATATATATATATATATATATATATATATATATATATATATATGAAAGAAGAAAATGCTGCCAAAATAGGACCTTGATTGCATACAAAACTTGTACTATATAAAATTGTACGTGTTTCCACTGGCTTAATTATAACCTACTTCTCCAATGCCTTCATATTTCTTGTCTCTCATAATGGATACTTGAAATAAAATATAGGTTATTTATTTAATTAATTAAGAATCAAGATAACATTGATAGTTGAGTACACAAAACTCTACGATTTGATTTTTTAAGAGAATGGGGATAGCAGTTCCATGCGGAATATACTGGAATAAGAAGTAAGAAATAGAACATGAATTGTATTCTATAAGTAAATGGAATATAAAGACATAAATATTTCTATACAGAACACTAGTAAATTACACATGCGATAATTGCTCAAACAGTACTGTAAGTGTTTATTTCATTGGAGAATTATGGTAAGGTAAAAATATGATATTAGTCGTGAAATCAATTAGATCTAAATTATATTAGGAAAAATATAAAAATGGGTAAATAAAGGTATTAAAAAAAAGGCCTAATAATTATAGTACATTAATGTCCAAAAAAAAAAATTAATCTTGAATTATTATAATTATAATTATAATAATAATATACTTGTATAAGTATATATATACTTTGGAAGCAGAGACGATGCTCGTGAAAAATGGGGCTCAAATTAATGAATTTTTTTGTACAAAAACAAAAAAAAAAACAAAAAACAAAAAAAAACAAAAAAAAAAAAAACAAAAACAACCCTTCTCAAATGCCATCCATCTCCTTCATGTTTATTCCAAAAGATAAAAACGTAACTCTACTATTTGTTATTATATTGCTATCATAATTTTTATCTTTTCAATTAGATCATTTTGAACTTGGAACCAAAATTGAAAAAATCCACAAACACCTTAAGAAAGAAAACCACGCATCTAATTAAAGCTTTAGTGTATATATATATATATATATATATATATATATATATATATATATATATATATATGTTCAAATACGAACGGTGCGCCCGAGTGCGTGAGATGAGAGTGATCTTACCTAAATCAACGTCTAGGATTAATAACGATTAGAAAAATGTTAAAAGACAATTTGGTCTTTTGTCAAATTTAAGGTGTGTGCTTATGGTATGTATGTATGACCATAAAATTACCATAATAATTATACGATGGGAATGAGAATAAAAATTAGGCAATTATATTGTACCATTAAGGTAAGTATAATTTATTTTTTACCAATAATATTATATATATATATATATATATATATATATATATATATATCAATAATAATAGTAACAATAATAATAATAATAATCTTATTATTATTGTATAAGATTTTTAAATAATATTATTCTATAGCAACTATAATATTGTAAAAAAAAAAAATTAAAAAAATCATGATATGTAAGTTATAAAACAAAATATTTATATAAATAACAAAAAAAATTCCTAACTAATTTCAATAATCCACAATTAACAATAATTCCTAAAAATACACAATAATTCAAAACTATATGTTTTGAATAACTCATATAATAATACTAAAGTCAGGGCTGAATTTTTGACTGTGCAAGCTGGGCTACCGCATAAGGAGCGTTATGCTGTGCATCCGTATGCACCATGCATGGTGCATACGGATGCAAAAACGACGTCGTTTTGGTGTCTAACTTTAAAAAAAAAAAATCAGAATTACATAACTACACATCCATAATTTCACTACACTTCCAGAATTGCATAACTACACTTCCAGAATTGCATAACTATAATTCCAGAATTGCATAACTACACATCCATAACTTCATAACTACACTTCCAGAGTTGCATAACTACACTTCTAGAATTGCATAACTACACTTCCAGAATTTCATAACTAAAAAATCCAAAATGAATGAACTAAAAATGAATAACATAATGTTATTGCTGGGAATCGAAACTGATTTTTTTTTTTAAGTAGGGCGCGCGTTTTATGCAAAACGACGTCGTTTTTACATCCGTATGCACCATGCATGGTGCATACGGACGGATGCACAACATAATTTGCCACCGCACAAGGTCCAAAATTTTAGAGGTCCAATATTTTATTTTTACCTAGCTAATTTAGAAATAAAAACTAAAAGTTTTCGCTTAAACATAAAAGGTTACATAAAGAAATGGTAGGAATATGTGTTTATTGTATTTTAATTTCAATTTTAACTTGGAGGTCTAAAGTTCAAAACTTGCATGTTGCTCTAGCTTTGGACATTTTTATTTTATTTTAATCCTTTTATATTGCGAGTTTGAGCACACTATTATTGTTATTGTTATAATTGTAATTGTAATTTATTCTATAATATGTCTTTTGACTTTTTCTTTGCGCACAATAATATTTTACCACCTTATTATTATTATTATTATTATTATTATTATTATTATTATTATTATTATTATTATTATTATTATTATTATTATTATTATTATTATTATTATTATTATTACGGTATTAGTTTTAAAGATTGTGATTTTGGTAGGGCCTCGTTTATTTACCGAACAGAACCACAAAAATTTAAAAATCGGTCCTACCTAAAGCTAACAATCACTTAAAATTTAAAAATAAATTAAATTAATTATTTTCAATTCAAAAAATAAAAAATTAAAATAATATTTCAAATAAATTTAAAAACTCACAATAAGAAGGATGTGGTGGCGGCGGCAACAATGGTGGAAGACAACGATGGCAGTGAGGAGGAGAAGAAGAAGAAGAAGGCGGTGGTGGTAGAGTGGTGGATGACAACGGTGGTGATGGCGGTGAAAATGAAGAAGAAGAAAATTACGCACTCAAAAAAGGAAAATTATGCACTCAAAGAAGAAAAAATGTGCACTCGAAGAAGGGAAATTATGCACTCGAAGTAAAAAAAAAAATATTGACTTACATTAATTTACCAAACAGACTCCGCATTTTTTTTCCCCCAAATTTCACTCATTCCGTACGTACGGTTGATATAGATTTAGTCAATGGTTAATATCTCACTCTATTTTTCATATATATATATATATATATATATATATATATATTTATTTATTTATTTATTTATTTATTTATTGATAGGGATATTAAATATATGGGTCAAAAATGCCAAAATGATTTTGGTATATACATAAACATAATTAGAGGCTAGGATAGGTTTAATTTTCCCCATCCATTCTTTCTCCGTGGTTTTCTCATATTTGTATGGAGTGTGTTAATTTGAGATCTGAGAGAGCGATATATAAATAAGAGGGGTGTTAGCCATTTTGAAATGAGAAAAGGCAATCCAAGAAAGCATTTAACTTTTCCAGAATAAAAGAAAGAGAAGAGTAATAAAGAAGAGAAGGAAATGGGGTTCAAAATATGCTTCGTTTTGCTTCTCTTCTTCTTTCTTCTTGGCATTGCCACTTCGTCATTCCTTGATTGTATGTAGTATCTCATTTAATTTTCATGCATATATTTAATTTGCTTTATTTTTCTGCATATTATATATGTTCCGTTCCACGATCTATCCATGCATGCATGCATTTGAAACATTATTTTTCTTTGTTTTTGATGCACAAACTACAGATGATACGCCTAAGACTTCGGTAGAAAAAGGGCGTTCCCTTCTTCTGAAAAACAGTTATGAAGAAGCGAAACAGATGTATTTTGAAGACAAAAAGCGTAAGTATATATATATATAATGCAAATCAATTGATTTGATCTATTATTGACCTAAATAATATAATGTTGATGATTTTACCTACAGAGTGTGCATTCGTGAACAACATGAACTACACAATAGTTACGAGCCAGTGCACAAGACAACCCCTTTCCTACCCCGTCGCGACATGCTGCAAATCACTTAAGCGATTAATGTGCAAATATAGGGATCAACTTAACCCGAATCCCAAATGCGCCTTCTTCATGTTCGAAAATCTCCATAACAAAGGCAAGTATCCTCCTACGATTCTCAAGTACCTCTGTGAACAATTTGAAGGCAAGAAGAAGGACCTCGACTGTTTTGGATATTAATTAATATATATGAAACAAAATGCAGCAAAACTTGTACAAAATTTGGAATATATAAAATTATAAATGCCTGCCCAAGATTTGGATTGCATACAAAACGTGTACTATATAAAATTGTACGTGTTTTCACTGGCTGTATTGTAACTTACTTCTCCAATGCCTTCATATTTCCTGCCTCTTATAGTGGATAATCAAATAAAATATAGGTTATTTAATTAAGAATCAAGGTATAACATTGATAGTTGACACTTTGTTCGCTGCTAATATTGATGCACAAAACTCTTACAACAAGTTAAGGTTCCCAAAATGATTTTTTAAGGGAATAATATAAGAATCCATTTAATGGGAATATAATGGAATAAGAAATAGAACATATGCCGCTAGATGCGAGCCTTTACTACGGTCTTTACAGGAGAATTCTTTCAATATTCAATAAAGGAATGTTCCGAATTTTCCAGTTGACCAGTTTCGAGAGACTATCCAATTGCAAAACAAAAGGAATGGTTGGTTGATAACTGATTGGGCCTGTGTGGTATACTTCTCCTCAAACAAAATATTTATATAAATAACAAAAAAAAAATCTTAACTAATTTCAGTAATCCACAATTAACAATAATTCCTAAAAATACACAATAATTCAAAACTAACTTTGAGAATAACTCATAATAATACCTAAAATTAACAATCACTTAAAATTAAAAAAAAAATTCAAAATCAATTAACATAATTATTTTAAATTAAAAAAAAATCAAAAATTAAAAGAAACTCACAATGAAGAAGGATGGTGGTGGTGGCGGCAGTAATGTTGGGGTGGCAACGTAACAGTGGTGGACGACAACGGTGGTAGTAAGGGGAGAAGAAGAAGAAGGCAGCAGTGGTACGGCAACAAAACGATGTTGGTTTTCATTACATTCTAAAAATTTGCGCCTTCCTGTGCGGTCCGTGGGCGCTGTTTGATAAAATTTATGTAAGTCAATGTATTTTATCAATCAGGCCCCTTTTTCTCCAAATTTCACTCATTCCGGACAAATGATCTTGATTTAATCAATGGTGGAAATCTTAGCCTATTTTTCACCTAGGGAAGCATTCACATTTGATATATATATATATATATATATATATATATATATATATATATATATATATATATATATATATATATATATATATAGACACACACGCGACATCGATTTTGCAAAAAAAAAAAAAAAAAAAAATCTGACACGTATGTAATATTATTTTTTTAAATTTTTTTTACATCGATTCGATTTACTTATAAAACATACATTATATTCTTATAAAAGAGTTCTACTACATGCACTCTTTATTTCTTATGTACTCTTTCACTTTTACTCTATGTGACAATTGATAATTAATCATCTTTATCTTGTGAATCCTAATGAAAATATCTAATTAACATCAAAATTTCGTGTGAGAGAGTAAAAGGTAATTGAGTGTAGAATTTAAGATGAGAGTAGTATTTTCCCTTACACATTAAAATTCGCAATTCTATTGTTGTTGGGTTTGAAAAGGCCAAGCCGCCACGGCTAAGCTTAGCTTGTTCGTAGAAATTACAGAATTGGAAAATTTCACTAATGTAAAATGTTGTGTTAGTTGCAAATTATAATTTCCCGAATGTCGCTTGATCGCACGCGTGGGGCCATACTGTTGAGGCATTTTACTGTGAGTGTTGACGACAGAAATAGTTGAGAAGTACAGTTCATAAAAACATTTTTCTCCTTTGAAACTGTTCATAAAAGCATTTTAAACTATGACTTATGTTATACTTACAAAAAAACCTATGACTTATGTTATGAAACAATGGGCGGATTCCAGGTGGGGACAATAACGACAGTTGCCCTCTTCCCCCACCTATTGGCTCCAATATATAGAGGCATAGTTTCTCCCTTCCACCGTACCCTTTAGATATGGAGGACCCTTAAATAAATAAATAAATAAAAAAAAAAAAAAAAAAAAATATATATATATATATATATATATATAAGAAAACTTTTTAGGTGAGAACGTGAAAACAAATTTTGTGCATCAATCTAATTACTTTTAATAGTCTAGATTAAGTGTGTGCAAACACGGATTAAATGTGTACAAATACGATTGATCTAGATTAGTCTAGGTGACATTGTGAGATCGAATCTTGTGCATCAATCTAATAAATTTAATGGTCTAGATTGATCTAGATTAAGTGTGTGCGAATGAGATTAAATGTGTGCGAACGCGATTAAGTGTGTGTGAACGTGATTGCTCTAGATTGATTTAGATCATTAAATAATATTAGATGGATGCACACGATTTGTTCTCCATGTTCTCACCTAAGCAAGTGTTCTCATTGGATCCCTCCTATATATATATATATATATATATATATATATATATATATATATATATATATATATATATATATGGTTGACGATGTGTCCATTGATCTTGCTTAAATCAACATCCAAGATTACTAAAATTTAAAAAAAAAATGCGGTGAGCAATTTGGTAATTTTTGTATTTAGGTCAAATTTATGGTGCGTGGGCTTTGTGCTTAAGGTGCGTGGGTTTTGTACTTAACATCCAAGAACTCACCTTTATTATATAAGTTTTAGAAGATTCAAAATTTCGGGGTGTTACAGAGGCAAAGTGGCACAGCCGGAGCAAAAGTGGGAGAAGAAGACGAGTCGAGACCAAGCCACGAAGGCTACAACGCGCGTTGCAACGTGCGTTGTGGAGAGGCAAAAATCAGAGCTGATTTCTAGAAAGTTCAACACGTATCGCAACGTGCGTTGTGACGCGCATTGGACGGAATAAGTCCCCGGACAACGTGCGTTGCCCGGGGCGTTGAAGGCTGCGTGGAAGAGCTGCGAAAGGGATTGAAAGGGGGGGGGGGGGTATTTAAGAGGTTTTAGATCAGAATTTTAGGAGACTTTCTTTTATATTTTTACAATTTTTAGATAGAGGAAGAGGCTAGGCATTTTGTAGTGATAGAAAACACTCTAGTTTGTAGATCTATGCTTGGATTGCTTGGGAGATTCATTGAAGGAAGAGATTAACAACCTCCAATTCAAGAGATCTTGCAAGACTTCTTATTTTTTAATATACTTGTTTGGTATAATTTCTACTCTTTCATTTCTATTGCTTTGATTAGATTTTGATTCATGAATACTTTTATGTTTCTTATGGATATTGTAGGCTAGATTAACTAGGGTTTGAATTGTGAAAGTGTGAGATTATGATGCCAATGTGACTTAGTTCTTTAATTAGGGATTGATTGATTGCTATCCGGGATTCATCCCAACACACAATCTTCTTGGCACCACACACCAAAACGTGCTGACAGTGGGCCCTATTGGTTTTACGGCCTAGAGGTAGCCGTTCGGCGGGCCAACACAACCGTAAAATATTAGGATTTTGATGAAAAACAAAAGAAAGATCGGCTCAAAAAGAGTTGGGCAGCGTAACGAGATTTTATTGAGTAGTCAAAAATTCGATCCTTTACATGGTGACCCTGTGGGGGTATTTATACAAAGGGAATAAACTTCCTACAAGGAAAGTAAGGTAAAGATGAAGTTGGATCTGCTAGGAGATCCACCGTAATCATTGCAATAAATGCTTAGACTAATAAAGGAAGCTGATGGATAAATAAGGAAAGGAATCTCCGTAGAAGCTGCCGCTCACCATCTCTGGGCTCACACTCGGTCGGGGATATATCGGCTGCCTGATGAGGTAGCCCAGCTAGGGAGGTTGTGGCACTCAGGCAAGGACGCACGGACCACTGAACCTGATTGCCCGTCCAAGTCCTCAGAGGGAACCCGGGCGAGGACATGCCGCCTACTAGGCTTGGTCGCCTGACCAAGGCCAAAGGGTCGGAGTTGACTGCCCTTTCATTCTTACTAGACTGGGTGCCCGATTTAGGGTATCTTTCAGGCCCTACTTGGTGTGAGAAATGAGCTGTCATCTCGCGTGTTAACTACACAAATATGCGCCTAGTCTGGTGCGTGCACTACCTTTTGTCATTTTTTAATTTTTTCGGCTGACACATTTATCAGCCTTATTTTTTGTTTTTTTTTTTAATTTCTTTTTCTCCTCTTTCCTACTTGGCACATGTAATAAAACTCCACATAAAACCTCATCTATTGAGAGCATCCTCAATTGTTATGTTTTTTGGGGGGGTGGGTTTTGTAGGTATAGCTAGAAAAGAGAAAAATGAAGGGGGAAAAAAAGAAAAAAAAAAAAAAAAGATAAAGGAAAAAAAATTGAAAACAATTTTTCTTTTTTTTAAAAAAAAAAAAATGACAGTTGAATGCGCCGGCTGGGCGCTAAATGTGCACCAAACACGCAAAAATTGAGTATTATTCTTTTATTTATCTCTCTTGTAAGACCCAAAATTTTTTTTTGATCTTGCAAGAAAAAGAACTTAGAAAAAATCATTTGCCCCATTTGTTTAAAAACCATTGAATGGAGTTTTGACCTAAAAAACTAGAGTAAAATTCACAAATATAGATGCTTTGAGGATGCTCTAAGTTGAAGGGATGCTTTTTTCACCGTGTGCTGTGGTGTGCATGCACTTTTGCTTGCCCTTTGATTGACAGCTGTGCCCCCTGCCCCCTATTGGACCGCTATCTTGTCTTATACGGCTGTACAACTTAATTCAACTACCTGGAAAATACCTTTGTAAAAAACTACCTGGAAAATGATAAATTAATGTATTTCGTTAGTTATGTCGGGAAATGCAAAGTACATACATATATATACTTCTCGAAACAAAGAAACAGCAAGCAAACAAAACAGCTTCATTCTAAGCACGCAGATCAGATGAACTCCTGCAACCCAGACGGTGATGCATGATGAGAGCTCCACCACCCATTGCCGCCGCAGCAGGGAGGTTTCTCCATGAGATTGACAGAGAATACGGCGGCGAGCTTTTCCGACATGATGATCACGTCATCATCAATATCAATGAAGAAGGAGGGGAGGAGTGGGAAGTTGGAGGAGGTGGTGGTGATGACGACATTATTAATAATATTCCTAGACTCGTGTCTATCGGCCCTAACCATTATGGAAATCCCAGCCTTTCAAAAATGGAAACTCACAAAACAAACCTTCTTCATCTTCAATCCAGGAAATGGAATTCCCACATGGAACCATCCCTCAGAATGGCTTTGCAAGGACTGGAAGGGAGGGCTAGGAATTGCTATCCTCCTCATATTTCCAACCATCTGGATAGGGATACATTCGTGAACATGATGCTCATAGACTCCTTCTTCCTCATCAACCTCTTCATGGATTATGCCAAATTTTGCAAGGTACCCATACTAACTTACACATACATCACTACAGATGTCAATCGGGTCAATCCGTTCAGTTTCAAACTAGTCCTATCGATATGTCATACTTATTACTAATACGTTTGTTTTGTCTAGTAGAGTTTAAAACTTTTTGCCCTAACTAATCCTAAAAGTTCAAAATCCACTACTGGAAATTATGGAATTTCCGACCACCTGATCTTAAATCAAGTTGAAAGCAAAAAGTGGTCGGAAATAGCAATAAAGGTTTTTCCGGATACCTAAAGTGGTCGGAACAAAGCGTTCGACTTGATTTAAGATTACTTTCATGTAATCCAAAATTTCATAATTTCCAGTAGTGATCAGAGTAGCTCAACTAATCGAAATTGTTTTCTGTTTTCTTAAACCAATGCATTTAAACTAATAAAGTATTGATACCAAAACCTTTAATTAATTTGATAATATAATGTCTGCAGGGTGGTGACGGAGGATTACTCAACAACAATGGTGTTTTCAGAGGGCGTAGGGTGCTGCCAAAAATTTCCCAAGATTTACTAATGCTAAAGAATCAACTCCCATTTTTCATTCTTGCCAAAGTTTATGTTATACTCACCAATAACCAATCTTCACCAGATTCTTTGAAGAAGTTGGCGCTTCAATTCTTCAAACAATTAGTCCCTTTTGGGAAAGTGGCAATAATAATGGCAGATAATAATGATGACAGTTCTAGCCCAAAAACCCCCAAACATTTACTGGATCTGTTTCACAGCAGTTTTGCTAATGTGGGCAGACAAGAACACAACATAACATCATCATCATCATCGAAACATAAAATGGAAGAAACAACTAAGTTTTGGGTAAACAGTGCTTCGACACTAAGGTCTAATGGGGTTACATTTGCTGGAACCAAATCTGGGAAGCCACTGGACATTCAGTTTAGCAGCTGGCTAGGAGAGCTGAGAATTCCAACGTTTTGTATTGACGACAAAAACATCATCGTCCTCAAGAATTTGTTGGCATACGAGCAAAGCTCACGTGAAGTGAAGCCCTATTTCACTTGCCTAGCAGTGTTCTTCTCCAACATCGCCGCCACAAAGGGCGACGTCAAGATTCTGAGGGAGGCAGGGATCATCCGACACCATCTTGGTAACGATGAAAAGGTTGTCGGTCTCTTCCATGAACTCTACAACACCATTGAGTGCAGCTCAAGGGACGATTGCCTGATCAAATGTCAACTTCACCGTATCAACAGATATGTGACATCTGTTCCATGCAAGTTTATCAGTTACCCCAAGAGAATACTAGCCAACCCGGTCCATTTGGTTGTGTTTTTTGTTGCCCTACTTTTTTCTTTACCACCTGATACCTTTGAACATTCCAAAATTAGAGTCTAGTCTAGGCATGTGCTACCAAATAGGGAAATTGTTGTATGTGAAATGTGCGGTAGCAAAAATCAATTTTGTTATGAGAATCGTGTTTAGTTTCACCCACTGGGTCACTCTTTTCGGTACTGTCTTAAATAATTGCGTTTAAGATTGTAACAACCCTGTCCACTTGGTTGTGTTATTTGTTGCCCTACTCTTAGAGAATTTTTAAATAAATTTGGGAAGCAAATTAAGCTATCTTAAATAAGTGCATAAAAGATCAAGTTGGATATTATTAATTTAATTGTGCAGTTCAAATGATATTGAAAGTTAAGAAATTGCATTTTTTCTGTTGATAAAAAACTTGTGTGAGACTGTATCACGGATTATTGTCCATGAGACAGGTCGGATCAAAATGAAATGCAATATTTAGTATTATATTTGCTAGTATAAGTATTACATTATTTGCATATTGATCTTACCTGTCTTACGAATAAAGATCCGTGAGACGGTCTCACACAAGTGTGATCCTTTCTGTTTGGTTGTTTGTAATAATAATAATAATAATAATAATAATAATAATAATAATAATATATAGTGATGGTGGTGGTATTGTGATGTTGATGGCGTGGTAGTGGTGGTGTTGGAATGGGGCAGGCTGTTGTATTCGAGTACTATATAAACAACCTCCCCATTTGCTCAAAATCATCAATAAGTTCTCTCTCGCTTCGCAAATTCTCTAATCTCCTCTCTTCTGTCTGAGCATTGAGTTAGTAAGGTTCTACTTGCGTTTTATAAATATACACATGTATATTTGATTATATAAACATATACATTATTATTATTATTATTATTATTATTATTATTATTATTATTATTATAAGGATTAGTTAACAAGGGCAAAGTTGGAATAATTTAAGGTAATCTAAGATTACCTAAAAAAAATGGGGGTAATCACATTACCTTGAAACATTACCGCCACATCAGCTTTCAGGTAATATAACATTACCTGGTAATCTCATAACTTGAACCAAACAAGGTAATATAATATTACCAGACTCAAATTACCTAGGTAATCTAAGATGATCTGAACCAAACGCCCCCTTAGTATATAAATGGTACCAACCGCTCTGGCCATTTTCTGATTCAAAACAGTTAAAACAAAAGCCCTAAGAGCATCCTTATCAGTGGGGATATTAGTGGGGAGAATGTAAGAGTGATTAGGAAAGAGAAGGTGGGAGGGGAGAGAAAAAAAAAAGGAATATTGAATTTTAAAAAAAAAATACTTTATGGATGTCAGGCGCGCTTGACGCGCCCAGCGCGTGCAGTGCACGCGCCCGCTGGGCGCAATGATGATAGCCACGCGTGGCTGTTACCAAGGGTGTAAATATTGGTGGTCCCGCTAATTCAAAATTATTTCAACTCTTGCAGGAGAATTTTTTTAAAAGGCACAAGTGTCAAATATGCCCATTTACTACTTAGAAGTGCTCAATTCTCCCATCAACTAAAACATAATCTAATTGGACACACTTACCTCTAAAAATTTGTCGATTAGCTTTTTTTGCAGGTTACCTCCGAATTGCCCCTCCACACTGCTGACATGTAATTTTATTTAAATAAAAATTGGTGATGATGTGGAATTTACTTCCTAATCTCGTCGACAAAGCTCCACAGGTCCTCTCTCCCCGAACTTTGACGCCTTTCTTCGTGAAATTTTCCGTTCATTTATCTCATTGGAATGTTATCTTGTCTTGGTTTATTTGATGGAGTGATTGTGAATTACAGATTCCGGAGGATCATCGGCAATTTGCAGAGCAATAAAGTAAAGCTGCTTATGAGTATGTTCCGCATACCTAATCAAGAAGCTCCAGGGAGCTAGTGATTTGATTTTATCGGTAATTGGGAGAGGTTATGAAAAAAATGCATTTCGATTCAAGTCAAGATGTTTTCTTTATGCAGTTTTCGATAATACAAATATATACCGTTTTTGCAGTGTAACTGGCACACTAGCTAGTTGCTCAAAAAAATTGCATTTTTAAATTCATATTCTCATGATGATCCCTGTTAATTGAGGATTTTTCAGTGTAGCAAGCAGAGAAGCTCAAAGCTAGCTTGTAAGTAGGCAGGCAATATATCAATATCACTTTGATGTCCAATTGGGCTTAGATTTATTTTGTGAGTCACAGTTGTGTAGGGTATTAGAGGGGTAGTGACATATCTGCTTGTATCAGAACTCAGAAGTGTTGATGGTTGCATTAAGTGACTTGGTGGTGCCGGCGCCTTCGACTAGGGCACTATCGTCGAAGTTTTGCACTGTCGTCGAATTTGAATTACGGATGGGGTTAATTGTTTACCGAAGGGCTCTCACTAATTTTGTTGAAGGGCTCGTCGGTTTTTCAAAGGGCTCTCTCTATTTGTTTACGGATTGCCGGTTAATTTGAAAAGGGCTCGTCAGTTCTCAGAATTTAGGAATTAAAATTAAGGTTTCGAATTACATATTTAGGATGGGTTAATTTTGTTATTTAATTGTCATGTCATCATTGCCACAATCCGGAGGTAACTTGCACAAACAGCTAATTGACAAATTTTTAGAGATAAGTGTGTCCAATTACATTATGTTTTAGTTGATGGGGAAATTGAGCATTTCAGAGTAATAGATAAGCCTATATGACACTTGTGCCCTTTTTAAATTATTTCCTTTCCACACTAGCTTTACTCCTAGTTTTTTTATTCCTAGGGTTTTAGCTCCGATTAGCAAAAGGCCAGAAAAACATTGTACTTATGAATCAGGTATAGAACTTATGGGCAATGCTTGGTTACAATTTCGAATCCGTTATTATATGTTTGCTCTAGTTTTTGTTATTTTTGATGTTGAAACGGTTTTTCTTTATCCATGGACAATGAGAGGAGAATTCATTCTTGGAATAATCCACTGTAATGGGTGCTCTGACTAAAACCCCTCTTCTTATCCACAAACTACACTGTCCATACACCATTCTTCAAAGCCATGTCCATTGCCATTCCTAAGCTTCTATTTCCTCTCCGTTCGTCCTCCTTCTATTCCAATCCCAAATTCCCATTCCGCAAACCCAAGCCCTCTCTCTCGCCCCCAAAACATCTGCGTATAACATGCGCTCAGAGGACCAAAAGAACCGGGAAATTGAGGTACCCGTCGGAGAAAAAGAAGCTCAAGTTGCAGCAAAAAGCTCAGATTGATGTGAAAAACAAGTTTGAAGGCGTTTGGAGGCTGTCCAATCTCGGCGTCTCGGTTCATACAGATCCTGGCAAAGATTTCCTCGACGTTTCCGATGCTTTGCTTCAAGAAATCGCTAAAGTTCTTGACTTTCCGGTAATATTTTAGCTTTTTTGCTTGGAGTTTCTTGTAATCTTCATTACAATATTTCCTTTTGAGTAATTTTCTTTTAATTATGACCCGAAAGCTTATTAATTTTCCCAAAAGTTCTGTCATTTCTTAATTGAATGCCCGTGTTTATGTTGTAGGTCGCTTCCATGTTGCCGCCAGAAGCATTTACTGTTGTTAGAAAATCTTTTGATGCCCGCAAGGTTTGTCATGTGTGAGGCTTCTGGTTATGCATTTTTTATTTTGTTTGTATCCTTTTTGCATTTATGTTCAATTGAGTAAAGAACTTCAATAAAAGTTCATTTTTAATCATCTGAAGTCAATTTAAATGTAAAAGTTTCAGCCACTCCTAGGCTTCCTAGCATTGATTGCCACATTGGCATTGAAAATGTTGGAAAATTTTGTTCTCCCATTCCTTGCCCACTTCCTAGCATTGATTGCCACAGTTGCTGTTGTTGGCAGTGGACCTGCGGGCTTGTTTGCTTCCCTGGTGCTTGCTGAATTTGGTGCTGATGTTACGTTACTTGAAAGAGGGAAAGCTGTTGAGCAGTGGGGGCGTGATATTGGTGCTTTGGTAGTTCGAAGGATGTTAGAAGGAGAAAGCAACTTTTGCTTTGGGGAGGTTATATCTTGGAACCATATCTTTACTCTTAATTTTGGTCGTGCAATCTTGCTCATACATGGTAGTGTTGGTAGCCTTCATTTCTGCAAAGGTTGTCATTAATCATTAGCATTATTGAAAAAATCGTTAGGCGCTCCTCAAGTGCTTGGGGAGCACCTAGTGCCTAGGACGCCTAGACGGCGATTAATCGGTGCCTAGGCGCCTCTGTATTTTTATTTTTTTTTTTATATAAATTTTAAGACTTATAATTATAAATTGTTTAATATTTTAATATTTAATACTAAAATATTAAATATTAACCTTAAAAACATTTAAGAGTTTGAACAATTTAGGGTTATTTGGCTCAAAATGATGTCGTTTTTAGTGAAATAGCCCATGTAAAAAAGAAGAGAACAATAGCTAATTGACCAGCTAGACGACCTAGGCAATCAACGTCTAGGTGGCGCTTAGGCAGCCTAGTCGGCCGCCTAGACCATCGATTATGGTGATACGCTAGGCGGCCGGCTAGCGCCTAGTGCTAAGGCGCCGATCAATTGGTGTCTAGGCGGGATTTTTGCAACACTGATCATTAGTGTTAAGAATCCCAAATTGAAAAATAAGGAACATATGGGTTTGTATTGCCATGTACTCCGTATTAGACTAGCTAATTCATTGTATTCAGTCTTTTAGTGTGGTTTGGGCGATGTGCATTACAGTCCAGTTGAGTGACCTTTACCCAATCTTAGATTCTAACAATTAAGAATAAAAATACATAATGAATCTTCTCAATTTATTGTTCAAACATTTCAGAGTGGTTATCTACTTAAAGAACCTGCTTGATTGTGGCAGTTGAATAGCTTTTCACTATTTATTTAGGGTGGTGCAGGTACTTGGAGCGACGGGAAGCTAGTTACTAGAATTGGTAGAAACAGTAGTGCCGTTTTAGCTGTAAGTGGCTGCTGGAACAAAACAACGTAATGCTTGTTAACCCAATGATGTGTATTTGTAACTTGGATACCATGTACTTGAATTTCAGGTTTTGAAGACATTGGTTCAATTTGGCGCTCCAAAGAAAATTTTGGTCGATGGAAAGCCTCATCTTGGAACTGATAAATTGGTTCCACTACTTCGAAACTTTCGGCGCCACCTACAAGAATTGGGTGTGAGTTTTGATTTATACTTTTTTATTTTACCCCTCTATTACTGGGTGCCTGGTCATCGTATTAGTGTTCTCTCATTATAAACAAAAATATATTAGGTTACAATCAAGTTCGGGACGAGGGTTGATGATCTACTTGTAGAGGACGGATACGTGGCGGGAGTCAAGGTCTCCGATTCAAGTGACAGCCAACGGTCTATCAGTCAGAAGTTGGGATATGACGCAGTTGTTTTAGCAGTTGGGCATTCTGCTCGTGACACATACGAAATGCTTCTTTCTCATAATGTGAACCTTGTCCAAAAAGATTTTGCGGTGAGTTATTCATTTCAGTACTTGATATTTGAATCTTTCATTTGCTTTGGTCCATTTCTCGTGTATTAGAACATAGTTTCGTGTCATACTTATTCTCCATTAACAAGCCATGGATGCATATTAAACTGTGTAATAAAACAGGTTGGTTTTCGTGTGGAGCACCTGCAAGAATTAATAAACACCGTACAGGTATGCGGTAAACGTTCATGCTTGCCCATTTATTGTCATTATGAAGTATGTAATGCTTTCATGTTTATTATTTTAACGTAAACAAATTAGCTCGTGTGGTAATCTGCAGTATTCGGAATTAGCCAGCGAGATTAATAGCAGACATGGGAGAGTTCCGGTTCCTGCATCGGGACCAACCGGGCGTAGCTGTTACTCGTTTTGTATGTGTCCTGGTGGCCAGGTATCACTACTGCTTTTCTTGCGTGTGAATTGGTTTTTAATCTAGGCCAACCGGATGCGGGATAGATTAGTTTTGCTTTTATACCCAAATATGTGCTCTTTGAGACTCGAGAGGCATATATAAAAATATATTTGCGGAATTCTGGCAGGTCGTTCTCACAAGTACAAATCCTTCAGAACTCTGTATCAATGGCATGTCGTTTTCTGGAAGATCATCTAGGTGGGCAAATGCTGCACTTGTGGTCACTGTCTCGCCAAAGGACTTTGCTGCTTTAAGTTTAAACGGACCCCTTGCTGGAGTCGAGTTTCAGGTACATTTTGAAGCGATTCGACACATTTTTATTCTCCACTTTGCATCTTAGTTTAGTTATGTTGATTGTGCTAACATTCACGATAAAGGTTAGCCATATTGAGTAACAGAACAAACTCCTTTCTACCGCTTAAAATTTTTGCAAAATTTTGACGAGTGAAAGTGGTGATTTTCAGAGAATGTTTGAACGAAGGGCAGCTGTGATGGGTGGGGGGAGTTTTGTTGTACCAGTGCAAACCGTGACTGATTTTCTTGGCAACAAAGCATCAGGTTGAGTTTTTTTCTATCTTTTTTCATCGCCATGAGTTAAAGGATATCTTGTGCCACTAGTCTTCTTAAATTGATACTCTATCTAAGGAATTGATTTTCAGTGAGACTTAGTCTCTAACCATCTTTCCTTAGAGTATATTTAGATTTTCCCCCCACAATCTGGTATAATCTGTTTGTCAAAATGTTAAGTATTCCTTGCCAATGTGATTTGATTTCGGTTCATTAATGAATAGCCATAACATCTTTAATTTAAAGTCTCTTACTTTTTCAATCTTGGTTAATTAAGAAAATGCTACAGCATATTCAGCTACCTAAGATTGTTAAGTTTCAATCACATAAAGTTTAGGCAAAGAATTGATAATTGTCTAGTGATCTTATAATTTTAATTTGGTTTGGGAGTAGCCATAACATCCTTAATCTGTTAAAATTATATATTAAGCAGTTTATTTTGATCACATAAAGTTTTGGACATATCATTTGTGATTAATTGTATGTAATATGATGGAATTTAGCCCACATGCAATTTCGTTATATTTGTATAATTAATTAAGATGAAATACACCAGGGACCTTTGGTCCATTTGTACTTGGTTGCTCCCCTATGTGGGAGGTGGATGGTTCGAGCCTCAGTGGTTTAGTAGTTTTATCAGTGATGATAGAAATAAATCAATTTATTTACTTTAGGGTTAATTGTAAATAATTTTCAATTCTATCATGAAGTTTAATTTTATGATGTAAACTTTGGATCATATTTCTTAATTTACCCACAAGTATTAAGAAGGCAAATTATGCCCTGGAAACGTGTTCACCGTGAATGGTGAACACAAGTCCAAACGACGTCGTTTTTAGGCAAAAAAAAAAAAAAATCGCGGATGTGGAGTTAACGGCGCGCGTTTGATCAAATTATGAATTTTTTGTTATGAGATTATGAATGTAATGTAAATTCATAATCTCATAACTGAAAATTCATAATCTTATAACAGAAAATTCATAATCTCATGGTTCTGAAGTGAATGTGTAGACATGGTTCCAAAGTGAATGTGCAGGCATGGATTCATAATTTATGAATGTCCGTGATTTCGGACGGGAATGTGTAGGCATGGTTCCAAAGTGAATGTGCAGGCATGAATTCATAATTTATGAATGTCCGAAATCATTGCTCACTTCAAATTAAAGTAAAATCGCAAAATGTGAAAATGTAGAAGAAAAGTCACGCAATTAATTAAGAAAAAAAAAAAAAAAAAAAGATAACGGTGTACTAACACCGTTGGAACCGTGTTCACCATGAATAGTGAACACGGTTCCATGGCATAACGATTGGATTAAGAAAAGGAAAATGATTTCTTAAGTTTTAGTTTTTTTTTTAATCATAATGGTTGTAATGAATCTTATTGAATAAAACTTTAGCTTACAGGCAAGTTTTATGTCACTTGATTCTTCAACTCATTTGTTTCATCATAAATAAATTTTTTCAGTTGGATCTAATTGAGTAAAACTTTAGTCCATATGCAAGTTTTATGTCACTAGATTTTTCTGGCTATTTAGTAATTGAGATAAAATATTATAATAATGGTTTCTTAATTGGATTTAATACAATTAAATCTTTAGTCCACTGACAAGTTTTATGTCAATAAATCTCTTAACCCATTAGATAATAATTTTATCACAATTTTTAGAATTTATAAATTTAGCTCAATTATAATTCTAAGTTCCATGGTTTGCATTGGCAAAATATGTTTTCAGTCATTTCTCAAAATTTAGCCACTTTTATTAATTAATCCACAAATCTTGCTCGGTTCTTCGGACTAACTGTAGTAAATTATGTGATTTGACATACTTTTTTTTTTGGATTCCATTAATAATAAAATGTATCTTTTGAGTCAAATTCTAACTTGATTTTGGAAGGTGTATTTTGTTCTTTTTAGTATGTCCAACTATGGTGGCCTGGTGAATTATATCTTCATTATTTAGTTGGACTTTAATTGGAACCAAAAGTTGATTATTTAGTATGTCTAACTAATGGTGGGGAATTATGTCTTCATTTATTAGTTGGTCAAATCAATTATGAGTATGCATATTATTAAGTTCACTTTATTAATTTCGCTGAAGAATATCAGCGATCATTTAGAAAAATAATTACTAGTCAATTATACTAAAATCTTTTCAATTAATTCCTTAATTGTACCAAATATTTGATAATACTAAAATGCCCCTGAGTTTGGGAATAGTGTGGAAATAAAGTAAGAATTTAAATTCTAATATATTGGATGGTAGGAATATAATGTGAGAGCAAGAACAGAACATGTTTATTCACCATCAAACAATAAGAATAAATAAATAGAAGAAGGAAACTAGTTAAATAAAACCAATTAAAGGACTAAGACAAAATACTAACACACACAAAGTAAGTCTCAAACATTATATTACTAGATTTTAAATTTCTGTATTTCGTATCCATGATTATTTACTACGGTAGTAACTATTATAGACACAAGAATTTGGGTGAGGAGGCGGACCGCACTGATAACCCGGGCTCGAACAGATATAAGGTATGTCTGAATGAGTTGAAGATGATGTTGGATGAGGCAAACATTAAAGCAATTCTGGGAGGCTTTGTTGAGTTGATCCAGAAGAAAAACGATGGCTCCATCATCTGCTGGTTGGTGGTTGATAATGCCTGCCTCCCTCAGAAGTTTGACGTCGTCAGGACTGGATGCAATATTGAAGAAGAAGATTGCTAGGCAAGTGAAATATGGGTTTAGTAGATGCGACCCTTGCTCGTATGCCAGCAGGTTTTTTAGGACAGTGACAGTTCTGTCGTTGATATAAAGTGTTGGAACTCTCAAATGTCCTATGTAGTGATTGAACTGAATATCCAGTGGGTTGCCTTTGTTGGTTGCGATGAGTGTGACTCCACGTGAACTGAGTTCTGAGGCACTACTTACCCAGCACTTGCTAGTCGTCATTTTAATCCGCAGCGACAATGAGGATGCATTAATATTCTCCATCTTGCTTTCGTCCACCGGTGTATTATTCTTCTTGCGCTTTTGCAACTTGCTTTTGTCCACCGGTGTATTATTCTTCTCGGGCTTTTCGTCCACCAATAATGTATCATTCTTCTTGCGCTTTCGCAACTTGCTTTCGTCCACCGGTGTATTATTCTTCTCGGGCTTTTCGTCCACCAATAATGTATCATTCTTCTTGCCCTTTTGCATCTTCTTGCTTTTGTCCACTACAACAAAACTGCTATGGAACAAATCCAGCAAATGTTTGGGGTCGTCGTCTGCTACTGTTTCTGAATTGCCACCGTCAGCTCTTCCAAATTCAACTTGTTTGAAGAACTGCAGTGCCAGCTTCTTCAAACAATCTGCTGATTCGTTGGTCAGTATATGATAGACTTTGACAAGAATGAAAAATGGGAGCTGATTCTCTAGCATCAGTAAATCCTCGCAAATATTTGGTTGCCTCCAAGGTGTTTTGAAAATGGGTTGGCGTTGCAGTTCTGGATCATTAGGATTCTGGATTGCAAGTCAAGTTAAAGAAAAGTTAGATGCTTAAGGAATTCGCAAATTATATCATACAAGTAATTGTAATTGAATAAGTAATTAGAAGTTAGAAGCTTACTTTGTACCAACGGTCGAAATAGATAAAGGTATGAATGATGAAGAAGGCATCGATGAGCATCATCTTACAAAATGTATCCGTATCAATATTTTTGAACTTTGTGGAATAGCTATTTCTAGCCTCGACTTCAGATTCCATCATGGCCGCTGTTAGGGATGGGCGGGGATCAGGGTGGCATTCCATGGAATCAAAAAGCAATCTTTTCTGAGATTCCATATCTGACAATTTTGGATTTTCATGATGGCATGGTCCAATTGAGACAGTTTGAGGGGTGTATGGGTCATCTAGTCCAATTGAGAAAGTTGGATATGAACCATTTGAGACAGAAGTTGAAGGGGTGTATGTTCTTTCCTCAATTACACGCCTGTATTTTGGAACACTACACATGTATTTCATTTCGCCACTGTCGCCAACAATCTTATAATAGGGGAGGGGCAAATGTGAATTATTTGCTTCTCCCCTATCATTTTCACCTCCTAATCCTAATCTTACTTCCATTTCTATTTCTCCATTGCCATCTCCTCCTCCTTCTGCTCCCTCTGGGGTATTCATATCGATGATACAATTGTATTGATGATTTCCGGTGTTGGGAGGACAAAAGTTAGCCCTGATTTGCAAGGATTCTTGAATATTCTCATTTTCCAAGGTTTCGGATACTGCCGTATCTTCCGACATATCATATTCTTCTTCCATTCCCTACAACTCCAGATAGATCCTCCTACTATCCAATGTGTAAATGTACTAGTGATGATGAAAATTGTACTATTGTAGATATATGAAAAAAATTATGCACAAGAGATTAAGAAAACAAATCAAAGGAGCAAATTTAAGAAGCAAATAACCAAAAATAGTCTGCTAATTAACCTCTAACTATTCTTGCTAGCTAGTTAGGGAAAAAAACAACATACAAAAAATATATATATATTATTAAACACATCAAATTATTATTTTTGTATATAGACTCAATAGTAATAAATAGAGTTCGGACAACCGAAACTGGCACCTATTCTCCACCACAACAGTCGACAGGCCTCGCTCAAGCACGTAGTCAAGAATTCAGAGGGAACTCGGGGAGTTAAGAGTTCGTTATACTACATGTAATTTCAAATTCTACTTCCTCACTTATATTTTATGATGTGACAAATAATAATTGAATATTTTTATCATGTTGATCATAAGAAAACTGTCATACATCAAGTTGTAAATAAAAATAAAAAATAAAAAGGGAAAATGGCACTTTTTACCCCTGAGTTATATACTTATAGCACTTTTTCCCCCTCAATTATTTAGGTAAGCACATTAGCCCCCTCAATTATTCTAAAAGTGGTGCTTTTTCCCCCTAATATATTAAATTGACATTTATACCCTTAAAGTAAACATTTTATTTATTTTACTACTCCAACAAATTATTGCGTATACGTAGGGATGACCACAGTTCGGTTTGAATTGAACCGGATACTAAAGCAATCGAATTAATAGTTTCTGATTATAATTCAGATCTAGAACCCAATATTTAAATGTCAATTTATTAAAATTATGTATCAAAAAAATTGAATCTTGAACCGTGAACCGGCGGTTCCGGATCCGATTCGCGATTTTGAACCGTCTTTATTTTAAAATAGTCTAAATTCAACAATAAATATATTTTATTTTTCAGTTCGGAACATGAACCGTCCGTTCCGGTTCACGATTTTTATAAACTCTAAATATCGAATTTCGATTCTAAATTGTAATTGGAATATTTCGGTTTGGTTGCTATAGTGTTTGTTTGGTTTGAACCAAATTATGGTCATAATTTTTTGGAGAAAAAAAATAAATTAAATATTTAGTTTAAGGGTAAATATGTCCATTTAACATTTCAGGGGAAAAAACAATCACTTCAATAATTTAGGGGGAAAATATGCTATAGGTATATAACTCAGGGGGAAAAAGTGTCATTTTTCCAAATAAAAATAAAAATAAATATTGAGAGTAAGAAGTAAAAGTCTAGGTTGGATTTTTCAGGAGTTAAAAGTGGAAACTGCAGAGCTAGTGGATGAGTTTCATAGATAGAGACAGAAATAAATGCAATAATTGCCACTGCTCATCTTGAACTAGGTCCACATGTTTTACTTTACCTTAAAAGAACCCTTTTTCTTAAAATTTATTATTTCTGTTTGTCTTAAAAATTATCATATAGTTTTTTAATAATTTAATGAGACTTTTTAAAGTTTTAATAAAGTTTCTTTGTGTAATTTGATTGCTCTATCAAGTCTAGATCTCTTAATAAAATTTCAAGTATTAAATTTCTCTATACTAGCTAATCATGATATTAATCAGAATATTCTAAATTTTTAAATTTTTTTGTAATACAAGTAGTTACTATTTCTACTTAATACTCTCAAGAAGTTAATAAAGCAAATAATACGAACAAATATTATATTGAAAGCAAAAATCATATATTTAAAGTAAACATCATGTTTTCATTAAATTCAATTTTCTATAACCTCCCATCAATTTCTAAACAACCTATAGTACCATTTCAGATAATATTTCTTAAAATTATCAAACAAAGTTAACTTAACTCATACCTTGTATAGAAGTCTTAGGTCACCCGATTACTTCAACTCTTCCTACCCTTCTGTTCACTTGACTGTTCACTCAACAGTTCGAGAGATACGCTAGAAGTTGGGAGCTCTCAACGGATCTTCCTAATCCACACAACAAATAATACGAACAAATATTATATTGAAAGCAGAAAAATCAATCATATTTAAAGTAAATATCATGTTTTCATTAAATTTGAAATTTCTATAACCTCCCATCAATTTCTAAACAACATACCCCTTTCAAAACTGGATGGAGGCGAGTTGCAGTAGCTCCTCCCGACCTGGAGGAAGAGATGGCGGCGAAGAAAAGAAATGAAAGAAGCAAAAATATAATTTAACCTCGATAGATTTAATTAACGATTGTTGCTAGCTGAGCTAATTAGAAAAAACAAACAAAAAGGAAGAATATAATATAATTGAAGAAGAAGTTGAAGATTCTTACCAATGTAATACTTTCTTTGCTGCGCTGGATGGACTTCAATTCCTTTAGGCTATGGCATACATGCTTAATTTTCTGAACGAAAATATATAGATATAAATATAAATGACGTAGTACGTCTCGCTCGATCCCCGCTGCAGCGCAGCAGGTTCCAAACACGGGCAGGCCCGCACGGTGCAGCAAGTACGAGGAAACTTCATTCAGCCGAGAGAAGTCGTCGAAGGGCCGGGCCGGGAGATATATACTATACAGTAATAACCAACACCTCCACCTACATGAAGTGGTGGTACGGTTCTAATAATTACTATACAATGTAAAGATAAATGGCGTAGTACGTCTCGCTCGATCCTGGGCTGCAGCGCAGCAGCTTCCAAACACTGACGCTTACACCGCCATCGGGTTGCCTAAAGCATCCCCGCGGTACGTACCTATTAAGCATAAATCTGGGCATCATTCATGCAAATAAGCTCAAAATCAAAGTAAAGGAAAAGTACAAGTACTTAATCAAAGGCTTCAAAATAGACTAAGACTTAATAAAATTAAAAGTGCAAGTACTTAAGTTGCGAGAGATTTAAACAGTGCAAGCATAGTCAAAGGAAATGTAAACTTCAAGAAAATAAAGGAGATAAAAGTAGCACCCCACACACAGCAGTTGTTATATTATAGATGCACCGCGGCCCATATACGGCGCCGTTTCTTTAAGTAAAGAAACGGTCCGCCGTTAGAGTTAACGGAGTCCATTTATTTGGTGTATTAAACACCAACTAACACTACAGTATATCCAAACCGACACTGCAGTTATATCAAAATGATACTGTAGTTATAGTGAAATGAAACTGCAGTGTATATAAACTGAAATTGAATAACATTTCACATATTTGAGTGTATATTGTACAATGAAGCTGTAATTATATCAAAATGATCATGTAGTTATGTTTTAATAAAACTATAGTGTATATAAAATAAAATTAAATAACATTTTCACATATTTGAGTCTATAAATATCGAATGAAACTATAGTTATATCGAAATGAAACTGTAGTTGTGTTCAACTGAAACTGCAGTGTATACAAAATGACACTGAATAACAGAATTACTTTTTGCAAAAGGATGTGAAACGGCGAAAATAAACACTGTTAATTTTCATTTAAAAAAAAAGACGCGCGGTGCATAATCGATCATGCACCGCAGTGCATAATATAATTTGCCCACACACAGGGTACCTAATGTCCATCCGGGGCCCCCAAAACAATGTATCAACAAGTCACGGGATTAGGTGGGATGTATCCGCTGAATCGGAGGAGGTGTAGGGAAACAGGCATTAAATCGGGCCTCGAAGTAAGCACGCGTAGCGTCAATCCTGGCCACCAGGTCTAGGTAGAGCAAGCTACTAGAACATCCAACTAATGACCGTGCCAAAAGCTATCATCTGTGTCAGTCACCTTAGCACGCTCAATATCCAGCCTAGTTAGCGGCTCCATCTCTGCTATCACTAGCTCACGTCCTAGCTTCCTTTCCAACCCCAGACCCTGGCACAGCTGCGTGAGCAATGGGCCAACAAACACATTGGCTGCCCGACTGTGGTTTTGTGCAGCCAACCATCTCTTACACACCAAGCCCATATTGATATACTTCTCGTTCTCCTTGATGGTAACCTGTTATCAGGTGAAATTGCATACATTTGGAGTGTTCAGTGGCTTAATTGCACTTTTTTTTTTTTTTCGTTCAGTGACCTAATGCATTTTCAGGTTACGTTTAGTGCCCAATTTGGACCTTATTCCATTTATTGTTGTGACAATTATATATAATCAATCTCTCATATATTATCTTGCATTTATATACTTTAAATTACTGATTTAAATAAACAAATTCAACATTTATTTACCTATGCATGAACATCTTTTATATAATATTACATTGATATAGTTTGAAATACTTATTTAAAAAGAATCATTGGGCATTATCCCATGTGCGTAGAAAAACTAGTATATATAAAGTGAAGGAAAACAAAATCCTAATAAATGAGAGGATTTGAAAAGAAAGTATTTTACCCTTATCAAAGTTTATTAATTACACATATATATTATTGTTAAGGACATATTAGTATTTATATTCATAATTCTTTACCATTCTAAACCCAACCAAATAGTGAAATACATATTTTCAATAAAATTTTTGCACCAACCAAACAATAAAATCTATTTTCCTGATAATTTATTTTTCAAGAAATTTGAATTACATTTCCCTTTAAATATTTTCCAACGAACCAAACGCGCTGTTAAAGTTTTTTACATGTCATGTTGGATAGAGAGATAGGAAAAAAATAAATAAATAAATAAAATATCAGGCTTAAGTGCACGCGCTTGCAGGAGCGTGTTCTACTTTTTTACTATTTAACTTTTTTTCTTTTCTATTCAACGGGTCACACAAAAATTTAACATTTGCAAGAGAAAAAATTTGAAGTCAAACTACAAAGCCTATTCAGAGATGTTTTCAGTACTTGACAACCCCCACATTCTGAGCCTTGCCCAGAACAGAGTCTAGGTTGCTCTCATACAGACCCAAATTTTTAGCCAAAGCAAACCCAGCATGCATCCCATCAACGGCTGCACTCACAATTCCACCTGCATAGCCTGCTCCCTCTCCCACCGGATACAGCGCTTTCAAACACGTGCTCTCAAACGTATCGCTTCTCCGGGAGATTTGAACCGGAGAACTAGTCCTCGTCTGATGCCAAACATAGAGAAAGTCCACAGTTATTATCAACCCGGGAGGCAACCCCAACCAAGTTGGTCGGCCTGTTAGCTTGGTAACGAATCCCAGTAAGAACGACCTATTGGCCTTCTTGGTTTGAGTCAGTCAGCTATAGACAACCTAGGTTGGTTTACCTCCTTGTGGTCATTTCTCAGTTAGGTTCACAAGGCGGGGTTTACTTAGGTACTGGCAAAAAGAAACGTACAATCTTTAAACTTAATAGCATACTAAAGGTCGTACCTCAACTCCGTGAAGAAGGGCGCTGCTGGAAATGAATCCCGGTAACTGAACTCCATATTCAGGAAGAGAAGCATAAAGGGTGTAAGTTGTATTATATTATACTAAAACTTCACTTAAAGAGGAGGAATGATGGGAAAACGGGGAGAATAGACTAAGACCTCTTCGTCAAACATCAGAATTGATTTTTGCAGAGCCACGGTTATATGGTCGGGGAATAGTTCGTGGAGATTTGCTGCTTTTACTCCTAACCGATAACTCGAGGATGGTAGCGGTGCCACTGCAATCAAAGTTTAAGACCACTTTAACCAACACCAAAATAATGATGATGGCGACGAAAAAAACAGATAAAAGACTCAACCTGATGCTTTATTGCCAAGAAAATCAGTCACGGTTTGCACAGGTACGACAAAACTCCCCCCACCCATCACAGCTGCCCTTCGTTCAAAAATTCTCTGAAAATCACCACTTTCACTCGTCAAAATTTGACAAAAAATTTAAGCGGTAGAAAGGAGTTTGCTCTGTTACTCAATATGGCTAAGCTAAGACGCAAAGTGGAGAATAAAAATGTGTCAAATCACTTCAAAAGGTACCTGAAACTCGACTCCAGCAAGGGGTCCGTTTAAACTTAAAGCCGCAAAGTCCTTTGGCGAGATAGTGACCACAAGTGCAGCATTTGCCCACCTAGACGATCTTCGAGAAAACGACATGCCATTGATACAGAGTTCTGAAGGATTTGTACTTGTGAGAACAACCTGCCAGAATTCCGCAAATATATTTTTACATATGCCTCTCGAGTCTCAAAGAGCACATATTCGGGTATAAAACCAAAACTAATCTATTCACACGCAAGAAAAGCAGTAGCGATACCTGGCCACCAGGACACATACAAAACGAGTAACAGCTACGCCCGGGTGGTCCCGATTCAGGAGAATCCATGCCATCACTATTTAGATGCCCCATCACCTTATAATCAGCAACCGGAACTCTCCCACGTCCGCTAATAATCTCGCTGGCTAATTCCGAATACTGCAGATTACCACACGAGCTAAATTTTTTACCTTAAAATAATAAACATGATAGCATTACATACTTCATAATGACAATAAATGGGCAAGCATGTACGTTTACCGCATACCTGTATGGTGTTTATTAATTCTTGCGGGTGCTCCACACGAAAACCAACCTGTTTTATTACACAGTTTAATATACATCCATGGCTTGTTAATGGAGAATAAGTATGACACGAAACTATGTTCTAATACACGAGAAACGGACCAAAGCAAATGAAAGATTCAAATATCAAATACTGAAATGAAGAATAACTTACGGAAAAATCTTTTTGGACAAGGTTCACATTATGAGAAAGAAGCATTTCGTATGTGTCACGAGCAGAATGCCCAACTGCTAAAACAACTGCGTCATATCCCAACTTCTGGCTAATAGACCGTTGGCTGTCACTTGAATCGGAGACCTTGACTCCCGTCACGTATCCGTCCTCTACGAGTATATCATCAACCCTCGTCCCAAACTTGATTGTAACCTAATATATTTTTGTTTATAATGAGAGAACACTAATACAGAAATACGATGACCAGGCACCCAGTAATAGAGGGGTAAAATAAAAAAGTATAAATCAAAACTCACACCCAATTCTTGTAGGTGGCGCCGAAAGTTTCGAAGTAGTGGAACCAATTTATCAGTTCCAAGATGAGGCTTTCCATCGACCAAAATTTTCTTTGGAGCGCCAAATTGAACCAATGTCTTCAAAACCTGAAATACAAGTACATTTTATCCAAGTTACAAATACACATGATTGGGATAACAAGCATTACGGTGTTTTGTTCCAGCAGCCACTTACAGCTAAAACGGCACCACTGTTTCTACCAATTCTAGTAACTAGCTTCCCGTCGCTCCAAGTACCTGCACCACCCTGTCAGCCATAAGTCCTTAATAAATAAATAGTGAAAAGCTATTCAACTGCCACAATCAAGCAAGTTCTTTTAAGTAGATAACCACTCTGAAATGTTTGAACAATAAATTGAGAAGATTCATTATGTATTTTTATTCTTAATTGTTAGAATCTAAGATTGGGTAAAGGTCACTCAACTGGACTGTAATGCACATCGCCCAAACCACACTAAAAGACTGAATACAGTGAATTAGCTAGTCTAATACGGAGTACATGGCATTATAAACCCATATGTTTCTTATTTTTCAATTCGGGATTCTTAACACTAATGATCAGTGTTGCAAAAATCTCGTCTAGACACCGATTAATCGGCGCCTAAGCACTAGGCGCTAGCCGGCCGCCTAGCATATCACCATAATCGATGGTCTAGGCGGTTGCCCGGCTAGGCGGCGGACTAGGCTGCCTAAGCGCTGATCGCCTAGGTCGACTAGGTCGTCTAGCTGGTCGATTAGCTATTGTTCTCTTCTTTTTTGCATGGGTTATTTCACTAAAAACAACATCATTTTGAGCCAAATAACCCTAAATTGTTCAAACTCTAAATGTTTTTAAGGTTAATATTTAATATTTTAGTATTAAACAATTTATAATTATCAAGTCTTAAAATTTATAAAAAAAAAAATTAAACAAATTTTTAAATAATAAAAAACACAGAGGCGACTAGGCGCCGATTAATCGCCGTCTAGGTGCCCTAGGCGCTAGGTGCTCCCCAAGCGCTCGAGGAATGCCTAACGATTTTTTCAACCATGCTAATGATTAATGACAACCTTTGCAGAAATGAAGGCTACCAACACTACCATGTATGAGCAAGATTGCACGACCAAAATTAAGAGTAAAGATATGGTTCCAAGATATAACCTCCCCAAAGCAAAAGTTGCTTTCTCCTTCTAACATCCTTCGAACTACCAAAGCACCAATATCACGCCCCCTCTGCTCAACCGCCTTCCCTCTTTCAAGTAACGTAACATCGGCACCAAATTCAGCAAGCACCAGGGAAGCAAACAAGCCGGCAGGTCCACTGCCAACAACAGCAACTTTCGGTTTTCTAATAACGGGCAACCTGTACGAACCACTGGAGATATTGCTATCAACTCCTTCAGTACAATCAGAAGTCTGATCTAACTCTCTGCAAGAATGTATCATACTCATTATATCACCAGAAATTCTATTGTCAAAAATATGCTCGACAAGTCCAGCTTTGGGTTCCAACTCAGAGATGAAGTCCCAGGTGCGAGGCTCTAAACTTATAAGTTTAGGGACATCCATATCCACAGTATAGACAAATTTTGGTTCCTTCTGTAGCTGCAATCAAGCAAATAAGATAGTGAATAGACAGTAACAAATCATCAACATACACATTTGCATTGAAAATTGGTACTCTCATAAAAGAAATTGTTGCTACATTGGCATATGCTATTAAGGAGTTATATTTTTCCACCAAATTATACAAATGGTTATAATGTAAAGATATTCACTTTGCTCACATTGAATCAAACATTGGAGAAAATATCCTAGAATGCTGACTTCACTAAGGGTCCGTTTGGAAACCCGGAAAATGACTTCTGGAAAATATTTTTCGAGTTTTCAGTGTTTGGATGCAACAGGAAAATCCAGTCAACGGAAAACATTTTCCATTGACCGGGGAAAATGAAGCCATTTTGGTGGAAAATGACTTCCGCCAAAATTTGGGGAAATCATTTTCCGCCAAAATGTTTAAACATACAATTCTACTCATTTTTTCAGAAAATAAACTAAACACACAAAGTTTTCCAAAATGCAACCAAACACGGGAAAGGAAAATGTTTTCGGGAAAATGACTCATTTTCCATAAAACATTTTCCAGACGTCACTTTCCTGCTTTCCAAACGGACCCTAAATTGATACAAAGCAAAGGCCAAGTAATGGGAGAACAGGACACGGGATAAAGTCTGACAGCTGCAGTGTGGGAGTTACAACTAATGTGGTGGGCTCCTTGTGGGCACCAAGCACTAGTCCTCTCACCTAATGAGCCGCTAAGTCACCGTGATTTATCCTAGCCGCAGTGGGGGAGTAACACTAATGTGGTGTGCTCCTTGTGGGCACCAGGCACGGGTCCTCTCACTTAATGGGCCGCTGAGTCACCGTGATTTATCTTAGCCGTGTGGGAGTAACACTAATGTGGTATGCTCCTTGTGGGCACCAGACACTGGTCCTCTCACCTAATGGGCCACTAAGTCACGGTGATTTATCCTTCTACTATCCTGTCGAGCCCGGGTGTGGGCCCTGGGGCAAGGGAGTGGGCAAGTAATGGGAGAACAAAATTTTCCAACATTTTATCCAATGTGGCAATTGGGAAGCCTAGGAGTGGCTGAAACTTTTATATTTAAATTGACTTCAGATGATTAAAAATGAACTTTTATTAAAGTTCTTTACTCAATTGAACATAAATGCAAAAGGATACAAATAAAATAAAATAAAAACAAAATAAAAATGCATAACCATAAGCCTCACATATGACAAACCTTGCGGGCATCAAAAGATTTTCTAACAACAGTAAATGCTTCTGGCGGCAACATGGAAGCGACCTACAACATAAACACGGGCATTCAATTAAGAAATGACAGAACTTTTGGGAAAATTAATAAGCTTTCGGGTCATAATTAAAAGAAAATTACTCAAAAGGAAATATTGTAATGAAGATTACAAGAAACTCCAAACAAAAAAGCTAAAATATTACCGGAAAGTCAAGAACTTTAGCGATTTCTTGAAGCAAAGCATCGGAAACGTCGAGGAAATCTTTGCCAGGATCTGTATGAACCGAAACGCCGAGATTGGACAGCCTCCAAACGCCTTCAAACTTGTTTTTCACATCAATCTGAGCTTTTTGCTGCAACTTGAGCTTCTTTTTCTCCGACGGGTACCTCAATTTCCCGGTTCTTTTGGTCCTCTGAGCGCATGTTATACGCAGATGTTTTGGGGGCGAGAGAGAGGGCTTGGGTTTGCGGAATGGGAATTTGGGATTGGAATAGAAGGAGGACGAACGGAGAGGAAATAGAAGCTTAGGAATGGCAATGGACATGGCTTTGAAGAATGGTGTATGGACAGTGTAGTTTGTGGATAAGAAGAGGGGTTTTAGTTAGGGCTTTTGTTTTAACTGTTTTGAATCAGAAAATGGCCAGAGCGGTTGTACCATTTATATACTAATAGTAAATTTAAAAGTTAATTCCAGCATTAGTCCTCTGAGTATAGTGATTTTTCACAAATGGTTCTTGTCTTTTAATTTTAGACAATTTTGACACTTGACTATCAAAATATTTCAATGTTGGTCCTTCCATCATTTTATTGTTATTTAGGCTTCAAATTCAAGGGTAAAATTGTCCTTTTCGTTTTTCGAACTGAAGCTTGATATTGAAGACCAATTGCTTAGCGACGGTGATGACCGACGATGCTGTCATGATGGAGCTCCTCTTCCGCCTCAAGCAGTCCCGACCACTCCTCTCTCCTAGACCGATGGCGCTGCTTCACCCAGCAACAGCGACTTTGACAAGTCCAATCGCCTCGCTTCTTTGTCGGATCTAACATCCACTTTTAGATCCCCCATTATTAAGTCGATAGGGGATTTAGTTGATGCTTGGATTGGAGATAAAGGGGAAGGGGAAGGGAGATGGTAATGCTAGTTTGAGAGAATTTTTTCCACTTTTGAGCCATCAAGCTGTTGGGAGCCACTCCGGAGCGCTCCGCCAATTCCCGAAATAGGGGGTGGTGGATAATGTCAGAGCCGACCAGGGATTGGCGAAATAGCATTCTGCTGTGTTGAGATATTGCTTCTATTCGTGTACTGCTTCTGTTCTGAGTTTTAGCCGTGCGGGCATGCCTCACAGGCATTGTTTTCCCGTGAGAGACACTCGCAAGTCAAAGTTGAGGGAGTGTGTGGCGGGAGTTCTTTTCCAGTGGCACATGCCCGCGGCCTTCGTGCGGGTAAAGATGACGGGAAGTCTTTTCCCGTGACTAATGACTGTGAGGTCCTGGGAGTATTTTCCAAAATGCACTTTGTTTTATTTCCAGTGCAATGTTGTTTGATCTTTGGTGCATTGCAAGTCTTTCTTGGTATATTGTAAACTCCTTGACCTCCGTTTGAATTGTGATTCCTTCATGAATCCTTGTTCCTTGGTATCAATTGAGTCTTGAGTAACGTGATGGTATATATATATATATATATATATATATATATATATATATATATGTGTGTGTGTGTGTGTGTGTGTGTGTATGTGTGTGTGTGTGTGTGTGTGTGTGTGTGTGTGTGGCTATATTGTGTTATTAGTGTATTATTGAGCTTTGGCTATAATTGGTGGCTATGAACTTGTGTTCCATTTGTAACTGTGGCTAGGAGCGTTGCTCCATTTGTATTGGTGGCTAGGAGCTTGACTCCATTTGTATTGGTGGCAAGAAGTTTAGGCTTCACTTTGGTGGATAAGGTTGGACTAGTGTATATGGTGGTCTCTTGTGGTGTAATAGTTGGAACTGATATAAGGCTGGATATTGATCTTGATATTGAGTATTGAATATTGATTATTGTTATATGATTCCTTGATTATGTATATACCATTATGTTTGATTGAGTTGGAAACTCTTGGTAATTCTTTCTTGTTGATGTCTTGGTATCAACCTCTTGAATCCACTTTGAATTGAGTATGTCTCGTTGTCTATGTATTGAGTTTTTACCTTGTATCTTGATTAGTCTTGATCTTGATCGAGCTTACTATTGGAGTCATTCTTGAATTGATCTTTGAGTCTTGAATGCTTGTGTAATTGAATCCATTTGAAAATGCGTTGAGTTGGTTACGTTGAATATATCTATAGTTGCAAAACCTATTTGAATACAAACGTATACTTATATAGTTTTACGTGTTGGATTGGAGGCTTGCTTAACATTTTTTTGCTAATTGTTAAGAATGTATTTCAGGTATGGATCGTTGCGAGCGTGTTAGCCGAGCTTAGCTCTATGCCTTGATAGTATTACTTTCCTTTTGCTAGACTTTGGCCGGTGAGCCGTATGTTGATGTAATAATTAGATAAGGCCGAGTTATTTGGGATTTTGGCTAGTTATGTTGAGAGTTGTAGACTCGTCTTAACATTTAGGATAGTAATGCCTAAATCTGGCATAACACCCTTTTGAATTTGAACTCGCTTCCGCATTTCCCTTGTTTATCTGTATTTAGAATTTGAGGGTTTTACGCCCAAAATTTTACAACCTAAGCTCTTATACCACTTTCTATCAAAGTCTAATCAATTCTATTTCCTATGACCAAGATTTTACAACCTAAGCTCTGATACCACTTTGTATCAGAGTCTAATCAATTCTAATTCCTATGCCCAGGATTTAACAAATTAGACTCGCCAATTGCCATTAATGATTATACTATCACCCTCTTTTCATCAACTGCATCGCTAATCACACGCTTATTGCTGACTCCATAGCGCTTGAGATCGTATCTATCGGGCCTTACTATCTTGGCGGAGATAGGGTCTTGGATTTGAGAACTACAAATGGAATTTTCTTGACTATGTCATGTGCTTTACACGAAAGAATGAAAATGATTTGGACAGGATCATGAGATCCATGGTACGCTTGGAAAGAAGCGCAAGAAGATGTTACTTTGAGCCTACTCCAATTTCAAGCACAGAATTTATTGAGATGATGATATTGGATAGCTGCTTCATTCTTGGGTATATGTTGTATGTATGCAAGAGCCAAGAAAATGAACCCACTCTCTCTATTCCAATTGTCACCAGGGACATGTTAAAGCTTTAGAATCAAATCCCATTTTTCATTGTTGAAATTGTGTATGATCGATCTTATGAAGACTATCAATGGTGATTCATTAGAATTTCTTGCCTAGAAATTCTCAAATGTTTATCCGTAAATGTAGAACCCAAACATCTCCTTGATTTGGTTCACTCAAGTTATTTGTCATCTACTGTAAACCAATAACCAGTGACATACAAACCACCATCACACCACCCTATTCAGATCAGTCAATCCAATGCAAGATCAGGCCAGTAAAAACAAAAAGCTTCCTAGAAATAAATTTCAAGAAAGTCACACCATCTGCTTATCAGTAAATGCAGAACCCAAACATCTCCTCGATTTAGTTTACTCAAGCTATCTACCATCTACTTTAAATCAACAACCAGTGACATATACGCCATCATCACCACTATGTTCAGATCAGTTAATCAAATGCCAAAGATTTTACAACCTAAGCTGCTTTGATACCACATTGTATCAGAGTCTAATCAATTCTATTTTCTATACCAAAGATTTTACAATATAAGCTCTTATACCACTTTATATCAAAGTATAATCAATTCTATTTTCTATGCTCAAGATTTCACAACCTAAACTCTTATACCACGAATCTAATCAATTCTATTTCCTATGTCCAAGATTTCATAACCTAAGCTCTGATACTACTTTGTATTATAGTCTAATCAATTCTATTTCTTATGGCCAAGATTTAACAAATTAGGCTCGCCCATTGCCATTAATGACTACACTATCACCCTCTTCATCAACTGCATCGCGCTGGAACAGTGCACCCAGCACATCCGAACATAGTTCTCAACTTACATTGACTTCATAAGTTGCCCGATCAATTCCACCGGGGATGTCACTTCCTTGCACGAGATAGAATAATCACCATTCTTTTGCTAATTGTAAAAAATGTATTTCAGGTATAGATCATTGCGAGCGCGTTAGCCGAGCTTAGCTCTATGCCTTGATAGTATTTCTTTCCTTTTGCTAAACTTTGGTCTGTGAGCCGTATGTTGATGTAATAATTAGATAATGCCTAGTTATTTGAGATTTTGACTAGTTATGTTGACAGTTGTAGACTCGCTTTAACATTTAGGATAGTAATGCCTAAGTGTGGCGTAACACCCTTTTGAATTTGAACTCGCTTCCGCAATTCCCTTGTTTATCTGTATTTAGAATTTGGGGGTGTTACGCCCAAGATTTTACAACCTAAGCTCTGATACCACTTTGTATCAGAGTCTAATCAATTCTATTTCCTATGTCCAAGATTTCACAACCTAAACTCTAATACCACTTTTTATCAGAGAGTAATCAATTCTATTTCCTGTGCCCAAGATTTAACAAATTAGGCTCGCTCATTGCCATTAATGACTACACTACCACCCTCTTCATCAACTGGATCGCACTGGAACAGTGCATCCAGCACATTCAAACATAGTTATCAGCTTACATTGCGTTGATAAGTTGTCTGATCAATACAACAAGGATGTCACTTTCATTGCCCGAGATGGAATTATTACCAGTTTTCCCAAGATAACGGACATATCGTTTGCCTGTTTTATAGACTGGGAGAGAATTTCGCTTTCAATATTAGAGATTGCTATTATTAGCCACACTTGCAAGCTTTTCAGTGCAGTCCACCAATATGTTCTCTACCTCAGTCAATACATCTGACATGTTGTAGATCTGTCCCGGCTGTTTTGTACATAGCACTTTCAAAGGTCTCATATCCTTGTTTGATTGCTCAGTAGTCGGGTATTTTGCAGGTTAGGGTGCTGCAGACTCAGATATGATCTGTAAAACACAAAGAACTAAAACTATTAGTGTAACTTTAAAAAGTTTCCTGAACCGTTGAAGAAATGAAATTTATACCTTCTTTCGCTCTTCTTTGATTTGAGCAAGAGATTTATCAACTGAAGTTATCTACCATTTACTATAAACCATCAACCAGTGACATATACGCCATCATCACCACTATGTTCAGATTATCAAATGCCCAATATTTCTAAACCTAAGTTGCTCTGATACCACTTTGTATCAGAGTCTAATCAATTATATTTTTTATACCAAAGATTTTACAATCTAAGCTCTTATACCCGTTTATATCAAAGTATAATCAATTCTATTTCATATGTTCAAGATTTTACAACCTAAGCTTTGATACCACTTTGTATCAGAGTCTAGTCAATTCTATTTCCTATTCTCAAGATTTGACAACCTAAGCTCCGATACCACTTTGGATCAGAGTCTAATCAATTCTATTTTCTATATCCAAGATTTTACAATCTAAGCCCTAATACCACTTTGTATCATAATCTAATCAATTTTATTTAATATGCCAAGATTTTTATTCAAATTAGGCTCGCCCATTGCCATTAATAAATCTGAGAAGTAGGTTCATACTTTAGTAGCAACTGGGCAACCCTGAAGCGCACCTATTTTAGTACATCTTGGTCTTTCATCTCAGTTTTCCCTGCTTTCTTCCTATTAGTTCTAGCATGTATACAAACTGTAATGGCCATTTTTTTTTGTGTTGGGATGGAGGGGGGAGGGGGTACTAGCAAAAAAAAAAAAAAAACCACAAGTGCTAGATGTAAGCCACAATCCAGCGCTGCCTACAGGCGCCAATTGGTCATAACATACCAAGATTCTACATCTCAAAGTAGGTTGATCGAGTTCCATACATTTCGTTTCACATTGAGCGCAATTTTGGCCAGTCCGTCCGCCACAAAATTCTACTTACGGTAAATATGAACAACCACCGCAATCTTCTAAAATTTTCTTCCTTATGCTATCAATGGTGTCATCATTGATACTCGTGTGATGCACGGGACCACAATTTAACATTAATGAAAATATGTTTGTTGTATTGTAAGATAACCATCTTTTCAATATAACATTACTTTGGATTTAAAAAATGAGATATAAACATACTTAACAGTAATGATCGTTATTTTTCTAACACGTCATGAAGAATTTGAAATTACAAATTGTTAAATACCTTTTTGTAAACAATGTTGGTGGTTGAATTACAACTATTGTCTAACTCATTACAAAGTAAAATTTTGAGCTCTTTAGGATTGATCACTCTAGATGCGGCTACATATAATTGCCCATGTACAAAAACTATTTTTTTGAGTAGCAATCCAACATGAAATAAAGTCTGTCCTTGACTTTTATTTATAGTCATTGCATATGACATGAATAATGGAAATTATTGTCTCCTCTTGAACATGAATGGCAATCTTGGATCTGAAAGAGTCATAGACATTCGAGGAACCAACACCCTAGTACCTGCATGGTCACCTATAGATATTTTTACTTATATGACATGTTTTGCCAACTTAGTAACTATCAATCTAGTACCATTACAAAACTCGAGGGAGTGATCTATATTTCTCAGTAGCATCACAGGTGAGTCAACCTTTAACATTAAAGAGTGGTTAGGTATGCCAGAAGCTCGTATGCCATTAAGGAATTCAGGGGTGTGTACATCGGCCAAAAGTCCCTTGCTGGACCCAGACCTACAGACCATATCGCAACTCAAATATGTCTTACTCTCGGCAACATGAATGTCACTCATGTACTGGTTTATCGCATTACGTCTAGAGTTGGAGCCAGAATAACACGATTTCTAAAAAACTGTTATCACCATTGTCACTTGTAAACATCGGGAAAGTGTTTTCAACAATAGTGGGAATGGGATCCCCATTTGTGGACAATAACATGTCGTGTGGGATATCAACTTCAACAGAACCATCATTTTAACCTCCAATCGTTCCATCTCCAATTGTTGTGTGATTTTGTGTGATTTGATAATTGCAAACGTTGATCTAATTTCTAATCTACCAAAATCAGTGCGCAGAAAAACCTAATCGGTAACACACTTCGACATATATGATAGAAGTGCGGAAAACTAAATCAGAAAGTAAATCAATGCACAGGTTTGTTTACCCAGTTCGATACCGTGTGTATCTACGTCTAGGGAACGATCACTGATGCGTCCAATCCACTATCTCAAAACTCCAATGTACAAAGGTAGAGAAATGATCTCAACCATTGCCCCACACTAGGTTAGTACCCAATCTACAGAGGAATATTGGATTGTTGAAGTCGGAGAGCCATGCATGCAGAAGTCCAATGAAATCCCTTCAATGGAGAGCTAACTCTGATGCAGTCCGCTTCAATGACACCTCCTACCCATGTTCCACAGCTGAGTGATCTTCGCGTCCACTGTGTCAATTATCCCAATTATCCAAGAGTATGCATAGCCACACAAGATATATAAACTACACTAGAAATATAATGTGCGACAGTCTCAATAAAAAAGATATTGACAAGAATTGAATGTGTGACCTTTAAGTATTAGAATCACATTGCACTACCATTTTAGGGCACTATATATAATTGTTTTTTTGTGTCATTCCATATGATTTTCATAAGAACAATTCAAATTAGTGGCAGTATAATTCCCCTATATGGCTATATATACATACATATCTATAATTGTAGACTAATATAATATAGGGAGTATTAATTACAATTCTTAATTTATCTTTATATATAATATAAAGCAGAATCTAGTTACAAAATTTTCCTTCCAAAGTGTGAATGCATTTTGATACAAGATTAGCAAGTATGAATGCATTAATTGTGTGGGTAGATATATTTATACATATTTTTTTGAATTTATTATATGTATTTATATTTTATAAATTATATTTTATTATTATAGCTCTATCTATATCTCTATCTCTATCTCTATCTCTATCTCTAATCTATATATATTAAAGCATAATGAAGTATGAAAAAAAGTTTATTGCGTTCAAATTTATTGGTAAAGTTTTATATTTAATATAATTTGTGTATATATTCATTTAAACATCAATTATAATTAATTTGAATCCACATATATAAAGAGGAGAAATTAGATATAAAATAAATATAGTTCTTACATAAATAATTTTTTTCAAATGAATAAGTTTTTGATGGAGATTTTCGACAAATATCGCCTGTTATTTTATTTACAAATTTTATTTAAATACGTTAGTTATATAATTAAAGTAGTTATTTCAAATTCAAATTCCATTCAAAAAAAATCAAATTCAAATAATAATATAAGTACCAATAAATTTTAAAATCAACATAATAATAACATAATTAAACTTTTTAAAATATTAAATACGGAGTATTACATTGTATAGTTATACTTACATTTTTAATCAAACTAATTCTGAGCTCAAGAACTCAAGTACGTTTTTCTGTTTTCACAACCATTACTTTTTTTGCTAATTCAGAGGATATCAAAAATTTAATTGGTAAATTTTTTAAATTAATAATAGTTCGTGCATTACACGGGACAATTAATAGTTCTTTACTAAAAAATAAATAAACAAATAAACATTTTGAATCATGTTGTTGGATGACCCTTTTCATATTGATCTTTTTATGAGCAGAAAGAACCCACATCTGTGACGGGATCAAACTTTCACCATACCGCTAAAAGCAAATCTTAAGTAAACCTTCTAATCTACTATATGAATTCTCGGGATGTTGCCTATTCATCTTCCTTTGCCAAAAAATTAGCAAACCACAATGCAGACTCCTTTGGATACCTTGTTAAATTATTCTTAAAATCAACAAAAATTAGACCAAAACGAACTGTGTACCCCTCGTTCCATTCAAAATTATCCATCAACGACCAAACAAAATAACCTTTCACGTTCACCCCTTCACTGCAAATCAAATTTTTGCACACTTCATTAGATCATCATCAAGAAAACTATTTGTAAGAACATATTAGGAGGAAAACAACAACAACAATAATAACTCACTTGATTGCTTTTGAGATGTAGAAAATATGCTCCCGGTGATAGTTTAGTCGGTTATAATCAAGGCGTGCTTCCGAAAGCGTTAAATTTGAATTGTTTACTTCATCATAACCTATAAAAAAAAAATAGATATTTAACGGATTAAATTATACCATACTTTTTATTTCCATATAATGAAAATTCTATGATTTTTCTATAGGTAATAGGTTACACCATGGTTTTAATCAAAACAAAAACTTTAAAATTGAGAATTAACATTTAAAAAAAAAAAAAAAAAGGTTTGTCAAATTATTTGTCAGACGACAAAGCATTATTGCGCAAAGTATTATAGAAATTATAATTTTTATATTTCTTATTGCGGATGGCAATGAGGCAGGACATGACGGAAAGTATACTCCTAGTTCCCGTTCTTGCGACCTTGCCCCGCTCTCCATCCCCATCCTTGTTCTAGCAAGAAATTTTGGGCGGACGGAACCCACCCCCCTACACTTCTCTCCCTCGTAAATCAAACTTGTAGTTTAACTAATAATAAAATAAAATTTCAGTGTATTGGGGGTTGGACGAAAAGAGATATCCATGTTCAGGTGAGAAATATATAGATAAACTCCTCATTTCTGCTCTCGTTGAAGCGAAAATTTCAATGTATTAGGGGTTGAGCGGGAAGGGGTATCTCTATTCTTGGTGAGAAATGGATATAACTCACCATTTTTGTTCTCATTAGAGCGGAAATTTCAATGTACTTGGAGTTAGGCAGGAAGGAGTATCTATGTTCCGGGCGGCGAGAAGGGGATACAACTTGCCTACTAGTTGAAGAGAGATGATTCCTTGCATTTTTTATAAGGAAATAGAGAAGTAGTATTTTATTACCATTTTCAGTGATGTAGATGAGTGGAATATTGTATGTCTTTTTTACATAATGCAATAGCTTGTAAATTCCTTGTGGATAGACATATAGCCATTCAGATGCCCCCTGAAATTATTTATTAAAAAAACATGTTAAACAGAGAAGATTATCAAATGAAAGAAATTAATTTTTAAGAAAGAATTTGGGTTTGGAACTTCATAAAATACATACCCTTGGACCAATTGGGATTCCATTCCTTTCAGCTGCAAAAATTGACACAGAAAAATTAGGAAAACAAATTATTTTACTGACACAAGAATTATGTTTCACACTTTCACCTACTCGACCACCCACTCAGGACAAAATTATTATTATTTGGACTTACTTAAGGTGGTAACTTGGGAATCTGTGAGAGCACTCAGGATTCCATTTGTAGTGGTGGATTCAGTATCAGTTGCATAGCAAGATGTATAGTAATTTAATCCAAGAAAATCAAATGATCCTATTAACTTCTTGGATTCTTCTTTTGAAAATTGGGGGAGACGATTCCCAACCAATTTTCTCATACTCCCAGGATAATCTCCTTTTGTTAATGGATCCAAAAACCTGAAATATAAAACCAAAAAATAAAATAAAATAAAATAAAATAAATAAACTTATTCAATATGAAAGTATATTCACATACAAATAAATAGTAACTTTAAAAAAAAAAAATTTACATAATTCAATAGATCAGAATTTTGTAGTTTCTCATCTCTCCTCCACATTACAATAAACTCATAAAAAAAAATTGAGCAAAAATTTTCAATGAAGATGCTCTAAGAATGCATTGCTGGAAATCTCGCTATTTCCGTCCAACTTTCCGTCTATACCTATTTGCGATGAAAAGTTATGATTTTTTTATAAAATACGGACCAACATTATTGTTGGCCGGAAATGTTGAACAGAAATAGTGAGATTTTCAGTAATAATAATGTAATTTCATATACGTGAGTTCAAACTCTTGACCTTGTACTTAAATTTAGGATAATTAGTTAAAAAGGGAAAATGATAAATTAGGCAGGTGGCAATGTGGCATGAAACACTACACTTACCATCCAAGCATAAAGTCAAGACCTCTTTGGGCAGCTTGTTTGTCACTGTCACTACTTTCATTGAGAGGCTCCATCCATTGTGATATCAGTGTTATCCCAATCTTTCCTTTTTGAATTTTCTGCAATAAATATTATAGTTAATAACTTAAAACTAAATTACACAATAATTAAATGGCTATATATATACACTACAACACAATCAAATCATTACTGAAAATTACCTTCGGATATGGTTAACTAACTCAAAATAAATTCATAATCGTTGTTTTACTAGAAAATATATATAATTAAAAAAAAAAAAGTATGACTTTAATCTTATTGTAAGCATTAGCGTATAAATATTTAGGGACCTACACCGCTACACAATTAGTTGAAACTCATCCCGCATTTATGTGAGATGTCTTCCACCCATATATTATTAAAAAGTATATTTATTTTTAGTGGGGCCCTAAGCTAGCTTAGAAAAAGTTATTAAATCATGGCATGGCACATGCATGAACAATAAAGTTGTTAAATAACGAAAATGACAAATCAACAACTTATATTAGTGCTTTCATTGTATAAATATCCAAATGAAGTTGTCTAAATTATTTTAAAATAATAATAATAATTTTGCAAACACACTTTAGACAATTAATGAATTAAAAAAAAAAAAAAAAAAAAAAAAAACTTTGCAAACAATTAAGGAACCCAAAAAAAGGCAAAAAGCAGCAATAGTATAATTGAAGGATAAAAATTGTTATTTTCTTTTATTTATGTGAAAGACGACAATTGCAACCTATACGTGAACTTCGAGTAAACCCGCCTTATAATTTAACTTGTCAAAGATCACAAGAAAGTAAACTAACCTAGGGTATCCATATAACTAAATGGATTCAACCGAAAGCCAATATACAGCTTTTATAAGAATATTTATTTTAATATATAACTCAAAGACAAAACGTGTCATAACATTACAAAAAAAAAAAAAAAAAAAATATACCTGGAATTTTTGGCGATACAGGTCCACAATAGCAGAATGAGCAAGAAGCAGATTATGACCGACCAAATATGGCTCTAAACCAGGATCTCCATTGTCGGAAATTTTCACCTTGGACGATAATGACAATCGCCATGGAAAACATCCGCTGAGAGATCGAGAACGATCGTTGTTGTCTGGTTTTTTAGCCGACAACGACGAAGAAGAAGATCCTCTGCCAGGTGCAAATGTCCCATTTGCATAGCCATTAGTTGTGAACATGTATGGTTCATTCATGGTGATCCAGTTCTTCACCCTGTCTCCAAACTCCCAAAAACATAGCTCCGCATATTCACAATAATCCTTCCTGTTTTAACAATAAATTAAAACATGTCTTAGTCTTTTCTCTCCAATACTGACTACTGAATCATGAATTAAGTCCGTGCGGCTCGACCGATTATATTAATTTAATGTAAATTGACATAATATCTATCAATATGACACCTTAAAATTTTCGAATTTAATTATGTGGAGGGTTAAGAATATTGGGTTACTTACAGAATTCTTGGGCTTAAAAAGCCACCATACTCATCTTCCAATGCTTGAGGAACATCCCAATGAAACATAGTAACAAATGGATGTATACCTGGCGATGGTTAATTAGCATTAAAAACAGATTTAATTAAGTGTTTTTTTGTCTACCCACACATCGAAATTAATCCTATTTGTGAGTTTTTAAGATAATTACATTGTCTCAAATTCGAGATTAAAAAAAAAAAAAAAGAAGACTTTTTTAACACTTTTTTGGTGTGTAGGGAAACCACTCTCACTTTTACAAGACACAATAGATAAATCGCACTAACAAGATCAGACCTGATGAGACAAATATTTTTAAGTGGTAAGAAAAGTCGGTAACCACTTGTGTAATAGACCGCAACCCAATGCGATGGGTTCAATCGAAAGGGTCACAGGAAAAATAAATAACACTATAAAGATTATGTGAAATGAGTTCGACTGACAAAGTGTTACGCAAAAATCAAATTTACGCTTTTTTTACTTTAAAATGCATTTTTTACAATTATTAAATCCCAATAAAATATAGTAAACAATGTACCATTAGCTAGAAGCTCATTTATAAAGTTGTTGTAGAAGTTGATTCCCTCTCTGTTAATGCCAGCACTGAGTCTTCCTCCTGAAAATTAATTCAATTTATAACATTTTTATTTTTTTTAAAAAAAAAAACTAAAAATAAAAATTTATTAGTTTATTTCAATTTATTTTTTATTTTTCATTATTATTACCTGGCAATACTCTTGACCAAGAAATGGAGAATCTGTAAACATCCAGCCCAAGTTTCTTCATTATCTGGACATCCTCCTAGAACAAAACAAAAATTAAGGAAATTTTAATAATTATAAAAAAGGAACCTAATTACTATCTAATTATCTAAATACTTACTAATTAATTAATTAGCATTAGATTCTTAGATTCCCCAACAATTACCTTGTATCTATGATAAACATCAACAGCCGTAGAAGCATTAGTCCCATCCGTCACTGTACCTGCGGTTCAATTAACACATATTAGTCTTAACTATCCAACCAATTATATCTTTGATTTTGGAGAAAAGTTGACAACCACTACTAAATTAAAATAAGCATTTTGGATGAAATACGTCTTTTAAGTTTTAACTCTAGTCAGCAAAGAATTCTAAAGAGGTAAACCAGTCTAGATTACTCATAATTAACTTATTTAAATCAAAAAGATCAATTATCTGCTAACTCGGTTGAAGTTGCCCTCAACGAATTATATCTACTAATACGAGACCAATACAATTAATGCAATATAAAATTCCTTTAAAGATTTTGACAACTTCAATTTAGTTGACTTAGTAATAACGTTTTAAGTCCACTCTTATAAGAGTTGTCAACTTTCTTGATTTGAAGGCGATCAGCTTTAAAAGTCGAAATTGGGTTTTACTGTAAATTTTTTCATAAATTAAAAAAATCAAGATACCTTTTTTCTTAGAGAAGGTATCCCAAATGCAAGGTTTCCGACCACCATCATTTGTTGCTCCTTCCGTCTATAATTTCAATTAAAAACTTTTATTTTTCTAAATTACCAGAGAGAGAGAAAAAATGTAAATAAAGAAATTAAAAAGCGTATAAAAACGCCGGCGGCGAACCTGATAAGCTGACGATGATGCACCGAATAAGAAGTCGTCCGGGAAGTCACTCCGGCAAACCTGGAACTTCCGGCCGTTTCCGGTGAGATGATTATCCATTTTCTTATCGCCGTACATGTTCCTATGCAAGCTTGTTTTAATGAAAAACAAAACAGAAAAGATCGAGGAGAGGAGAATATATGTGTGTGTTCTGGAATGAAGATTTTCTTGGAAGATATATAAGAGGAGTCTTGTGTATTTATGCGTCGTAGGTTGTAGGTGGCATGCTGACAAATTAAAGACGAAAAGTGGTGGCATTATCCGACCAAATATTTGAACTTCGAGAAACACGTAAACATGTAAATTAGAAAAATAAAATTCAACTAACCCGGCGACCAACGCGGAATATAATTATTGTTTCTATTTACAGTCCGCAGTTGCTATCCAAATGTGTATTTTGAATAAGGCAGAATAGTTCACATAGACAGTTCAGTTGGTCACAATGTGAAGTTTAGGATAATGTTTTGGGACCGAGTCTCACCCGTAACATAGTGAGAGGGACTTCTTGTGCACAGTAAGCAAAAGTCTAACATCTGTGTTCAGTTGAGTTACCATGATTTGCATTTTCCCAGATGCTCTGTCGTGTCGGATTTAATTTTTTGAGAATAATAATGGATAAGGCAGAATATAATTATTGGTGTGTTTTTTTGTTCTTCTATTTATGCCTTTATTCATTATTATGTCTAGTGTATAGTAATTAAGTACTTTTCCTTTTTCATTTTTGATCATTTTAAGGTCCTTAATTACTATTTGAAGTTACATTTTACATGACGTGGAATATAATTATAGTCTTTTTTTAATATATTATATTTTTCATGCAAGACTAATCACTACTGGAAATTCTGAAATTTCCGACCACCTGAAAATGATCTTAAATTAAGTTGATACCAAAAAGTCCAAAAAGTGGTCGGAAATAGCAACAAAGGTTTTTCCGGATATCAAAAGTGGTCGGAAAAAGACTTCAACTTGATTTAAGATCACTTTCAGGTGGTCGGAAATTTCAGAATTTCCAGTAGTGAATCTTAAATCTTCACAAACCCCACTCAAAGACGCTAGAGGAAGTAAATTGTGAATTATCTAAATTCAATCCTCAATTTTTATCTCTGCATGTATACTTTACGTATAATGAGTCTTTGTTACCTCTGATCGATTTTTATGGTTGTTGTATATATGTATGCCTTTATTCCTCTGTGTTTTTGGAAATTATTGTACTGTGAAGACGGGTGGATAATGTTGTTGACACGCATGCAAAACATTATTCTTGTGGCAATATAATTGTATTGCTCCGCACGAATATGCAAAACGAGGATAACCTTATCCTGCTAGGAAATTATATTATTCGATCGGTCGGGTTTTTAATTAACCAGACCAAATTATACAAAATCCTATCATGCATATTGATGTTCGTTACGTTGTTTGTTGGTGCATAGGAAAAAATAATCATTCAATTAACAGAAACATTATTATATATTAATTGAATCTTATGAGGTAGGATTATTGATTGTCACAATAATTTAGGTAAGCGAATCAGATAATTGGCTTATTAATTACAATATTCTAAATTTTACTCACTGTAATAACTATTTATTAGCTTTATATGTTTGAATTGATCGAGTAACTTAATTTGGTTTATCTTCTTATAATTTTTTACTGGTTAAGATTACAATCATTACACTCAAAATAATATATCTATCTTTGAATAACAATTAGAGACTTTCCCATTAGTCAACCGAGGTTGTTGGTGAATATAATATGTTACAATTAAGAATTAAAACTTGATGATGATGATGTTTGTTTGGAAAATAGAATAGTTGATGTAGTTCGAGTCAACGTACGTTTGGTATACGTAATTATAAACACACATATATAGTATTAGGGGCAAATTATTCTCAGGACCTGCATCTAAATATTTACAATTTACATACTAAATGAGTAAATGTTCATAATTTACTTTTTAAAAATTTATAAATTTGTATACTACAAACACACAATGTTAATAGTGGCGGAGTCAGGATTTACGTCGAGTGGAGGCGAAAAAATAAAGGTAAAATGAATTAAAAAAATGTTCAAATACAATGTATAAATATAAAATACAAAATATCAAATACGAATAAAATTGTTAAACAACTATATGCTAACTAACATTAACTAATTATTCCAAATAAACAACTATGCCAACCAACATTAACGAATTTTCAGCAAATGAATTCGTCCTTAGTAATTAACATAACCATTAAACAACTATATCAGTACAAATGAAATGCATGGCAACTAAATGGAATGCATCTTTCGAACTACTGACATTTCATTCATATTATGATCGAGGTAAAACAATATCCTTACCATCCAAGCCAACCCAAACTTTGTTTAAATCTTAGTATATTTAGTATATATAGAATTTATATGGGGTAGGGCCCACTGCCCCCATTGTGGCTCCACCACTGAGTATTAACATATATGTAATTGATTATCTTGTTTTGTATTCACAAGTTCATTTCAAATACTGCAATCACACATCTTATATTATATTCACAAATTCCCTTCTACAGTTGTTATGTGTTTGGACTTAGAAACACAATTTATATTTTAGAAGTTTACAATTCTAATACTAAACATACACAAATTATACGTCGTTCCATGGTGTTACAAAACATCATGCAGCAGCTTATAATTACTGTACTTATTTTTAATTAAACTGAAAATTAAAAATCATGTCAGACGATCTACCAACAATTTATACCAACAGATCACCATCATCTATAGGTATATAATAAGCAGCATAATATTTATATTCCAATCTACTATACATTCATTATCCATAAAATGGATGTATGATTCAGTTGGTATTGATTTATCCCTTGAGACATACTTCAACAGAAAAATCAATCCAAAATAAATTCATAAACTTTATTTTACTAACCATTGTGAGATACAGGGTTTAAATGAATTATTTAATTATTAATTATTAATTAGTTGGAATAATCAATGGGAGAAGAATGCAACCTAGCTAATAGAATTGATTATTCCGACTAATTTAATTAAATAATTCATTCAAACCTCTACCATGCCTACTTTTACATAATTCAAAAATAAAATGTAGAAAAGTAATCCACCTTCCTCCTTTTCATTTTTTTTTTTTTGGACTGCACAAAAATATATGGTTAACTATATTTATTTATTTTTTAACTTTTGAAAGAATGATCGAGTAAGTAGAGAATGATTTTTGAACCAAAAGGTCACAAGTTCAATTATTCTTCTCCAAAAGGTTGAATCATCAACCTAAGGGCTCCACACTCTGTCTTGAATGTGAGCGCACACAAAAAATTTGCCTACTACTAAATTTCGAACATTGATTTCTTCTCCCAAGAGTTGATCACAAATTCAATTCTTGCCAACATCCGTGGTTAAGCTCTAATAAATAAATAAAAACTATATTTACTTTTGAGGATAATTATTGGAGAAGCAAGTCTTAAGTGAAGTTTTTCCATCCACTAATATATATGCACGATCAAATGAGAACCACATTTCTCATGCGACATACGAATTGAACTACATATTATGCATCTTGTAATGCTTGATTGTGCATTCACGGATAAGTAATTGTGCATATACATCCTAGAAACACACATTTTTATAATGTTTGATTGTGCATCTTATAATGTCTTATGGGAACATAAAAAAAAAAAAAACCATTAAATCAAGTTGGAATCAACTAGATGTCATCTAATTAGCACATATATTTATTTCTCTATAAGTTTGTTCCACCATACACACCCAATCATAATCCTTGAACTCTCGAATAGCCTCTAAAATGTGGTAAAAAAATTTCGCTCATATAGCCACATAATTTCGAATAACAACTTGTGAATTACACTCTAATTCAACCTTAACTCAACTTTCTCTATATTAGGACTATTTGTATTTGAGTCGACTCCTAATCTTAATCTTCCTATGATTCTCTCTTTATATATTCCCCCAATCTGTACAATTATATTTACATTCATTCAATACAATTCTATCAGTTATCATTCTCCATCTAACCATAACAAAAATTTCGTTTGAGCAAATAGTAGATTTATATTTCAAAAATAAACTAAAATAAAATATGATAAAACGTGATATGTTTTTAAACGTTTTGTACATGTGACTTTTTAGAGAAAAGTACATTATATTTCGTACACGTCAAGAAATTAATGTGCATGGATTTGGTTATTTGAATGGATAAGCTAAAAGATTAGTCCAATTGGCCAAAACTATATATAATAATATATTCCATTTGTATTTTTCATTTTTTTTTAAATTATTGTTCCCAAAATGATTTTGTCGGGACAGGGTTCACGATAAATCAGATAAAAGGATATCGGGGTCTATAGTTACCAGTTGGTAAGGAACATGATCCATCCCCCCCCCCCCCCCCCCCCCCCCGCCCTGACAAAAAAAAAAAAAAAAAAAAAAAAAAAAAAAAAAAAGGAGAAGCTGCGGTACATCTCTAATTCTGGGAAACAAGTCGATGCCCTACTTCGAGTTCCTTCCTTTGTAGTCAAATTTGATGATACGCTTTGGCGATGTTACCTACCAAATAATATATAGGTGTATAGAACGGGGTAGGAAAGTAGTAATATTATTACTCGGGGAGCTAGGCCCAAAAGATTACGTACAAAACTCGAGATATAGGTCCAAAACGACGGTTCAAATAATAAATAAATGAGTAACACGAACAATAGCTCAAGTAATGAACTAGCAGTATTAATACCGTTGTCAAGAATCGAACTGTAGTGAATGAGTTAAAGGAGAAGACTCTAGACCACTAGACCGTAGGTGCTACCAAGCCATGCGGGTACAACGCTCAGGGTACACCTGACGCACTAGGCACGCGACAGCAAGCGAAAGCTGGTGCGCCGACCGACAAGCCGCCAACGCCCCCTAACTAACCTCTCTCAACCCACCTTTTCTTCTACTAGACCAAACCAAGCACACCAAATCCGGCTCATGACTCATATCCCAATCAAACCCCACCTATAAATTTCTTATCTCATTTAATTAATAAAACAAAAACCTATTTTTCAAAGAACAATATATACTCTAAAAAAAATTGTAGAAGGTTTGGTCTGCAAAACGTGTAAAATTATTACAGCATTTTTTAAAAATATTTTAAATAAAAGAGAACTCATTCATTAATCAAGTCAAATAGAGCACATCATATAAAAATAAAGGCGGTTCATTGACTATTTAACAAAAGCGAAATATATATATTAAAATAATATTATAGAATTCAGATTTTTGAAAAAAAAAAATATTTCATTTTTTGTTCTAAATTTAAAAGTGATAGTTCACTTTTAGTAACATAGTTAACTTATCAAATGGTTAGCTTATCAACCAATTTTAATTTATTTGACAACTATTAGTTATTTAACTTGTTAAACAATCAATATGAGTGTTTGATTAATTAGCTTTTTCTAACAACTTATTGCTCTAAAATGCTAATGCTAATATTCAAAACAGCTTTTTGAGAAAATCATTTTACATGTAATCAGCTACTTATTGCTCTAAAATGCTAATGTTAATATTCAATGTAATCCGCTATTGCTCTAAAATGCTAATGCTAATATTCAATGTAATCAGTTATCAATTAACAGCTAATTTACCAAATATTTTTCTACTATCAACTAATTTAATGTTATTAACTAGTCAAACCCACAAACTCAATAAGCTGCTATTTACCAAACACCCCCAATAACTATAGAGGATAATTGATTCAGAAATAACTATAGAGAATAATTGAAGGACTAAGTCCCTCCCAATAATCATTATCATTATGAAAAAAATAGTGAATACTCAATAACGAACAAAGCATTTCAAGCTTTGTTGCAGAAAGCAATGAAAGATCAGAACTGCAAGAAATGAAGAAACCAAGAGAAGAGATATTCACAAAGTGACAATTTAGAAGAAAAGGGGATTGATTGTATGTACAAGTAGAGTTTCCATGATCAATTTGGGGGGAGCTAGATTGAACTGTACAGTGGGAAATCAAGCTAATCATAAGAATCCCCATTATGGGTTCTTGTAATATGGTGGTATTTACACCAGAACAGTTAGCTTCCATCATTTCCAATTTGCCGGTTAGCGCGATCAGGAAGGGGACGATGATTGGGAACGAATGGTCGATGATGATGTATCGGGTAACATGGCGACTGTCACGATGAAGAACTCGCACCCAACAGGGAGACCATAAGGCGTTGTTGAAGTTGTTCCTGAATTCAAGGACGACAACCGGCTCGTTCCTGCATCGGACATCAATGAATCTCCTACTACTCGATCTCTATCGTGGTGGTGGTCAGCTTGAGTCGAGGGCGAGGGTGGGGCCCTCACGATCTGTCGTTCTATGTGCACAATCTGCCCGACAACGTAGCTTGGGCGGCTCGGGAGATGGTTGGTGAACAAGGCCACCGATTCTGCAGAGAGGTAATAGCGGGGGCAGTGGCGGTTGATTGCCTCGTAGTATCCCGCTGAGTTGAGCACGAATGCTGCAATCTCGTGAACTTCGAGCCGAGCAAAACATATCTTCTCTTTGTTCGCCTATAAACACACAGGAAACGCAACAGAGAAACCTCGTTTATTTCAAAAATTGTATATAGTATATATACCTTTTCGGGATGCAACAATGATATAGTTACCATCGAAGACAAAAAATGAGTTACCTGCTTCTCGAGTTGATGTTTTTTATAGAGGGCGTTGACGAGCTCTTTCTTCTCTTCAACCTCCTTCGTTAGCTGCTTATTTGCAGTTTCGGAATTCGAACACCTTTCAAGCAGCTCTGCTCGGTTCCTCGACAATGCAGCAACTTTCTCAGCGAGCACCCGGACACATTCTCGGAACTCAGCGGTGCTATCATCCTCCTTTTCATTAATAGAACTAGTATTCGAAAAGACGGAAAAATAAAAATAAATTTTGAGTTAGTGTTTCTTGGGTTAAAGGGTTCTACCTATCCCCGCCCAAGTTTATACTAAAATATTAGGATGAAAAGTAGACCATAAAACGAGTGTCAAAAGACGAGGGAAATAAGACTCACTTTGCCAAAGACTGAGATAAAGCACGTAGGGACTCGGCAAAACCAGCTGTCCCGCCCGATAAAATACAAGTTCTCAATCTTTCGAAGAGGCTACGCATTTTTACAGCAGAAGCACGCAGTGCACTATACTCCGAGGCCCTTCGATCGGCCGCACAAAGATGGGTTTGAGCTTCCTCCCTTGCCTCGTGAAGACAATTCTCCAAGTGGGCACAATTCATCTGCAGACCAATATAGAAAAGAATCACGGGGTATTTGAGTTAAGAGAGATTTAATAAACTATCAGTTACACGTTTGGTTCACGGAATGAATTTTTAGGAATGCTATTCCATAAGGAATGGAATAAGCCAAGAATATAATAGGAATTGTATTCTATTGTTTGGTTCGCAGAAGGAATAAGCCTATTACTGGGAATGCTATTCCATTCCAGGCCTACTCCGCGAACCAAACGTGCCAATCAGTTGCATAGAAAAAAAAAAATTTATGGTGGCATGAGTAACGAGAGTCGAAGAACAAGTCACCGCGACATTGCTACCATACCATACTACTTATATTGCCGTTTAAATTGAGAAAAAAAAAAATGTAGTTTCAGTCAACAGTACCTGAGATTCATCGAGGAGCTGCCTCTTGTTCTCCAACTCCATGTTAAGCTTGGCGACCTTTTCTCTCAACATCCCGAGCTCATTCTCTGCTTCGTTCAACTCGCTTGATTTTTCAGCAAGTGCGTTTTGCAACTCGAGAACCAGATCGGCACTTACTTTCGAATCCATGTCGGGTTCAGCTGCTGCTTCAGAAGGTAAAACGTTCGAAGGCTGAGACACACTCAAAACCATAGAACTTGACGGGATCGACACAGCCACATCCACCGTCTCTTTTGCATCCTTGTCAGAGAAGTGCTCGTGTTCTTCATCACGGTGAGGATCGAGCATAGATGAATCCAATTGCGGGTTAATCGTACTGGAAGAATCCGTCATATTATCGTACAATGCTTCTTGTGCCGCCTTTCTCTGTTTGGAGAGAAGCCCCGGTTTATCTAATGAACTAGAGGCACACGAAAACTCATCCATAGCGGCTTCTCCAACGCCCGATATCTCGGATTTGCTACCGTCGTTCTTCGCAGCCGAAGCGGTTAAGTTCGACGTGCCCTCATCGGCAGAATGCTTATGGCCTTGCGAGTAATGATCCGATAATCGCTGCTCCAATTCCTGGATTCGTTTCTCGTACGATTCACACTGCATTTGTTTCGTCTTCAGCATAGATTGGAGGTGTTTTTCGTACTCGTCTTTCAGACGTAGGGCTTCGGAGGTTTTCTCCCGGATATCTTTTCGAAAACTATCGATTTTACTATCGTCGAGAGATTCGTAATCGAATTCAGGGCTAATGGAACAAATCACGGCTATCTTAGAAGCAAGTTCCGCTCTTAGTTTCGCATTCTCGACCTCCATCTTGCTGGTTCCAGCGATATCTAGAAACTCCGAACCCTCGGAATCGACCTTCTCAGAAAATTCAAAGGCACATTCATCGATTTCGGCCGATTGTGAGCCATCGTTAGACATGGAAAACGAACTCTTGAGACCCGAATGCTTCTCGCCTCTGTATGATAGTCCCATCAAATACTCAGGAGCATAACGATCGAGCACCGAGATATCAATATCGAGCAACTTGGTATCGAAAGGACTTATATTCACGTCACACTGGCTAGGGGTATCATACAATCCCATCGAAAACAAAACATCCCTCGGAATGTATGAACTGTGAACTTTAAGGAACTCCTCTCGCCTACGAATTTCCGCTTCCCTCTTGGTCGCGAGCCGTTCAGCCAATTGTCCCGCCATCCCCATATAGAGCTTCATCGAAGCTTTCCTTCTTACAACCTCCGCAAGGCACGCTCTATATGCAGGACCGATTCCACGAACCACTCTAAGGTGTTCAAAAAGATCACTCTGACGCTTCAAAGCCTCCTGGAAGACGGAGAATTTGCACCGTATATCCTTGATCATATACTGGATATATGCTATCTTTTGCATATAATTATGCACAAATAGGTTCGTTTCGTTCTTTTTATCCTTGCAGAAATCAAGCAAACCCGTGATTCTTCGATCACAATCCTGCATCTTGCGGAGATAAATTTTCTCGTGGCTTTCGTACATGGGACCCAAGGCAGAAACCGCATCATGAGGACGAAGAGAGGATGACGACTGGCCAGTGAGGCAATCATCCACGAGCCTTTTTACCATATTCACATCTTTACTGCACGAGCATGAGCAAGAATTGTGTAAATATTAACGGTTATAAACATGTGTAAGAATGAAAAACATCATATGCATCAGAGGTTTGATATGAATTATGAACACATTGCAAGAAAGAAAATCAGAATATCCAATCTTATGGTCGCATAAAAACTTGGAGGCACTTCTCCACTTAACCCAATTCACCGTATTTCTGATTTGCATAATTATCAATGTTTCCCTATGAAAAGTAGACCCAAGGTATTACAAGTGCATACAATTTTGAGCATCCATTGCATCAAACTCAACTCCACCCACACCAGTATGTTATGCCGAATTTGCAGCATACACTGAAGTAAAATATTTCTTCAGCACACTTTGAGCCCCTCATCTCTGGGTTAAACTATGGAAACGAACCTAGCATATGTCTAGCAACTCATCCATCACTAAAGTAAAAAAGAAAAGGTTAAGGCCCTATTTGATAAAATAGTTAGCCTATCAGCTAATTTTGGATTATTTGACCACTATTAACTGTTTGACTTGGTTAAACAATCAACATGAGTGTTTGATTAATTAGCTTTTTGTAACAACTTATTGCTCCAAAAAGTTAAAATTCAAAAAGCTGCTCAAAGTAGCTTTTTCGATAAGCTTTTTGAGAAAGTCATTTTGTATGTAATCAACTATCAACTAATAGCTAATTTACGCCTCACACTAGTAACTATCATAGGTATCTTTAACTCTAATGTAAATAGGAGGTAAACCTTCTTCTTTAAGAACCAGCATAAAACATGTCTTGGTAATCTATAATAGACCTGTGCACTGCGAAGAGCAAGCATATTTATACTTTTTCTAAAAAGGTGCATCTAAAAGAGAATGGGAGAATATACACTGACAGAAAGCTCTTAATATTTAATAACTGTAATGAATGAGAGAATCATGCTGCCTCTCACTATTTTAAGTTGTTAGCGTATTGTGGCTCTATGCTTCTATTTGAATGGCTTTAAAATGTAATGGATGAGAGAACCCCTATGCAAAAGCAAAGTAAGTTAAAAGCATAGTAAAAAAAGGTTTGCCTTTATCATCAGAATCAGCATTTGTGCATTGAACACTCTGTTCGATTGGTAATCAATGGCCCTATATGGTAAAATAGTTAGCCTATTTGCCAATTTTTGCTTATTTGACCGCTATTAGTTGTTTCACTAGGTTAAACAATCAATATGAGTGTTTGATTAATTAGCTTTTTGTAACAACTTATTGCTCCAAAATGCTAAAATTCAAAAAGCTACTGGATCAGCTTTTTGAGAAAGTCATTTTGTATGTAATCAACTAACAGCTAACAGCTAATTTACCAAATACTTTTCTACAATTAGCTAATGATATCAACTAGTCAAACTCACTAACCCAATCAGCTAAAAGCTAAGCCATTTACCAAACACCCCCATATCATAGTCTCGAGAAGTAAGAATGAGTTTATTGCATCATGCGTAATAGGGTATGCAAGATTTCAAAAGTATATCAAATGAGAGCGGGGGCTAAATAAAAGGAAAATAACACCACTACACCACAGAGAAGGAGAAGGGAAAGAACCTCAAAGCCTGCATTATGCTCTTTTGCTCACTGAGATACTTCTGATGGTCTCGGATGGTCTGTTCCAGATCCCTGATAATATCAGAAGCCTTGCTCGAAAATAATTGCTTGGCATTGTTCTCTAGCTCTCCGAATTCCTGCTTAAATTCGGAAACCTTATTATCGAACTGCAGGTGGGAACTGTTACAATCCTCTACCAACTTATGCAAGTTCTCTTCCTTCACAAAGTCCAGCAAGCATTTCCGGTTGCCAGTTTCTAAGGATGGATGGAGTTTGCAAGATCTCAACCTCTCTATATCCCTCCCGAAATTCGTTATCAGATTAGAGTGGCTCCGATGCTGCTGCGAGTAGCATTTCAAGAATTCACCATAGTTTTGCTGTATCATCCCGTAGAAATGATCAAGATTTCCCCTAGCAATCCCCATAGCTCTCTCCTGCACCTTCTGAGCTTTTAAAAGCCTCTCACAGGCCTCGATTTTCACTTGCGAAAGCGTGTAAATGGCGTTTCCGCAGTGGAAGTGGTACCTGAACTGCCTCTCGTACGAGGGCAAGGCTTTTAGGGCAGGATCCGAAGCATCATCCAACGGGTGGGGATCGTGGGTAGCGGTGGGCAACGGGGGATCAGGAATGTCGATTTTCTCGACTTGCTCGGGGGCTGGAGGTGGTGCATTGCTCCGCATTCTTGATTTGTTGAACAAGAACACTTCTTGATCGTCCGATGGGAGCTTGTAAGTCGAGAGGGGGCACCGAGGCTCCAGTTTCACATCCTGGCACAAGAGAAGATGATCATTCGAGGGAATCCCGCTCACCGATTCCAGGTATTCCTGCACGTTTTCAACGAGCGTATATCCATTGCAACTGAGCTCAAACGATTGCCCGTTCTCGGCAATGTGAACTAAGAGCTTCCCATTTTGAACTGCACCAGACAACACATTTGAACTCATCTTCTCCCCCAATTCCACAACTCCTCACCAAATAAACAATTATCAAACCACCTTAAACTCTTGCCACGCCGCAATCTCCAGCCCTGATCCACAAAATCAACAATCAAAACAGAAACTTTATGTATATCGAAACATACCCACCCCTCAAATGATCCAAAGCAACCCAAATCTCAGCAAATCCAAAGAAAGATCTTATCAATATTCAATACAACCCCCCCCCCCCCCCCCCCAACTTCAAACCAGTCTTAAAACCCCATATTCAAAACCTCCAAAACCCCAATTTCACAATTCCCCTCTTATAAGATTCCCAAAACCCACTCCACTCCCACCTTAAAACACCCAATTTCACCCGACCCGACCCACCAGCAAAGCTCAGATTTTTCAACGACCTCCGAGAATAGTTCGTCGGAAAAATCGCAACTTCACCGCCGCCGACAAACCCCCAATTCCCACAAAACCCAAACGCAACCAATCAATCAATCCCCGCCGCAAAAATCTGCAATCAATAAACTAAACCGGGCCCATAAAACGCAAAAAACAGAACCCAAATGCATATGCTCACAAACACAGATACATCCACAATCGAAAGAGAAACAGAATTACTTGTGATTAGGTCAATATTCTCTATGTATCTGATGATGGGTCTGCGTTTTCTTGTTTTCTGGAGCTGAATAATACTCTTTTGTTCCCTTCCTTTTCCTCTCCTTTCTTCCCCTTCTTCTCGCTATTTATCAGAGAAAAGGGTCCTTGTGAAAGAAGCAACCAACAGGGGTCAAGGAAGGATTTTCGCAGTGGTCTTTTTCCCAGTTCCTCCACAATTTCATAAAAGAGAAAGAGTCCTGATACAACACACACACACACAAAAGAGAAAAAATGTCGCAGCTGCCTTATATTAAACCCCTCTTTTCCATTTTTGTGGATAATGATGTCTATTGATGGTAGGATTCTTAGTATTTTCTCTCAATTTTATTTCAATAAAGGCATGTTTGGTTCAATCTTTTAATGGATGGATGCACCTATGCAAGGGACTTGTGTGGTGTTGACACCAACCAATCCAAAGAATTATAATACGATGATGGGATGAGTGAGAGCGTTACATAAATATTATTTTATGATCAGATTATTATTTCATGTGTTTGAATTTAATTATTTGACATTTACTTTTTTTTTTATGTATATTATAAGAAGTCGAGAATCTTACACTATATTCTAGTTCTGTCCAGAATGATTTGGTAATGTTCAATTTAATTGATTTATTGATATATTTAATTGTTATGAGTATTGTGAATTTATAGGAAATTATGGAATATTACGATAGTCGTTATTTATGTAACACAAAATATGTATTATGCTTGGTTTTAGTGAACAAAATGAGAATTTTGAGAGGGTGGAACATAATTGAAGGTCATGAGTTCGATTTTTATCCAACAAACAATAAGAAGTTTACTACAATTGTAAGTATGTAACCATAAAATAATGCATGTTCTTTTTTTTTTTTAATACTACTCACTCTTTTATAGGTTCAAACCCACAACGTCGCACATAAAAGAGCAACTCAGTGCCAGTGGACCACAAGGTCTATGGTAACATATGACATTATTAGTCATCTACTTATCAATTGTTCTAATATGTTACAGCTAAGAGGGGACAAAGTCAAAACTTGTTTAATAACTCTATCAATTTCAAACAAATCACGAATAACAATCACTATGTGAGATACTATGTAATAGACTAATAATCTATAAATCATATTCTTATGTAAGTAACTTGTAAATCACAGTAAGAAGATCTTGTGTAACTCATTTGCTCAATCCATTTTCAGCCAAGTACCCTAAGCATCTTCATTAGTCTGATTTTTGCACAGATTAAGCCTCATTAAATGAGAGTGGTCACCAGTTGACAACTACCCCCAACATGCTTACTGCTTAGTGGGCGCTTCTGCTGCGATTAATGCGCACTAACTTTATGTTTTTTTTTTTTTTTTTTGCATGGAGCCCAATGGGAGGCAAAAATCAATCTCTCATGCAACTCTTTTTTGTCTTCTTCTCTTTTCTCATTCTCTCTCTTTTACATAAGTTTAAGCATCTTAAAAAAAAAATTTTAAAATTCACTATTATAAATGCCATAAGGAGGGTAAGGCCATAGACCAAACAATCCCTATGCAGTATGTGAAATGTCACAATTAGCCTTCCTTGAGATAAGGACCTCCAAGGGAAGGTAAGGCCATAGACCAAACAATCCCTATGCAGTATGTAAATGTCACAATTAGCCTTCCTTGGGATAAGGACCTAAATATTTATTTAGGATGATACCAATTACCATTAAACTTCCCAAGCAAAATTAAGGTCAACAGTATTTGCCTTTTTCTCATTGTAAGTTACAAAACACAATTATTGCATGCTCGCAGACACAATTAATAATTCCCAATTTCCGTCCATGTCCCTGTCCTTAAAAAAAAAAAAAAAAAAAAAATAGTATACAAAACCAAATTGGGATTTGTGTGAATCCAACGTTTTTGGCTTTTCTTGCGTAGATTCCGTGTCGATAATAATTATAGATATTGTTCCAAGAGGTGGTTAAATGTGTATAGAAAAATTCTCCTAGTAAATATTTTATCAGGTGAACTTTTGTTAGGAGTTTTTTTATAACAGTTTATTGTTTAAAAGGATTAGAATTAAAAAGTTAGTTAAAATAAATTTTTTGATCAATTTTTTATAAAAAATTATTTTGTATATAATTAGCTATCAATTAACAGTTAATTTATTAAACAATTTTCTATAATCAACTAATGTTATCAACTAGTTAAATTCACTACCCTAATAAGTTACCCCATAGTCAAAGTAAGTATAACACACACACACACACACACACACACACACACATATATATATATATATATACATGATTTGGTGTTAATCAATGCCAACAAAAAAAAAAAAATTCTTACAATTTATTAATTAAATATTGATAATAATATTCTGTTTCTTTAACTTAAGAAAAAAGCTAATATTAAAAAAAATACATATAAATATATAATTAATTATTTGGAATTCTTTTGTTTTTGTTCCGACGAACATACTCTTTCTACGTGATGAAGTATTCAATTTTTAATGCATTACTTGACATCTTGAATTTGCATCCTTTTGCACGAAATGTCTAAAGGAGATTCTTTTGGTTTTCTACTTATGCGGACAAACAAATTATAATAATTATTCGAGATAATTCTACAGCTAAAAATACATTATTATCAAAATATATAATGATGGTTTATATATATTTATTGATGGATATATTAGAATTGACTTAAGATTTTAAACCTAATATGACATGGACATAGAACGAAGCATGTAGGCTGAGAATATTCAACCTTGAGATCGATTAGATTTGAGTTCAAAGGTGTACCCGAAAGTAACCCATGATTGTCTCAAGGTCAGATCGATTAGCATCGGCGCATGGGGTCTCGGGATTGTCCTTGACGTCCTGGGATCGATCATCGAGATTAGCCGAGGGACCTTGAGGTCAACCACAACCAGGGGATTATTTTTGCATATATGACATTGTATTATTTTCTTAGTTATTCATATTACTTAACAAAATTATTCAAGATATAAACTTATAAAACAATTTACCCCCTAACATAATGATAGACAATCGTATTTCATGTTGACCTTCTCAATTTCAATCTGTCATTTATGGTAAACTAAGTTAGTTTACTTCATTATATTGTGGTCTTTTACCGGTTAGGGTTACAAGGCGGTCTTCACACGTACAGCCGTACCCATATATATAGTCATTGTGACTTTTTTTATAAATCGAAGACAATCTTATTTTAAGAGAAAATAATTTTATTTTATTTTGTTTTATTTTATCTTTTAAACATACATGAGTCTATATTAAAACAAGATGTGCTCACACACGTGTAATTTTATTTGTATGAATAATTTAAATAAACGTTTTACAAAGTATTCTTAAATTAATTTTACAACTCACATGAACGGGACATTTCAGAATTGACAAATTATTTTTTTACAACTGATATTTTTAATAAACTCTTTTAAGTAGCTTTTTTTTGACCAATTCAATCAATCAATCTTCTATATATGTCTTATTATTATGACATAATAATGAAGTTAAAATGTATATATATAAAACGAGAATAGTACGTGAACATATATATAATACTACATGTAATCAACAATAAAAATAATGCATACTCCCTCCGTCCCATTTTATTTGTCTGGTTTGGTTAATAAAATTTAACTGAAGTTATTTTTAATTTAATTTGTAATAATATTAAATTTAGTATTAATATATAAAATTTATATATTTAGAAACTACATTATAAGTATTATTAAACACACAAAAAAATAATTTATAATTAATTAATAATTAATAATTAATAAAGAAAATAAGTTGAAGAAAGTGTTGGTTTGACCAACAAATAGTAAAAATGGCAGGCAAAATGAAACAAATGAGTATTTATTATTTAACATGCCATTCTATGATTGGCTAGTTATACAATTAAAGAAGAATAATGATGTCTGGTAGCTGAGTAGATGAAACATGATTCTCATACTTAAATGTCATCACGAGTTCAATTTTTACTAACATTTTTTCGATTGAACCCGTTACACGCGATATTTTTAATCAGTTTAGGCATACGTCCTGAATGGGGTGACCAATCATGATTCAACGCACACCCCCTAAAAAGAGGCGACCCAACCCTGATTCTCATATATGAACCCTCGAGTAACGATTGCAGCCCTAAAAAGGCAGAGTGCGACTTTAAAAAAAAGGCCGAGCATGCTTCAATGCACATGCCTTGCAAAAGGGTGACCCAACCTGATTCTCATATAGGAACGTAACGTACCTTTAAGTAGCGATTGCAGCCCTTAAATGGCCGAATTATTTGACCTGATGTCATTCTTCGAAAGCATGTCAACATTTTACTACCACAATCCAACGCCAACTTATGGTTCAAATTAGACTACACATATACATACATTCAAAATTATCGTTTTGTGAATTGATGCAAGTTAAAACATTCAACGGTGCACAACATGGGAATGCTCCAACAATGTAGAAGAAAAAGGCCACATGATGGTAACTAACATGCATGTGGCTACAACCTTTCCACTTTTGTCTCTCAAAGAATATATCCAACACAGGAATCTTCCTGTGGGTCACACTATGGATAGACGATACTGTTGCCCAGAATTGGACGTTACATTTCTCCTTTGCTACATTTCTTCATTTATTGCTCAAATATTTAACCTAGCTATTTTATGTACTATAACTAGTATACCGGGTTGACAAAACTTGTCATTACCTAATTAATAGAAAACCGTACCATCTTTAATGTCCCGAAGGGTGACCAAGTGGTGGAGCATGCATGCATAATTATTGTACTTAAAGATCACGAGTTGATTATTGTCAGTACTCTTTTGGTCAAATCTGTTGTACGGCGTCTCCTTAGTACAGTTTACCTTTCATGTGTGATTTGCAAGTTATTACGTATGAGTAAAGTTTATGCAATACACATCATTGGATAATAGTTGTGAATTTTCTTAGTCACTCAAAAAATTAAACCATATATATATGGGCCGGGGCTGGTTGATCTATGTGTTGTTAGGTCAAGAGAAATAGGCTAAGATTGGGCCTTACTCATGGCTTAATTTTCTATATATAAATCCATTAGTGAAAAATATATTGAAGGTTAAGTAGGAAAATATAGATAGTCTAGTTGTAGCTAGTAAGGTATTGGGGGTGTTTGGTAAACAGTTGTTACTTGATTGTGTTAGTGAGTTTGATTAGTTAATAACATTAGTTTATTATAGAAATGTATTTTATAAATTAGCTGTTAGTTAACAGTTGATTACATGCAAAATGACTTTCTCAAAAAGCTGTTAGAAAAAGTTGTTTTGAGTAACTTTTTGAATTTTAGCATTTTGAAACAATAAGTTATTACAAAAAGTTAATTAATTAAACACTCATATTGATTGTTTAACCAAGTCAAATGGCTACCGTTGTATGCCAAATGCGGTATTTTGGGTAAGGCATTTCAAAAAGCATATATCTTTGGTCCCAAAGACAATAACTTAGAGTGCAAGAATGGTTTAACCGCATTTAAGGAAATTTTGTCATTCTCAAGGAAATTATATTTCAAAAAAAAAAAAAAAAAAAATGCAAGTTAGGCATTATATATGGAAGGTCCAAATTACCCAGCTTGTACATTATATCTTTATGAAATTAGTTTTCTTGTACATGTATAACTATGACAAGCAATTTCATTACGTTTACAACAACACACTCTTTATTTACTAATTTATAGACCATAAAGCCAACAATATTAAGCATGGCTTGGACTAAATTGGGGTAATTTAAGATTCCATCTTTCATCTTCATTGTATTTTCAAAATAATAATTCTAATTTAACTCAGTTTGCTATTTTATTAATATTAATAGTCCACCACCTTCATTAATCTATAAAATATTGAGAACGACTTCAAAAGAAATTGTCAAGTTGGTGAAACATGATTGTTGTACTTAAATATTACAAGTTTGATTATTGTCAACTTCTTCTTGGTCGAGTCCCTTGCATGTGATTTTTCTAATATGATTTACCTTTCTCGTGTGTGATTTGCAGGCTATTACACAACAACGCTTGAATTTTGGAGTTTGAGTTTTTGAGCGTAGAAGTGTATAGTTTGACATTGAGTCTCGAAGCTAGATTGCCTCAATTTAGACCACTATTGCAAAAATCGGGCTAGGCGCTCCTAGGCTGAGGCGAATTAGCCCTTAGGCAGTCATCTCGGCGCCCGGCCGCCTATCCTAGGCACCCAACTCGGACTTGCATATATATATATATATATATATATATATATATATATATATATATATACACACACACACACACACACACACATATACATACACGCGCACTATTTTTGTTTAGTTAGTCGCCTAGGCGCTACTCTACCACTCGACTAGCGTTTAACGCCTACTGCAATCATGATTTAGACTACTCAAATCACTTCCTCGTGAGCTTCATAGTTTAGGTGGTGACGTGAAAAATTCATGAGGTCTAAGATATAGTTTGACGAAGTCGGAAACCTGGTTATAAAAAAAAAAAATATATTAAAAAAATTGAGAGGTAGCCATAGTGGTCCCCACAACCAAAAGCTTTAAATTTCGCTTGCTGTGGAAGAGCGCGGCCAAAACCCTCCGTTCCAGAGTTCCAGTCCTCAACGAACTCTCTTATCCAATCAACTATATATACATATACATATCAACCGCCTTCTCCTCCTCCTCATCCGCCGTCGTCGCCGCCGCTTCTCTACTAAAGGTACGCATCTTCAAATAACCGATCGTTCGTTACTATTGTAGGATTCGTTTTCCTCTCATCATTATTATATTATCATCTTCCTTGCGTAATTGTTATTAATCTTCTTCTCATTCAATAAACAACAAAATTTCAGTTTCAGTATGCATTATGGGATCGTTAATGATTATACCTCAATTAATGGCATCATCTAGCAACAATATATGTGCTTTGAATTATTGATACGCATACGCAATAATATGCGCAATTTCTTGCAGTTTTATCTGTTATTTGTTGCAGAATGAGTATATGAGAAAAAACGTTTAAGGAATTGTTATTGGTTAGGTTTAATAAAGGGAGGCGACATGGACAAAATGGCGAACGGAATCCAATCGGAGGAATTTTCCGGCGAAAAGGAATCTTCTGATCAGCAGCGCAGCTTAAAGAACACGGTTATAAAGCGCATATCTACATTGTTTTCCCCTACAATTAGTTCTTCCAGAAAAGTCAACACAGTGAAGATAGGTGAGATGGAACTCTTATCTTATTTTGCTCTATCAACAGTGTGATATTTTGGGTGTTTTCTCTCTCTCTCTCTCTCTCTCTCTCTATCTATGATGCTTGTTTGCAGTGTTAAGGAATTCTATTTTGTGAGAATATTCATGATTGTTTGAACCTTATTTAGCTATTAAATTTGAAGAACACTTATATGTTAGGACAGTAATATCAATGCAGGAGCCTCAAAGTATCAGCTTAATGTCTCGCAATTTTACTTGGCTAGGTGATTTGGGATAGTAGGTGTGTTACTAACCGGCAGAAATTCTATATTTTTCTCAAGAAACCAAACAAAAACAGTAACAGAAAATGCGTTTACTGTTATATTTCTCCAATTTGAAAACCGACATTGAGGAATATGAAACTAGAGAAAGGAAAACTGGAGAATGAAGGAATCACTGCTGGTCAAGTTCCTCATTCTTGAAAGTTTGAAGTTTTATTTTTGGCTGTCTTTTTTTTTTTTTTTTGGTTAATTTTTGTTGTTATTTTCTTTTATGTGTATGCTGATACATCCTGCTGTGTGTGGAGGTAGTGGCTATATATTGCAGTACTGTAGTTCCAATGGAGATATAATCTTTCCAGGAAATAGTTATAGAGTATGTACTGTTTTATGTCAATAATGCATGTATTTGTTATCTTTAAATTGTGTCGAAAACTGGCAAATCCTATCAATTCAAATGTGTAGAATGAAAAGCTTTTTCGGTTTTGTGCCTTCTGAAACCTTTCTAATGTTGCTTACACTCATTTTCATTGGTGCTATCAGGACAGCTTCAAGCTCAACAAAACAAGACTCCTTTGTCCAGGAAAGCTCATGAACAACCAGCTAACAGAAGCCAAGAGAAAACTAGTTCAGCCCTTCCTGCTACTAAGACAATAGTAGCTGGGAAGACTCCAGCCCTTAAAGAGGAAATGGTAGATACCCAAACTTCTCAACCCGAACAATCCACCGGAGGAGTTACTTTGTCACCCGCGTCTAGAAGAAGCAGTGTCCATAACCATAAGACTTCGGCTGTCCAGCAGGGAACCGTAAAAACCAGAACTTCAGGCTCTCAGACTGCTGAAGCATCCACAAGATGTAAGAAAAGCTCTGCAGCGCCTGAAACTTCAACCCCTCATTCTTTTATAAGAAAGAGAAAAATGCAAACATCTGTTAGTCAGTCTAGACCACATGCAAGCAGTAACATTCCTTCTTCATCGACAAGCAGCTTCTCAGTTCTCAATGATGAGCCAGTCCACCATATCAAATGGGATGGTAAGTTCTAAATTCTAATAATCTCATACTCTACAATCAATTCCCACCTCCAATTGTTGCTTAGGTGCATATATAATCATCATTCCAGCCATAATAGCATGGCATTTAAACGAATTTTCCCTCAATCTTCACAATACAACTCTGTTCCACAACGAAGTCTCTCTATTGCAGGTTTCAGCAGAACACGTGAAAATGTTGGATTTACATGTGATCTATGTGAAGAAGATCTGTCCTACATGCCGCCATCAGACAACTATGAATCTGAATATTACGACGATCTGGAGTCTGACCCTTTGAATTACCCAGAAGTTGCTATATTGCAATGCGGCCATTCTTTCCACGTTAGATGTTTTGTTAACACCATACCTGATGAACAGTGTACTGATCCTCCTTGCGTGTTTTGTGCCAGTTACTTGACTTGAAATTCTCCCATTCTTAGCTAGCTAGCTATTCAGATTCAACAAATTTATAACATTATTTTTAAAATAATTCCCCTCTACCTCGTTGTGAAAAGATTCAAAAATTTTGAATGAGAATTAGAATAGTTTATTCTTCGGCTTCAACTCTTAAGTTCCAATTACAAGTTTATTGTGCTTTTAGTTATTCGTCTATTTCAGCTATAACAAATAATCTTTATATAAGAAAAGTCTACAGTGCTGATGACAGACATCTTAGCCTGTGTATATACGGAGTATTTAGGTATTGGATTGAGAACAAGTCCTTATGAGAGAAATAAGAACCAACTTCAACTTTACATATGAAAAAAATACGGTGGTATTTTCGTAATTATGACTAATTTTACTATGCAAACTTGAACACTAAAATCTGTAAGAGTAAATATCTAAAATGGTCCCTCGACAAGATCGTCGATCACGGTCAACAAATGGTCAAATAGATGGAGGACTAAATCGTGTCAAAATTGCAAAGTTAAGGACTTAATTGGTTGAAATTGAAAGTTGAGGACCAATTTGTGAATTTAGCTATAGTCGATGGACCATTTTAGGTATTTACTCAATCTGTGATTCTCAAACTTTTCCAGGTTAGCACATTTAGTATCAACATTTTGCATATTTAGTATTAAAAAATTACACTTGCAAGAATACTAAAATTTACCAAGTTTGTATATTTTTTTGAAAGCAAAAATCGAAGTAGATTATTGCATAAGATCCAAAATAAAGTCAAGGGGAAAGAGTCCCATGACAACATATTGGCGAGGGCAAATTATTATGTGGACCATGAATATCAGGTATATTTTTAATATATTAAAAGTACATTATTTTTGTACTGAATGTACATTATTTTAGTACTAAAGGTACATTATATAAAATAATATACCCTTAGTATATTAAAAATGTACTTTTAAAAAATAGAACATGGTCCATGTAATAATGATTGGTTAGCGAGAGAATAGACTGCACTAGCTAAAGAATGGGCCAAGACATTACAAATAGAATATAACAAAAAGCAAAAGAATGCATGATATCCATATACAATCATTAGTAGCAATGCCCCCGTGTGTCCAAAGTACAGTCGATTTACCAGATTTGTATATTTAGTTGTTAAAACGTTGCATATTTAAGTGTTGAATATTTAATTGTTAAAACATCGCATATTTAAGTGTTAAGTTTATATCGTGAAATTGATGATAATTACAAAAATGTCATAATATTTTTTTTATATATGTCAGATTTTTATAGATGTAAAACTAAGATCTGTTCTTATTTATCTCCCGAGTTAGAACATTTATTCTTCAACTATATATAAAAGGTAATGTTTATATAGAAAAAGTCTATGGTGCTGGTTGCCACCTTAAATTTTAATATATATATATATATATATATATATATATATATATATATATATTCTTGTCTATGACATTGAAATTCAGCTAAAAAAGTTGCCATGCAAAGATCACCTTTACAATTGCTTCAACTGCTGCAGCTATTCCTCAAACAGCCGAAGCAAGTGAAGCAAATCCACTCGCACCTCACCACCGCCGCCTACCTCCGCTCCACGGCGGAATGGGCCAACACCCTCCTCTACAACACTCTCATCCGTGCATACCTAGGCTTCGCGCAGCCCACCGCCAGCCTTCTCCTCTTCATTCACATGGTTGCCGATGAAGCGCCACCCAACAGCCACACGTTCCCTTCGCTCATCAAAGCCCTCTCTTCTCTCCCGCTCCACTGGGCTTCCCTTCTCGGCAGACCCCTCCACGCCCAAGCCCTCAAGCGCGGGGCGTCGGCTGACCCTTTTGTGCAAACCTCGTTTCTCGGGCTGTACTCGCAGGTGGGTGAGTTAGGCAGTGCACGCAAGGTGTTTGATGAAGTGTCTGAACCGTGCGTTGTGGCGTATAATGCTATGCTTGATGCTTGCGGGAAGAATGGGAATATGGGTATGGCCTTGTCCATGTTCTCTAGAATGCCCCAAAGGGATATATATTCTTGGACGAGTATGATCAATGGGTATGCTAGGAATGAGGTTTTTCAAGAAGCAGTGAAGCTTTTCAAGAAAATGATGGCGCATGAGGATGTAACTGGCGGCTCATTGAAGCCCAATGAAGCCACTTTTGTAAGCATTCTATCATCTTGTGCCAACTTAGATTCTGCTGCAGCATTGTATCAAGGGAAGCAAATCCATGGCTATATGGTGAAGAGTGTGGAGTTGAGTGATTTCATGGCCACAGCATTGATAACATTCTATGGGAGGATGGGTTGTTTGGACTATGCAGCCAAGGTGTTCGACGCAATACCGGTCAAGAAAGTTTGCACTTGGAATGCTATGATCTCTGCACTGGCTATGAACAGTAGGGAGAAACAAGCATTAGCTTTATTCAAGACGATGAAAGCAACCGGGCTGAAACTGAACGAGGTAACCTTTGTCGCGGTTCTTTCTGCGTGTGCACATGCCAAGCTTGTGCGGGTGGGTTTGGAAGAATTTGAAGCAATGTCACGAGAATTTAAGATTGTGCCAAAGATGGAACACTATGGTTGCGTTGTGGATCTCTTAGGGAGAGCGGGGCTGGTAAGGGAGGCATATGAGTTTGTAGGGAGGATGCCTTTTGAAGCCGATGACTCTGTCCTCGGGGCGCTTTTAGGAGCCTGCAGAGTCCATGGAGAGATCGACCTGGGAAATGAAGTCGGGCAACGCCTGCTGAATTTGCAGCCACATCATTGTGGACGATACGTGTTATTGTCGAGCATTTATGCAGGGGCACAGAGATGGGATCATGCTGCAGCCCTCCGAAAAGCAATGGTGGATGCTGGTGTTGACAAGATTCCAGCCTATAGTGTGATTCATTGAAGGTATGTCATGTTTTATCTGCATCTTTGAACCTATTATAGAATGAATTTCAGGCTTATTCTCATAGGAAACTGCATCTTTGGATACAAAATCTCTATAGCCTGCCTTGATCTGACCGGCTTAAACCAAGAAGACTAATAAACAACTCAAATTTAGAATTTTGTGGTTACTAAATCAACTGTCGGACCAACTTAGGAGGGTTACTATATGTAAGAAGAACACAACTTTGGATATTACAACCAGAATCTTGTGCTTTTAACACATTTTGAAGGGTTAGAATATAATAATACAAGAATTTCTAGCAAAGTTGAAGAAAAAATTGAACTGAGGAGGGTTCATCCATTTACTGCAAAAGGGGTACAAAGGAGAACTCAAGCACTACACTTCCCGCTTTTTTGCATTCTAATTGTCTCGATTCACCTTCAGATAAGGCAATGCACCAATCACGTTGTTGTAGTCTGTGCGGCTTACTTGTACCTATGTACCATAGCGGAATGTTGTGAGAAAAATGCTACAATGTTTCAAGGAAAACATAGTGACTATAGCTTAAAACGGATCAACTACTAAGCACCTAGAAATTAACATGATCAAGAAATCAAGAAAGATGGTATAAAACTAATTAAAACACAATGCGAAAAAGATAGCAATAACTATTAAAGAAACAAACTCAAATTACCATGTAGAGAAATTGTCAATTTTCATTGTTTAACATTTTTCTATAGTTGAAAGACTCCATAGCTAAAAGATGAATAATCTTTCAGGGGCATCCTGCGTTCCCGCCTCCCCTAGGCGTTCAGAAACCGAAAATCTTTTTCTTCCTTTCTGCTAGTATATGGATGAACCTATTGTACCAACATTTACTACAGAGAATACTTTTGGCAAATGAGAACACTTTTAACCCAAAACATCTTTTATGTCCCTTCTGTTACCTCCTCAATCAACATATGATCCAGACGGCTTATGCTACAATGAAACTTCAAATATCCTTTTAAGTGCTCTTATTATCTTATTATGTTTTTTGAGTGACAAGGAAAACCCGCATCCACTACCTGAGGGTGTACACGAGATAAACCTCACCTTAGCCCTGACCACCTCAGACCATTAGGCCAATAGGTCTCCCTTCGGGAGTCAAACTTGTAACCTTGCAATCTTATGTTTTGGCTGTAGAAAACAAATCTCTTTACCCTAAACCTCCTAATTTCTACTCCAAAGAGCTAACTAGCTATGCAGTTCTACTCATAAGCATAGATTGATTTCAACCTGGGTTCAACTCAACCTAAATGTAGTTTCCAGCCTTCCGGAGACTCAATATCATAGATGGGAAAAACCAAAGCAATAAATTCAATAATTTTGCAGCAAAAAATAGGCTATAAAGTTTAAGAAGAGAGAGAGAGAGGGCAACCATCTTAGAGAGTCTTAATCTCCGTTTGGTATTCTTCTTCCTAAGCAAATGCTGCTTCCCGGCTCTCCTCCTCATGATCTTCCCACTCCCGGACACCCGAAACCGCTTCGCGGACGCCTGCAAATTCAAAGGAACCCTAAAATTCAAACACCGATTCCGCAGAACCGCTCTGCACTTCAATTGAGGTTTAAAATTCCAATGAATTACCTTGTGCGTCTTCATCTTATAGCCTTTCGCGCACACTACGGTGAATGTCCGTGGGGCTTTTTGCGCCGGGGAGGGAACACGGCTGAGAACGAGCGGCGCGGAGGTTGAGATGCTGTGTGAAGAGCTGAGGTTGAGAGTGGGTTTCTTTGTGGAGAGTGAAGGGGTGAGGGAGACTCGAGAGGCGGAGAGTGGTGGGGTTCGACAAGAGAAGTTGAATGCCAGAGAACAGTGTAAGGCTAAGGGTGAAGAAGACGTCATCGCCATTTCTTTGCTGCAATGAAGCTTTGGATAATGGCTTTCCAATTTGACGCTTCAAGGCCACAATTTTCTTTTTCTTTTATTGCTATCTAGTAATCCAGTCCCCAGGTATTATTTCTTTTTTTTTTTTTTTTTAAAAAAAACATTTTTTACCCTTTCGGTCAAACATGTTATTTACCTATCAATTTATAGTTTATAATTATTACAGTACATAAAAAATAGGAAAAATGGCAATTTTTCCTCCTGTGTTGTTTACTAATAGCACTTTTTTTCCATGTATTGTTTATGTAACCACTTTATCCCCTTAATTGTTTTTGAAGTGACTATTTTCTCCCCTCTCAGTTAAATAAGTGTTAGAGATGTTAAATATGAGGGTAAAAATAGCATTTCACTTATTATTATTATTATTATTAATGAATTTTTCTTTTTTTTGAAAATTTATTATTAATGAATTTGGTTTGCAATATAACTGTGCATTTTAGACGTGGAGTACTGCAATATATTAGGGCGTTGGGTGGGACTTATTATTATTATTATTATTATTAGCAATGAATTTGGTTTGCAAACTGCAGTATATTAGAGTGTTGGGTGGAGTCGTTCATTAATAATAATAATAATAATAATAATAATAATAATAATAATAATAATAATAATAATAAGAAGTGAAATGTCATTTTTACCCTCATATTTAACAGCCCTAACACTTACTTAACAGAGAGGGGAAAAAATAGCCACTTCAAAAACAATTGAGGGGGATAAAGTGGTTACATAAACAACACAGGGGGAAAATATGCTATTAGTAAATAACACAGGGGGAAAAAGTGTCATTTTCCCTAAAAAATATGATATATATTTTCCAAAAATATATATGATTTATTCAATACAGGCACCCGTGATGGAGAGGCACCCGTGATGGAGACGGGTTCAATATGTAAAATAATACTAAATCAAAAATAAAATATTTGTTACTTATAAGAACGTAATGTTACATTTATAAAAGAAAATGTAAATACATTTGCATTAATTTTAAAAATATTACATTTTTTATATAATTAATAAAAAAATATATGAATAAACAGATACTACATTCTAATAGAGTTTATAATATTCAAAAAATATTATTATTTAAGTGTAAATCACAAGGTGGTCTCTGTCCTGACTAGTTTCTGTTCGCTCATCGAATTCAAATTATTCCAAAAAAAAATTTTAAAAAGAGAGTTCATTTGCCACTTGAACTATGACCGCAAATTAATAAACATTTTATTATTTGATTTAGTATTACATTTGCTAATATATATTGACCCGACCCGGACTAGGATTAGTGAAATGGTCTCCGATAAGTTTTTGCCATTAATAAATTATTATTAACATTTATATAGTTTTTAAAAATTACAAATATATATATTTATATGTTTAATAACTAGTATTTTTCCGTTTGCCGTTACCGGCATCCCAGATGAAATGAAGGGGAAGAAGGGAGAAAAAAAGCACCGGCGGCTGAAGAAGCGGCGGCACCCAGATTCCGGCACCACCCTCTTCGCTATAATCTTGGCAGCTCTTTCCAGAAACGGTAATTCCGAAGGTGAAGATGCGGTTCTCATTCTACGGTGCTTAAAGAGATTGCATCGCTCTCTTCCCCAAACCCTCTCCACACCTTTCCTCTCCTTGCTTCCTACCCTTCTCACTTCCAGGTAAGATAAACAAAATTTCCTCTTTTTTTTTTTTTTGTTTGTTTATTTAGTTTTAACAGTGATCTTTTGTTGATTTGGTGTTCGAACTAGTATTGTTTATTCTCAGAAATCAACTATGAATGTTCACTGCATTATAGACTTCATAGATTTTTTATTTTTTTTTGCCAATTTTTGTAATGTGATATACTTTCAAGTTTCAATTTTTAAGTCTATAGTAGGTGATATGTATTGCCTAGACATCCTAGCTTAGCTATTTGAAAGAAATAAATTATTTTGAATGGTGTTGGTTCGAGGGGAAGGGGCTTGGTCGCTTAAGCATGTGGTTAAGAATTCTAGGGGATGGGGCTTGGGTCGTTTAAGCATGTGGTTAAGAATTCGAGGGGACGGGGCTTGGGTCGCTTAAGCATGTGGTTAAGAGTTTGAGGGGAAAGGGCTTGGGTCACTTAAGCATTTGGTTAAGGGTTTGAGAGGAAGGGGCTTGGGTCACTTAAGCATGTGATTAATGGTTCGAGAGGAAGGGGCTTGGGTAGCTTAAGCACGTGGTTAGGAGTTCGAGGGGAAGGGGCTTGGGTAACTTAAGCACGTGGTTAAGAGTTCGAGGGGAAGGGGCTTGTGTCGCTTAAGCATGTGGTTAAGGGTACGAGGGGAAGGGGCTTGGGTCCCTTAAGCATGTGGTTAAGGGTTTGAGAGGAAATGGGCTTGGGTCGCTTAAGCATGTGGTTAAGAGTTCGAGGGAAGGGGCTTGGGTCGCTTAAGCATGTGGTTAAGGGTTTGAGAGGAAGGAGCTTGGGTCGCTTAAGCACGTGGTTAAGGGTTGGAACCTATATTGTGAGCTATAACTCGCAACATTCTTGGGTGAGCTTGATTGAGTCTCGGCTGGATTAGTTCTAAGGGAAAGGGGCTTGGGTCGCTTAAGCATGTCGTTAAGGGTTCGAACCTATGTGTGATTAGTTCCACCTGCGATGTGCAGATACCAGTGCAGTATGAACAAAAAATTTATTTTTAAAGTAATGCTAAGTTTAGTTGTAGTGTTTAGTGCGGATGGGTATTTCACGTTTTTACCTGCAATCTTCTTTGACAATTTTGTGTTACTGCTGCTTTACTAATGCATTAAGAATTCATATGTTTTTTAACCAAAGAAGTGATGAAATCGCATGTAAGAGCGCCGAGATTGTTGGAGCATTGTCATTGATGTCCTTTGAGATGAATGAAAAGATTGCTGCTGAAGGGCAGATCGTGAAGGGTTTGATTACTTTGTTAACAAGTTCTAATAGTATAAGATCAATTGCCGCTTGTAATTCTGTTCTTGATCTTTCAACCACCTCCATTGGACGAAAACAGCTTGTGGACCTGTTTGCTATTGAGAACCTAATGTGAGTACCGATTTCATTCATCTTTTTTCCCCTAATATGGAGTGAAGTGAATTTATATATATAAGACTTTTACTATCACAACCCATTTTAGGTCTAATTGGTCTTTTTGTAATGATCGTCTTTATCCTTTGTTAGTGTTCGTTGCTCTCAGGCTCCTAAATCATCTGCTTCTGTTGTGGCTCTGCTTGTAGATGGAAAGGAGACCGAAACATGTCCCGGGATTGTATTCGAGGAAGATGAATTATCAACATTGCTTGTACATGCTGTCATAATTCTTGTTAACTCGTGCACGATCGAACAGCTGCAGAAGATCCCAACAATGCTCTCTAGGCGTTTACTGTTACATTTGAAAAAGTTGTGGGAAGAAGTTCATAAACAGATGCTTTATGGTAATTTTGCGAAATGCACCGAGGAAGGATTTTCTTACCCGAACAATGTCCGGACAAACAATCTGGCTGAGAGCGTTTTCAGGCTCTCCGTTGATATTAATCCATGCAGAGGACCTTCGGATGCGATTGAGGTTGGTAAAAGAATTTTCGGTGGAGAAGGTACGAGTTTGGAGCATTTTATGTTGAGGAATTGGGAATCGTCACCTGGGTTAGTAAGAAGCTCTGAAATGGCTTCGTCTAAGCTGGAAAACATATTCGGTTCTTTCATAGAATCGGGCAGATTAAGGGAATCCGTGTGTTCCTTTCTATCTCCAATGCTAAGAGGATTTATCTGTTGTCCACCTATTTCTTCCGAAGAACACGACATTCTTCATTTCCTAAAAGAGGTAAGTAACGATTTAGGCGGTCCTATTGTTTACCAAGAGGATATTCGGGTTGTCAAAACAGATAGTTCAGAGTTTGAGTTACACTATTTCTCGGGAAACTCCGAGAACCGTCGTGTCCTCAGCAGTACTGATATTTTGAAGTGCGAGCAAGCATACAAGGAGGGGTATACTATTGCTCTACGCGGGATGGGATTTCGGTTTGCAAGCATTGCGTCGGTTGCAGATGATATCGCGTCTATATTTGGTCAACCCTCGATCGGAGTGAACTTGTACTTGACACCTCCGGGTTGTCAAGGGTTGGCTCGCCACAGTGATGACCACTGTGTCTTTATCTGCCAACTCCTCGGGGCCAAAAAGTGGAATCTTTTCCCCTCGCCTAGTCATCAATTACCTCGATTGTATGAATCTCTCGAGACGAGGCATCAATTGGAATCCGAAAGGTGTACAGCAGATGGGTGCAAAGAAATTTTGCTGAAAGAAGGTGAAATTTTATATATTCCAAGAGGTTACCCTCACTCGGCTCATACCATTGGCGATGGCAGCGGGCATGATGCGACAACTGGGTTGTCCTTACATCTAACTCTTGCTATTGAAGTTGAGCCCCCGTTCGAGTAAGTACTTTCTCATAACCTTGATTAGGTGTGTTAAGAGTTCCACATTGATAAAATAAGAGAGAACATATGAGTTTATAAGACTATGGGTTAGACTAGCTAATTGTTTGGATTCAATCTTTTAGTGTGGTTTGGCCCATGTGCATTATAGCCCAATTGAGTGACCCTAGCTCAATCTTAAATTGTAATGAAGTTTTAATATTGCTTTAACTTGAACCGAGTTTGTTCAGTGACTACCACTGTTGTTAATCAATGCATATTATTATTGTGAATGCAGGTGGGAAGGTTTTACTCATGTTGCCCTCGATGATTGGTATAGAAGACAAAGGGCAACACAATATACAGTTGCGGATTCAGAATCACTACTTCTACATAATCTATCCGCAATACTGATTCATGTTGCGGTGAAACTTGTTGGCGATATGGATCCAACATTCCAGAAGGCTTGCTTGGTCGGTGCCATTTCCTCAGCTAACGAAGATTGGCTCTTAGTTAACCAGAACAGGATTTTCAGCTCCCTGATTGGTAGAATCAACAGCGAGTCAACGTTTTCAGATGTCCTGAAGTTTGTCGAAGCAGCCACTCAGGAACACGAAGATCCCTTCGCTCGTTTCAAATGGCTACGGCATTTATCCGAGGGAGAACACGAATCAGACAGCACAGGTATACATTTGGCAGACGCCAAAGACATCTTCCATCGAGTTATTAGTCAGCATAGAGATGCAGTAGAAGCGGTTTTTTACCAGGTAAAATCGTGTTTCTGTAGTGGAGTAGAGTTTGAGGATGCGCGAGAGGTCTATATCGCACTTCTTGGTAAGTACAGGAAGGCGCGGAACCAATATACTAACGGAATGCTTTCCCTACATTGCATTGACAACTAAGATGATAGGTACAACATTTTTGGTACACACACCTTGTCTTTTGTCAATTGTCATGTATGTCATTTTGCTATTATATACAAATGAAGATGTGGAGGACATAAGGGTCTGCTTCTAAGAGGGAGAGAATGATACATTGGTAACTAGATAGTTGATAATTGATTGTTGACAATTCATACTTCATTTTTTTTTATTGGATGATGAGGAAACCAACAGTCACTACTTAAGGTTGTTTACTAGGTAAATTATGTTTTTATGTAATAGTTTGCAAATCACATAGGAAAGGTAAATTGCACTAAGAAGATCTTGTGGGACGGGTTCGACTGAAAATGTGTTGATAATTTATAGGAAAAAGGGTTAAATAGGTCATCGAACTTTACCTGAAAAGTCAATTAGCCCTTAAATTAATTAAAGGTGGAATTACACCCATCAACAATTTATTTTGATGCAATGAAGTTCAAAAATCAGTTAGTGATTTGCTATCACAGGTCACTAAAGTTCCGACGACATTCCAATGACATTTCAGACAACAAAGCAACCGGCAACTGGCAAACGATAATGGTCGCCTTCTGTTGGAGAAGGTGACCTAGGTCTCCTTGCGGTCGCCGGTCGTTTTATTGTTTGAAATGTTGTCGATGAGTTACCACATCGCCGGTCGTTGTGATAGCAGGTCACTAACCGATTTCTGTCGTTGCATCAAAATAATAAGTTGTTGATGGATGTAATTACACCTTTAAAAGGTTCAGGGGTCTAATTGACTTTTCGGGTAAAGTTTAATGCCCTATTTGACCATTTTTCCTTATTTATACTTGTAAGTCAGTCGAGCATTTTTTTTCTAGTCTCATTCATTTTTTGGGTATTAACTCAAAGGATAATGTATCACCGGTTGAAACAACCTCATGTCCTGGTTGGAAATTACAAAATTGCCCAACTTTTGGAAAGCATATAAGAAAGCCAGCAAGCTCATGAGATATAGATAAGAGAAAATGGTGATCACAAATACTAACAGTGTCTCCTGCAGAAACACTGCTTTCTCTTATTTGTTCCCTCACAGAAGAAAATATGCAGCAGCATCTATTGCATTTGCAGAAAAGAGAGACTTGGCTGAGAACAATCAACAAAAACCCATTTTCCCAATCAAACTCTCTAAAACTCTTCTTGCTCAATCTGTTCTTGGAGTTTTTGCTTTAGGGTTCATAGATGCCGGGTAATTTCCTTTTTTTAATTACATTTTTCCCCTTTCATTTCGGGTGTTTATTCTGATTTTATGTGTTTTATTTATTTATTTATTTATTAGGGGTATTGTATTTAAATGATTAAATCAGGTACAGTGGAGATTGGTCAAGAATTGGTGTCATCACAAAGGAGAGTGAACATCTACTGAAAATTTCAGCATTTTTTGTAGTCCCTTTGTGTCTGTTTCTCATCTTTTATTCCTCTAAGAAAATTAAGGATTAAAATGTCTCACATTTCTGACATATTAATTTATTGTACACTTTCTATTTCCCAAGAAGATTATATTTTTTTAAAAAATTAATCTTTCCTATTTTCTACGCATTTTATGATATAATTGAAATTTGAAAGATTTGTTCCATATCAATTAAAAGTTTAAGGGTTGATTTAAATATTTATATTTTATATATTATATGTTCAGCAAAAATAATATAACTATATAAGTTCCATTAGAAAGCCAACTATTTGGCTAAAGTGTAGTAGTATTAGTTCTTATCAATTAAAAGTTTGATGGTTCATCGAACTAAACAAATATGTTTTATATCTATCTATCTACTATCTATTATCTACTATTTATCTACAATACTAATAAATCTATCTACTATACTAATAAGAGGCCAAGAGAGTTAGGCCTATAATGGGTAGAAAAAATAGCGGTCAAAGTTTTTAATCAAATGAATGGCTCAGATTGATTAGATTTTAATTTTTCTTTGAGATTTCTTAATTTATCCTTAATGAATATGATTATCCGTTAACTTTTTCGTTAAATATTATCTTTTTCGTTAGTTTCTGTTAGTTCACCGTTAACTTACTCATTGATTTAAATAAAAAATGTCTTAGGTTCGAATCCCATCCCAATCAAAGTTGGCATAATTAGTACTCTATTTTAATCTTATTAAATTAAATAATAATTTAGTAGCTAAAACCAAAAATAATACATATGCATTTCTTTAATTTAAAATTATGTGTCTACAATGCCTTTATTCAAAAAAAAAAAAAAATTATTCATTATCAATAAATTAAATAAGATAAATAATTTCATTAGTTATATTGTCTTTACTTTTCTCCAATATAAAAATTCTTTACATTCAAAATTCAAATTCATCAATTGATTATATTCGCTACATTTTCCCTACAATGTCTTTATTAAAAAAAATTATTCATTATCAATAAATTAATTAAGAGAAATAATTTCATTAGTTATATTGTCTTTATTTTTCTCCAATGTAAAAATTCTTTACATTCAAATTCATCAATTATTTATATTCAGTACATTGTCTATTATCTTTTTTTGTGCACTATTCTTTAATTAAATATCAAAGTTATAATACAAAATAATGATATATATTTATTTACCAAGTATTTTATTAATACCATGAAAAAATTTAAAAAATTTAAATTAATAAAGCTAATCATATTAACTACTTGAGGGATTTGTTGACAAAGAGAGTATTCAAATCACACAACAAATTGAAGTGAGAAACTACCTCGCAATGTCCTTGTTTGACAATCAGCAGTTAGCGGTTAGCATCAGCGGATTATATTATCGAATTTGACCAGCGAATTATATCAACGATTGGTAAAAAGATATTTAAAAAAAGTTAACTGTTTAAATTAACATTTAAAATGACCTAAGGGTATACATATAATAATAATAATAATTGTTTTAATAATAATTTTTTAAATATAGACGTGTTTTGGGGAAATCATTCTCAAAAGCGCTAAGTGAAAATATTGTAAATTGCAATGTTTGTATTTTCAGTGGTTTGGAACAAATTATTGCTTCAAACTGTTGAATAACCAAAACACTTTCTTTAGCATTTTAATCTTTGGGTTACATCATATTTTCCAATCGTCCAATATCTTTAGGTTACATTATAATTAAAAATTTTAAATTTTTACTACATCTAAATTCCTTAAATTAGGAATTTCTTTATCCATAATAATTTATTCAACAATAATAGTTGAACTAAATGAATACTGAGCAAAACACCTAAAGGACTGGTACTGTTGATTCATTCATTGATCTTGTATATATGTGCATTCATTAAATATATTAGAACCCTTTGCAACAAAAATACTTGGTTACTATTTAAAATTTGTTTAGTAACAATTATAATGAATCTCCTATATTACATTGTATTCATATACTATGAATTACATATTTAAATAAACAAATTAGACATTAAATTACTTATGTTGAACTTCTCGTATATAATCTTGCATTGATATACTTTCAAATATTTATTTAATTATAAACATTGGGTAGAAAAAACGACCGTCAAATTATTAAATCAAATGAATAGTTTAGATTTTAATTTTTCTTTGAGATTTCCTAATTTATCCTTAATTATATGATTATCCGATCCGTTAATTTTTTTATTACTTACCGTTAATTCACCGTTAGTCTAATTCTAATATTAAAGTCTAATATAGAATTATAACTACAATATTAATCTAATTCTAATATTACAGTGTTAATAGAACTCTAACCATAAATCCTACTGCCGGAATCTCCTCAAACAATATTAGGGGGGTGTATTCAATCATGACTTTTGTAGAGTTTTAATGACTTTTAAAATGATAGATTTTAATAAACTTTGATTGACTTTCATAGAGTCGTTCAAAACTTTTTAAAACTTTATAAGACTCTATAAAAGTATATATAAAAAACATTCATAGACTTTTATCAACTTTTTATTTTAAAAAGTCTACAAAACTCAATGAAATTCTAAATTGAATACATCCTTACAAACTTTCAATGATTTTGATTCTTATCTTTTATAATTTTCTTACAAAATATTTATAATATATCATAAAATTCTTCTTATTATATAGTTCTTCACCCACATCAACATTCTCAACATTATTATTTTTATCCATAGTATGCTGAGACTTATATGCTAATTACTTATATATATTATTAATAAACATCAACAAAAAAAATATTTCATTAGAAATTCATAATAATATTGAACAATAAAATTCATAATAAAAGACTTGATCAAATAAAATATTTAAAAACATAATTACAAGTTGCATAAGATAAAAAATAAAAATCTAATATTAATAATATATATAAAATTATCCTTGATATGTTGCTAGGCATCACACAAAGAACTATTATTTACAATAGCAATTTGAGACTACAAACAACAACAAGGTGCTACTGTTTGCAACTCCAAATTGTTGTTGCGAACAGTAATTCACTATACGTAGTAACCTGTTGTTGAAAAAAAAAGGAAAAATATATATTACGAATATAAACATAAAATAATAAAAATCAAAATATATAAGTATTTATATGAATATTACGAAACATATACTAATAAAATTTGACGATGAAAAATTTGTTTTGTTCATGTATTTAGGGAGAATTAGAGAAAGTTAGGGATAAAAATTCATAGGAAAAAAAATAAAAAACCAATGTAAACAAGCAATAATGAAGTAAAAATAATATTATTTCGAATTTTTAGATAAAGTTCTAAAGTTTATAAGAGAGAAAAATTGGTAGAGTTTAGGTGTGAGGAAAATATAAGATAATGAAGAAAAAAATACTTTTATTGAATTTAGATAGGTTTATAGAGTTTAAATAGGGAGAAAAAATAGAGTTTAAATAGAGAGAGAAAACATTCAAAGTTGTTAGAAAGAAAATTTGAAATCTTGGGGTTGATGGTTGGATTTCAACTATTTAAATGTGAAGGAAAAGTCTACAAAAGTCTATAAAAGTCTTTAAATTAAAAAGTCTACAAAAGTTCATAACTTTTTGAATACCACATGACTTTTAAAGACTCTTTAAAAGTCTTAATCGAATACCACACGACTTTTAAAGACTCTTTAAAAATCTTGATTGAATACCGCCTGACTTTTAAAGACTCTCTAAAAATTTGAATTGAATACCTCCAAACTTTTAAAGTTCATAAAAGTCTTTAAAACTCTATGAAAGTCATGATTGAATACACCCCCCTTAGTATATATTTAATATTTTATGCTTTAATTTTTATTTGCTCTCCCTTATGTAGTTATGTCCCGCATTTGGTTTCAACCATACCCATACAATTATTTTATTGACAATTATAATCAATCTTGACTATACCAATTATAATCAATCTTGCATTTGTAAACTTAGAAATACCAATTTAAATACGCAAATTCAATATTCAATTATCTATGCATGAACAATTTCAATATAATCTTGTCTTGATATACTTTAATATACTTATTTAAAAAAAAAACATTGGCATTATCTCAATCGCGCAATACGCGTAAAAAACTAAAATTATTATATGTGATGTAGTAAATACGGGCGTATATTACGTAATACGATGCTAGGGTCGGTTCCGGCTATGATTCTTTTACTTAGTCTGGTTGTTGATTTAAGTTGTGAAGCTCGGAATACTTGACAGTGGGTTGAGGTTCCCAAGCCGACAGTTAACGCGTAGAAATAGCCAAAAGTCGTCATTTTCTATACCAATTAATGCGGTATTTATAGGAAAGAAGATGGAACAGGATCCGGTCTTACGCCATGTACGGCACGTGAAATTCATACACAGGCTCAATCTGGGGCCCAAGGTGGCTTGACCACATGTCTTAATATTCCTGGGTTACTGGGTGCACCGCCATTACGTTCTGCCAGTAGCATCAGGTCGGTAGGTCGAGACACTGAGAATACTATAGGGCCTGGGGATGGTCACCTATAGTTGAGCTCAGCAAGGAAGATGGTCGATCGGGAAGGTAAGTGTATCAGGTCGGTGTAAATCGGACCGAGCTTTGTCCTAACAATGGGTCCGTTACCGACTATCATGTATGTATGGTGAATAAGAAATAATCCCCATCAATATGTTTAACAAAAATAATTTGAATTCCATTACAACACATGCCATTTGGCTAAAGTGTAGTGGTATTAGTTTATATCATTTAAAAGTTCGACGGTTGAACTAAACAATTATGTTTAGTTATGTTTTGCATATTATATGTTCAACATAAATAATCTAATTCCACTAGAGCACATGCCATTTGGTTAGAGTGTAGTAGTATAGGCTCATATCAATTTATACTAGCATTTTGTACGCGCAATACAGGGAAATTTATGCCCAATATTAAAACATTGATAAATATAAATAATTAAAAATTATAATTTAAATTATATATACATAAATAATACATGTACTTTGTACACACATATATAATTTATCATTCATAGAAATTTAATTAAAATATAATTAAGCATTAAATTAATATATAATAATTTTAATAAAATGATAATTAAAAAATAGGAAAAGATATTATAGATATAGTTGTATGGTAATAATGATGTGTTATCCATGTTAGAATTAAAAACTAACGGTGTAAGGGTAGTTTTGTCTAATAACATTAAAATGTACAACATTTAAAGTAAAATGTATACATTTATTTGCATACAAAAAGAAGGACATAAATCAAAGATATAACCTTAATTGAGATTTATTATGTTTTTAGATTTTATATATTATATGCTCAATAAAAAGATCTAAATTCCATTAGAAGACTTGTCATTTCTAAATTATTTCATTAGAACACTTGCCATTTGGCTAATTAAGTGTAGTAGTATTGATTCTTATGGATAATGTGACCATGAAAAAAGAAGAAAGAAATGACATCAGAAACATCATAGTAAATCTTCAAAGGTTACAGGCATGCTAATCATTTAACTGGACTAATTTTCCCTATCAGAATGATAGGGTACAAGGATTCAACCTTTTAAGAAGAATGATACAAAGAGTTGAAAACGTAAACTAGTATTCCCTATATGTAAGAATATAACATAAAAATAAATTAGTATAATGGCATACCTAACAATATTAGTGTGGTTTGCAACCGAGCTTTCCAAAGCTTTTCAAAAATGGCCTTTGATTGGGCTGAAGATAAAAATTCGTAACCACAAGAGTCGACAAAGGATCACCCCGCTATAATAAAGTAAACCAGCATAGGTTGTCGCTTTGCTTGCTTGCATGGAGATGTTAGGTATATATATATATCTATCCCAGCAAGGTAGCATCGCAGGCAGGCAACCCTCGGCGCCAGTCCATGATGACGAGCGTGGCGGCGCTGTGCGCCAGCGCCGCCGCAACAACAAAAACATGGAAGATCTGGTGGCTGCTCCCAACGATATCAAACGCGCCGGGCTTCAGCCTCTCCGGGACCCTGGAAACGTAGAGAGCTGTTCCCGTGGCATACAGAAACCCCATGGCTATTTCGTAGGCAAGAGCGACAAGAACCTCAGGGTGGTCGCGGTAGAGGAAGGTGGCGTGGGTGGCCGGGATGACACCGGAGAACCCCATGGCTAGGAAAAGGGTGGCTCTGAAGGTTCTGAACCGGCCCGAGGAGAGGGCCGGGGAGAGGAGGGTGATGATGGCGAGGATGCCGACTATGGTGATGGAGGTGAGGTAGAACATGCGCCAGTGGGGCAGGCAGGAGAAGATGTAGTATAAGGGGGCGAAGAAGGAGGTGACTATCATGAGTGAAATGCCTGAGTAATCAAGGCGCCAGAAGAAGAGGGTGCATCGCTGGGAATGGCAAGCAAAGAGGTGGGATACAGAACTGAAAACCAGACACCCTATTGCCCCTACTAGGAACACAAGCCAAGGCCACATAGGAATCACATCTTCAACTCTATTCACGTCTAGGATTATTGGTGCCTTGGAAAATTTTCTTGGAAAAGATTCCTGCACATATATGAAACATGATATCCATGAATTCACTCCTAAATCTGTTGATCTTGGGTAAATCCTGTTTGTCACTCTAGTCAATAAAAGACCACAATGAAATAAACCAGATTTCTCATAGCTAACAGACTCAGTTTACCAAAAAAAAATAGCTAACAGACTCAAATTACTAAGAAAGCAAATAGGTGGCTCTCATTGAAAATCAAACTTATAGCCTTGTGATTACTAAGTTAATTAGTGACCAATTTGACTGGAATTGTCATCTTATTTTCTTTATGCCATGATCATGTTGCGCATTACATCACAATGGTATAGAAATCATACGTTGAGAAAATTTTGCTATTCTTAAGATATCTCAACATATATTTCTAATTCTTTCAAAACAAACACAAAATTATGAAGTCATATCATCATCATAAACATACTTTGTTTTGCTATCTGTGGTTAAAAAAAGTATGAATTTAACTATTTACCCAATCCAGTAAGGGCATCTCCAATTGTGGTTTTTGAGAAAGTCAAACTTATGTGGAGGAGAGAAGGTAAAGAGAAAAAAGATTATGGTGCACACTTCAAGCACTTGATTTTTTGAAGTGGAGTGGGCCCACCACAGCACAACAACAATGCTATTTGTGGCGTGTGAGGTGCAACACAGCGCCCAACCGAGTGGGTGCAGTGATTTGTTTGTTTTGACATTTATTTTCTCTTTCATAATTACACTTATAAAAACTGTAGCTATTGGAGATGCTTTATACATAGGGATAAGGAGATTTGAATTCAATCTTATATCATCATTATAGAATTTCTCTAGAACTAACCTTTATTCAAAGTAAAGTGAAACATTTTAGATGATTCTTTTTTTCTTTTAGAAATTTGATTTGATTGTTGTTGAAAACGGAAAGGCAGAGTTCAGTAAAGTCACATGTCCTGCCGGGCAAATATCTAACTACTATTTCTAAAAATGAAAATATATATACGGAATGAATCTATTTGTGGGACCTACTAACACGTTCGCGCCTTAGCTCGTCTTTCCAAATGTTCTCTAACGCCTATGCAGAATATACGGAGTATTTTAAAAATAATTAAAAATTCAAAAAAAAAAAAAAAAAAGGAAAAAAAGAGGAACTGCTCACCGGAAAAACTGCCGGCGAATAATTACCTATCATCGTCGCCGCAGGTCTGTTCATTTCAAACACCAAATTCAGAAATAATGTATGACGAATAATGATGAAAAGACGAAACTGGATACTAGACGAGATCAAATTTTCGAGAATTGACCTGACGACGCCGGTCAAATTCTCCAACGACGCTTTCTCCGTCAAGGTCATTACCGTCAACGCCACAAATATCAACGCTCCTAGCAAATGACTGCAAAAAATAACAAAATCTGGAGAATGATATTGCCGCTTCTGCAATATTTTGTTTAATCTAAACAAAAAATTCAGAAAAAGCAAAATCTCTTACGTCCATATATTGACAGTCTCATTGTGCAGGGAGAAAACGCTGAGAACAATATGCTTGAGAGGCCACTCGCAGCGGTAATAGTCTCGGATAAATTCATTGTCCTGCAAATACTCCGGCAACGCCTCGTATTTCACCAATTTCCTCTCGAATTTCGCCTGATTCTTCATTTTCCTCTCTTTCACTGAGTCAACTCGGTGGTCGACGTCTCCGTTCCCAAGTCCCCTGCTCTCCTTCGCTCCTCCCTTTCCTCTACGACTCATCAAATTCCTCGCCGGAAATACCGCCGTTGCTCGCTTACCTATCAGTTCCCGGCGACACTCGCCGGAGATCAACAATTCCTTCCTTAACACCGAACTGTGTACATATATATATAGAGAGAAAGATAGAGAGAATCCGAGTATATTGCTTATCTCCGTTGTAATTTTGAGCGAATCCGAGTTTCAATCCAGATTGGTGATTTGAAGGTTGGCAGAAGCTGAGAATTTATAACCAGCAAAAAAATGTGCGACTATTTATTTTTCTAATTTTTAAAAAAATCTTTTGACAAAAAGAACCGGGACTATAACTTTTTTTAAAGCCTATTTGATGATATATATTGAGTAAATGTTATTTTGGTATAATAGTTTATAAATTATAAATTATATAGATGATATAAATTCTCTTTTAAACTTAACTATGAGGGTATTGACAATAATCAGACAGAATGTAAGACGATCAAAAGGTGTTGTATATTTTTATTGCTTTATGACATACTGACGACGAATTCTTCTCTAGCGTGTAATTTGACGATAAATTAACTTTATGTTAGGACAATTTGTTTATAACTAAAATATTTTAAATATTTTTTTTAAAATAATATTTTTTTAATTAGCAAACAATTAATATTAATGTATATTTAAAGAAAAACTCTTTACAAACACACGTATATATATTTTTTATATTTGTACTTTTTTCTCTTTTATCTTGTATGTTGTGTTTTTCCATTTTCTACATCGTAATTTTCATTTTTATTGCTTATAAAAGGTAAAATTTTCTTACCTCTACATCATATCTTCACATAAATAAATTAGTGTGACTCAAATTACCTCTTACTTTTTTAGGTGTGAGGATTAGTGTTTAATGCCTATAAAAATTTGACTATATTGGCTTTTTTCAACAGTCTATAGAAAAATGTATCATATAATTTCCAGCGAAACAAAGTTGTTAATTGTTGTTTATTGATTATTGATTTCAGTGTCAATCTATAGAGTATCCCAAACAGATCTATGGTGGGATTGGTCTCTGAATTGTCTCAATGATTGTGTGTGGAAAATAAATTAAAGAAAAAGGAATAAAGTATCCACAAGGAAGAAAACGTACTACATCGTCATGCTTAATTGCTTATTGCTTGAAGAAAAATATTTCACATTTAAATAGTTTCTTGCTTGCAAAGTTGCATTTCATTGTTGTCACATATCCATTTCCTTTTTTCTGTTTTGTTTTTTGAATGATAGAAAAATTTGTAATCACTATGTATTTGATGTGTATAATAGATAGACTTTACTCTTTTATAAAGTACACATGATTCGTTTTATGTATTATAATTCATGTTATTGAGTACATTCTTGTGAGCCGTTTTATATAATATGCATAAAAAGCTCTAAAGGAGCCATGTTATATAATAGAGAAAATGACACTTTTTTCGTATGAGTTATATGTTTATAGTACTTTTTCTTCTTGAGTTATTTATGTCCACATTTCTCCCTTTATATTAGACAATCATTTTTATCTTTAAAATTAAGTATTTTATTTATTTTTCCTCCCCAACAAATTATTACTTATATGTACGGATAACCACAGTTCGGTTCGAACAATTTTTTTTAAAAATTTTTTTATTGCGAGTTCAAAATTTATTTATTTCTTTTTGTAAATTATATTTCTTATTTTTAAAATAATCTAAATTCAACAATTATTTTATTTTTTTCGATTCTGAATTGTAACCAGAACCGTCCTAACTATTTTGATTTGGTTGCTACAGTGTCCAGTTAGGTTTGAACCAAACAGTGGTTATCCGTACATATGAGCAATAATTTGTTTGAGAAGAAAAATAAATGAAATACTTAGTTTTAAGGGTAAAAAAATCCAACATAAAATGGAGAAAAAATATCACTTTTAATATAAGTAAGAGGACAAATGTGAATACATGAATAACTGAGAAGGAAAAAGTATTATAAGCATATAACTCAGGGAGATAAGCGTTATTTTTCCTATATAATATGCAAAGTGTTGCGCGCTATACCTCATAGAATCCCTATATATACCCCTTCTTTCAGTTCCCAAACCAATGGACTCCTTATTTCGATTTTCAAATCATTCGACTCTTTATTTCAGTTTTCAAATCAGTCTCTACCTCCAAACATGTCAATGTCGAAGCAACGATTGTGTATCAGAAAGTCCAAGGATTTGATTTCCAACGATTTTTTTTTACGGTCAGAAGCCGATCGGAGCATATTGATGCATGATTTGGCGCTGTTAAATCAGGAGGAAGGAGAAAACTTGTAAAATTACAATTTTATCAACATTTTTGATAGTCAACAAACAGTCAAATTAGCAGAGGATTAAATTGAATAAAAATTACATAATTAAAGATTAATTGAATAAGAATGATAATCGATGACCATTAATAATTACGGCATAGTTGACTAATCGAGGGACCATTTTGGTTATTAACTCTTAAAACTATATATATAACTTTTAATTCTTTTATTTTCTTCTTGTCCCAAAAGGGATTGAATCTCCAACCCTAAGAGCCTCCACACTCTTACCCGATAGAGTATGTGAGAGGATGTAAATCACGGTGACTCAATGATTCAGTGGATAAGGCTAAATGCTGGTGCGCACAAGGAATCTACCAACTTTAGACATAATTCCACACTTTGATCTCTTGTCTCAAATACTGCCCACTGAATCATTGAGCTAATCCGTGCGGAATCTTTTTCTTTTTTTCTTCCTAAACCAGTCGACGCTCTGACCTCTTCCGCCTCTGTCTTCTCAACGTTACGCAGACCGCAGCCAGCAGCCATTTTTTTTTCTTTTCCATTGCTTCCTCAGCCGAGTCAGCTCTTACCTCCACGCCCCAGCCAGCCGCTCCATCAGTCCATCAGAACTCTTCATCGAAGATTTGCATATCCGCGGCCCATTACTCCACGCCTCCACCGACCACCGTCGTCCGGCTATTCTCCTCCGTGGCTCCGTCCGTTCACCATTCGTCCACCATTATAGATTTGTAGCCTCAGGTAGTCAGGTTCGAACCAATCTTCATTATTCTTCAACTTTATTCTCTTAATTAGTTTGCCCTAGTGGCTAATTCCATAAAAATGATGATTGATAAATTTCCATTAGTTTGCCCTAAGTCCCTAACCTTTTATTTTAATGTATTTTCGTATTGTATTTGTATGTATATCGTCTGTATTAGTGTATACTGTAAGACTGTAACACTTTGTTTGTGTATTCTGTAACACATCTTTGATATCCGTATGTATGATAACCAATTATTCATAACAATAGGGATTAGAAGAATAGCAGAATAACTAAGTCTCAATCTGCTTCATGGTGAAGTGTGAACCGCCCATTTAGAGATGAGAAGTATATCACCAAAAAGCAACCTTAGCTTGCTAGCTTGTTGTAAAAATTGAACTCCGGCCAGTAAATATATGAATATATGTGTGCAGTCCATTAGGGCGGTCATTCATCCAAAAATGCAGGTCAAATTAATATCTAGAAGTGTTAGGTTGTACGTCAATTGTAAGATTATATATCTTTCTTTGTATATTGTCAAATTATAAACAGTATGTTACCTGCAGGGGTATGTTAATTATTAAGGCTGCTTCGTCAGACTGTCATTGTTGATAATGTTTATCAATTTTCTGAAAAATTGTAAGCTTTGCTATTGAGGTTATGATATTTTGTGGTGCTATCTGCAGCACCACTTTTGCTTATTGAATATTTGAATCTTGATTATGTAAAAAACAGTATGATTTGTGTACTTTTTCAATCAAAATCTTAAGACTGTGTAACTCTGTATGTGATACGAATTGAGTACGAAATTAGGATTCCAAAGTATTGATTCTGTATTTGTATACATTCATTGCTATTTTGTTCATAAAAGCAAACAAAGATATGCTGCTTCGAATTTGAGTTCTTTTAATAAAGTGGGAATTTTTCTTGATGCGTTTTGGCAGATTTTGATGAATTTTATTGGCAGTGTGAGTGTGTGACCCTGCAGGTAAATCTTCATTTTTATTTTATTTTACTTTTTGGTTTTTATCAAAGAATCAAGTAAATTTGCAAGCTACCTGTTGTGTTGTTTGAAAATAATCTTTCCAGATAAAGTGAATAAACATTCATGTTCTTGATTACCTACTCTCTCCCCAATCTTTTTGATAATGGTTTACTCTTTGTTCTTTATTAAAAGTGCGTTACTTGTCATTTAATTAATTTCTCAAAGTGCTTTATTAGTAGTTTTGTCTTTTCTTTTTGTAGTATAGCTTGTTAATTGATTGTGTAAAAAATATATAGCATTCTCATTGTATTAAGAATACATCATTTTTTTAACTAGTGTTAAAGATTAGAGATTGTGTAGTGTTTTATTTCTAGAAATTATGTTTTGCTTATGTTTATCAGTTTATTTGTTTGCTGGAAAAATTTATATTTACCTGTTTAGTTTTTTTTTTTTTTTTTTTTTTTGGGGGGGGGGGGGGGGGGGTTTCAATTATGGAAAAATTCTTTAAAAGAAAATCAACTTTTGTATTTGAACCTTGTATTTGAACATTTTTTAATTCATTTTACCTTTGCACAGCTTCTTCGCCCCCACTCAAAGGAAATTCTGGCTCCGTCCCTGCATTTTTCCTTGTTTCATATGTGTGTTATGGTTGCTGTCGTGGTTATGATTCACATATAAGCCCAAAACAGAACGGGCTGAAGGTCAAATAGCCTGCTAATAATGGGCTAAAATTGCTAATAAGATTATAATAAATCCCTGCCGCTGCAGCGCTGCTCTGCCTGCTTGGCCGGCGGCTGCTGCTCCCTTTTTGATCCTCAATCCAAATGGCGGGAACCTTGATTCACAGAGCCACTCTCGACGCGGAGAACCCACTCGAAGCATCGCTAAGGGAATCTTTCAACCTTCACGAACCACATCTACGGCCGCCCTTTTCTCTCAGAACTTTCACTCCAGACCAGTACTCAAGCCTCAACGACGCCATTCTTTTCGGCATTCTACGGGAACCCCATTTTGCGAAAACCCACATCAAGCACCTCCATGCTATCACCACTGATGGGTATTGCTACTTCACCTCTATGATTACCAGAATCGTGGATGAATTGTATGGAAAGTTTATTGATTCTGCAAAAATTCAGCTGATTTGGTTGACAAATGAGATGATTAATGTGTTAGCTGTAGGGTTTGATAGGCTGTTAGTGGCTCTTCTAAGGCAAATTGTAGGGGGAGATTTCAGTGAAGGTAATTTATGGCTGTGTTCTGAGATGGTTAGTGTTTTTCTTAACAAATGGGACTGTATACTAGAAGAAGAACCCTTGATTTTGACTTATGGTTTGTATGTGTTTCTTAGGGTATTGGCTGATCATAGCAGGTTATGTAGTGATCCAAGGCTAGATGTGTTGAAGAGATTGGAGATAGAGTTTTGTGTTAGGGTTTTGAGGGAACAATTTGCTTTGTGTTTGAAGATAGGGAGGGATCTCATTAGGCTTTTACAAGATTTGGTCCATATAGTCGAGTTTAAGTCCATATGGAAAGACTTGTTGTTGAATCCAGGGCAGTTCAAAGTGGATGGTTTTGAGGGTGTATTGCAAATCTATCGTTTAAGGACACCAAATTTGTATTTTTCGCTTAGAATCACGCCTGAAATGGAGAGGAAGTTGAGATATTTGGTTATGAATGTGAAGTTTGGGAATCAGAGGAGGTACCAGGTGTGGTTTGCAAAAAAGTTTTTGTTTTTGTCTGAGAGGGAGACTCTTTTGGTAGACGCTGTGAGGTATATCTGCTCTATGCGCCACCCCTCGGGTGAAGTTATAGAACCCGAGGCAATTCCGAGATGGGCTGTGATTGGTTGGTTGTTGAAGTGTTGCAGGAAAAGCTATATTGAAGCGAACTTGAAGCTGGCTTTGTTTTATGATTGGCTGTTTTTTGATGAGAAGGAGGATAATGTAACGAGCATTGAACCTGCAATTTTGTTGATGGTGAACTCTATTCCAAAGTATGTTGATGTGACCAACACCCTTCTTGAGTTTCTCTTGATTTTGGTTGACAATTATGATGTTGATAGGAAGGATCTCATCATCAACGGGGTAGTAAATTCTATTCGTGTTCTTGTTAGTAAAGGTGTTATTGGCTCACTTGATGTCTTGACTCACTGCGATCTGCTGTCTCCCTTGCTCAGAGAAATGCTCGGGAAATTGTTACTACTCACCCAAACTACCCATTCCGAAGACTTGCAATGAACTTGTCTTCCCGACAATATTTAGACCTCAATACACATAACTGCCGACCAGTTTCAGCCATGCTAGACATGTTTGAATATGGTGAAAATTGAACTGAAGTGGGGAATAGGTAGACTGGAATTGGCTTCAAAAAGCTATTTTGGCTAACTGTATAGATATAACAAGCAAAGAAGCAAGGGAGCTTGGCATCGATGGATAGTGAGCAACAAGAGGGCATGCTTGAATAAGTTTACAGAATCAACAAGTGTTTATGAAATCACCCTGCAATCAAGAATCCCTGAAAAGAAACAGATATGCTTCACAGACACAAAGGTATAAGAATCAAATACCAAAACTCATAAAAGGCAAGGAATGCATATGTTTATGATTTGTTGTTTTTCCTGTTTTCTTTTCATACTACACCTACAGGGTTACCACTCAACATCATGTTATGAAGAGTGATGAATTTGATGTGTCAATACAGTTTCAGTCTACCTATATGGTTTTGAAAGAGAGTTGAAATTGCAGATTCGCAAGATACGTAGAAAATAATAGTGAATTGCAGTTGTGATGATATGTCGATAAGTTTCATGCTGTGCTCATCAATTTAACTTTTAACATAAATACAGGTTCCATAGAAAGGCCTTGGGAAGGAGCCTGTTATTGTTCTCATTGATAGAGTTTTTATTCTTGCTCATCCTGCTATTGTTGGTAGGTCTCTTAAGGTAGGAGGATTCTACTTTTTTCTTGTTGAATTGGGTACTCTTCAATGATATATGCTCAATCCACAGCAGATTGACAATTGTGTTTACTTGTAGGAAGAGGACCAGGAGAAACTCTTTGAGGCCAAACTACAACAAATCGAGGTAAAATTGTTTCTATCTTTTATTCTGCAAACTATTCCGTACTAAATATTTGCTTTGAACTCTTTTTGTCAATGGTCATTTCCTACATGAGAAAAAAAATAATTATAATTTTAAAATGAAAAACTGCCCTAGAACTTTGCGTGTTCTTTCGTCGAACTATTTCGTCATAGGAAATTTATTGTTGAAATTAATGGATTATTGGTATGGAATAGGTGAGTTGCTGAGTTTGTTTACGTAATAAATTTCCCAGCACCTTTGAAAGAATATGAATGTTTTGAGTCCTTAAATATGCTTAAGTGTTGCTTTTTGACACTTTTTTCCAAAATCTAGTTTTATAGTTTCCTGGATGGGTGGTATAGTATGTTTGGTTGCTAGTTAGTTTGTCATTGCTGTTGCAAAATATAAGGCATATGTAGAAGTATCTCATTTAAGACCAATGATTCCAGTTTCAGAGAGACCTAGTTTATGGTGGCGTTATGCTGCCCAAGCTGGATTGCAGCAGAATAAAATGTGGTAAGGCATTGGAATATAGTGATTGAACATTTTCTAAAATGTGGTAACGATAACTTTCTCCTCAAGAAGGCAACCTTTCACCATGCTTAGGTGTAATCAATTGCTTTTTTATGTTGTCTAATATTTTACTGCCACATCAGGCGAGCTTCTTCTGAAGATGTCCCAGCTGGGGAGACTTCCGAGGAATCAAAATCTGTCGAGGATAGATTGACCAAGGAGGAATGGCAATCTATCAATAAATTGCTCAGTTACCAGCCAGATGAGAATGTGACACTGCAACATGGAAAGGAGATGCGAAATACGATAAACTATTTGATCGATGTTTCTATTGGTAGGGCAGCGGCAATGATTATCAATGTTGATCAGACAGAAATTCTTTGTGGCAGATTTGAACATCTTAATGTGTCGAGTAACTTAAAGCATCGAACCATACACTGTGACGTCTCATTAAAGTTTTATGGACTGTCTGCTCCTGAGGGTTCGCTTGCTCAGGTTTTTTTTTTCCTCAGCACTCATGCTTGTAATTTGTATACTGTTCTTTGTTTATGACAAAACAACTGTTCAATCCATTTTCTGTTGTGTTATATATCAACTGGTTTGTGTTATTGCCAGATGACACCACTTTTTGATGTCACAATCACAAATCTCAAACTTGCAATACATGGAAGCAATGAATGCTGTGTACTCATTTCTTCAATAGCTGCATCAACTTTCAACACGCATCTACAGGCATGGGAGCCACTTGTAGAGACATTTGATGGAATTGTAATTGTGATGATATGGCAGTAGGACTCACTTTCGAAAAACAGAGTTTTCCAAAGATGTAGATAGCCGAATAGTAGTGAATTGTAGTTGTGATGATATGAGAGTATGACTCACTTTCAAAAGAGAGCGTTCCGAGGACGTAGATGTTGAATAGTAGTGAATTGCAGTTGTGATGATATGTCGATAGAACTCTCTTTTAAAAGAGAGAGCGATCCAAGGATGTAGATAGTCGAATAGTAGTGAATTGCAGTTGTGAGGATATGGCAGAGTACGACTCAATTTCAAAAGAGAGAGCGTTCTGAGGATGTAGATAACCGCGCTATTTTTACCTCCCTAATTAGGAGGCCACTTGTCAGCTAGAGTGGTTCTCTAATTACCTTTGGAGGCATCTATTTGGAAGAATGTGTGGAAGACAAGAGGATGGGTTGTAACAAGAAACTGAATCATACAAGCTTCTCATGATTGATGATGTAGTTCAACATGGTGGTACCCAAATGAATCATCATACAAAGTGAAAGTAGATGTCCAATAATTGATCTTATCCCCACGTCTACTTCTTTCATGACAGAAATGTTATGTTTATCTTTGTTGTTTATACAAATCTATCACCTAAAACTATTAGTGGGTTAAAATATTTGGATAGTGATGTGTTTGATTATGTGATTGGTTTTTTTTTTTTTTTTTTTTTTTTTTGCATTATATTTCAAGAGCATAAACTTTTGACTTACGTAGGAGATTATGGGGGTGTTTGGTAAATAGCTGGTAGCTAATGTGGAGTAGTTGTTAGTTGATTGGGTTAGTGAGTTTGATTAGTTGATAACATTAGCTGATTGTAGAAAAATGTTTGGTAAATTAGCTGCTTTGAATTGCTTAATAATAATTATTAGTATTAGTATAATTTTGCATCCTCAACAAATTGGATCAAGGCTTAAACCCAAGTGAATTGGTCAGTCAATTAGTTTGGTTATTATAAAGTTCTAAGTTCAAAAGTTGCAATCGTTATATCGAGCACCAGGGCGCACATAGCATTGTGCGCTCCGCGCTTCTCAAAACGACGTCGTTTTGTTAAGTTGTTAAAAAAAAAATCCCTGTTTCGAATGCACATAAACTCATAACAGAATACACATAATCTAACATAATACATAATACACATAAACTCATAACACAATACACATAAATTTTTAACTGAATACACATATTGAGTTTGGTTAACATAATATACATAAACTCTTAACTGAATACACATAAACTCATAACACAATACACATAAAATTTTAATTGAATACACATAATGAGTTTGGTTAACATAATATACATAAACTCTTAACTAAATGCAAATAAACTCATAACACAATACACATAAAATTTTAATTGAATACACATAATGAGGTTTGGTCTGTTCGGATGGATGGAGTGATGTCAGTATGACGTCAGCATGAAACACGCGCGTTTTGTGCCTGGGCGCACATCGCTATGTGCACCGTGGTGCACGATATAAATTGCCCAAAAGTTGCATATTGGTATTCTTGGCTTGAGTTAGTCTTCTACAGTCACATGTTTACCTCTTGTGATTCTTTGTCAACTAGATTATAAAGCGGACTTCACCTAAAACACACGTTCTAGTAGCGAATGCGGACTTTATTTTAAAAAAAAAAAATTGGATCAAAATATACACAAAGATCGCTCCAAAACCAAAACTTTTAGAATTAATATTCCAACAAAATCTCTTCATTAAAATTAAAGCTCATGACAATAATGGATTTCATTTTCACCTAAGTAGGTCATCCTATTAATCCTTTAAATGCTTGTACTTTAGGGAAGAGACATTAGTTTAAGATTGATTTTTTTGGACAGTGATTAGGTGGCCAAATTATTTGCTGAACAAATTTCCTTGGACAGACACATAATACACTAATATATATTAATTAGCTTTTAGTTATATATATGTCATAGCTTTCATTTTTGTGATTGGATAAATGTTGGGTCCCACACACTGGGCCCCATCTATTATTATATTTCTTTCCCAAAACTTCATCCATATATATGATAATGCTTCTACAGAGCAGTACATATCTCAGTACCTTGCCATGAGAATGCATCAATTTTGGGTGCAAAATTGACATCTACTTTATGGACAATGATTTGAGGTCAACACATATTTGTTATTGTGCAATTTTTTAGTTTGATTCTTCTTGCAAACCCTATGGGTAATCTATCATGCATCTTTAAAATTGTTATGTAATAATCAAGTAAATCATATTACAGAAATATATAATCTTTTATATATATGTTTTTACTTGAGCGTTGAACTTTTCGACCCTGAAACTTAAAAAAAAAAAAAAAAAATGTAAATCCAAGATTTTGGAGTCTTTAAACTCAATACATTGCTTTCATAATCTGTGAAATTTGAGTAAATACCGACGAAGGTCCTCTGACTTTGGTGACACTGTCACTTTTAGTCCTCAACTTTTAAATCAATCACTTTTAGTCCTCTTACTTTTTGTTTCTAGTCATCTATGGTCCTTTCGTTAAACTTGACCATCTAATGCCGTTTTCTAAAAGATAATTCAGTCCTTTCATAATTAATTTATTAATTATTATGTTTAATTTCCTCATCAGAATAGTCAAACAATGGTTTCCCAGCTATGAACGTATACAAAACCAGCTCGTGAATCAAAATGACGTACAAAAGCTGGTACGAAGGTTGTGCCAAAACGACGTCGGGATATCTCAGTATGACTCGGCAAACATAATAATTAATAAATTAATTATGAAAGGACTGAATTATCCTCGAGAAAACGGCATTAGATGGTCAAGTTTAACGGAAGGACTACAGATGGCTAGAAACAAAAGGTAAGAGGACTAAGAGTGGTTGATTTAAAAGTTGAGGACTAAAAGTGGCAATGCCACCAAAGTCAGAGGACCTCCGCTGGTATTTACTCGTGAAATTTCTAAGAGTCAATCATTCGATGTTGAAGTTGTATTAACTAGTAGCTTAATTGCTTACCAATTAATTGTTCAAAGCTGCGGGATTGATGTTTCGACATTTAAGTATCGTTCAACAAAATCAACAGAGGAAAAAGTCTTTTTTCTTTTTCATTTTAATGAAGTGAGGCTTAGCCTCTCTTTCCTTACCCAAAAAAAATGTGAGGATATGTGTGCAGTGTGTGTATAAAACCATTTATAAACTAGATGGAAGAGTTCAACATTTAGGATTAGAATTATTATAGTATACTAAAGACTCAATTAAGTATACAACATTTGGCTATAGCCAAAGAAAGGAAGACTCGATAATCTCTATTATTGTAGCATATGTAAGTCCATCTATAAATGTTTACAAAATTCATTAACATTTTAAACCGTCCGTACCCCATTAAGCTTATGCATTATAACAATTGTTGTCTCAATTCAAATAGATGAATTATATATATTTGGTAAAATATACACTAAAATAAAACACTCTTACATGGCATTTGGTTGAAGGGAATTTAAATTCTCTTCCCACTTAATTTCAAAGGCCACAAAATTCTCTTGTTTGGTTGAAAGGAATTGCAATTCTCCCATTTTCATGGAATTAAAATCCCATGCTCCCCTGGTATTTTAATTCTTGGAATTTTAGGAAGAAAAAAAGATAGTGATGAGTCAAAATTACCTCTCCCTTTTGTAACTTAAAATTAATGCCTAACAACAACAATGAACATTTTGAACTTTTATACTACTTATTTCCTTTCAATTCCCATGTATACCAAACATTGGAATTGAAATTCCCAGTAATTCTATTCCCGTAAATCAAACACTGGAATTTAAATTCCCACTTTATTCCCAGTAATTCATCTCCCATGGAATTGCAATTATTTTCCCACGTAATTCCCCATCTCCAACCAAACAGCCTGTTAGGGAACAAATAAAACAGCGAACAAGTTAGTACAGTTGAGGTTGCTATCATGCATGAGTTGGGCCTAAGAGCATCTTCATCAGTGATTTTTGTTCAATTTTTTATGAAATCTTGGTTGAAGCGGAAGAGAGACAATAAAGAGAGAGAAGAATTGAGATTTCACTCTAAGAACTGGTTTTTTGTCTCTGAAGTGGGTCCCACCAAATATAAAAATTGATCGCGATTGGTCGCGTGAGGCGCAACAATAACTCCCAGTTGGGCGCGTGCAGTACATGCACCCACGCATTAAACTGTAATCTTTTTTTCTTTTTTTTTTTTGCTTTTCAAATTTTTGTTTTTGTTTTTTATCTTCCCTCGCATCTTCTCTTTCCTAGTTATACCTGGGGTTATACCTGCAAAAACTCCTTGAAAATTATGCCTATTGGGTCAATCCCGAGGACTCTTTAGATAAGAAGGGTTGGGGTGTGATTTGGATTGGAACCATCAATGCTATTTGAAAGCTTTGCATTTTGGTGGGTTAACCCTTCCTTTGGTTCCAAAAGAGGAGACCAAACACTAGACTTTATGGAATTTAAAAACAACAATTGGTCAGAAATGCAATGTTTAATTATAATCCCTTCAAAGTTGCTTACCAAAACCAACGTACGTTATCTAAGTCCACAAAATAGTTTCCATCGCCTAGCGTTTCAACTTGGTACATAAGACCAATTGACCAACATAAAAACAAAACAAAAAAAAAAAGAATAACTTCGAAAAAGGATGATCGAGTGGGTAAAACATAATTATCGTATTTAATGGTTACAAGTTTCCTTCTTGCCAAGGGTCTTAGCTTCAAAATGCAATATAATTTATCTCTTTGGCTCTCCTATGTGGTGGTTTGCAGGCTGTTACACGTGGGCAGGGTTTACCTCTGATGTGTTGGTTTGTGGAAGACCTTACCTAAATCTCTTTAACATGGTTCGCACAATAAATCACAATATGCTCAATGAATTGAAAGTACACTTTACAAGTATCATATATAATTCCAGTTATAAATATTACAAATATTTATTAGAGTAATCTTAGAGACCCTCAATATTTTTCTCCTCCGATCAATCCCTCGTGATGTGGCATCATCTAATTGGTAACTAAATTCTATTTTTAATTAGTGACGGGATCGACCAATTCATGGCATCAATTAATGGAAGTCACGTCATAATGAAAAATAATGGAGGTGAAATTTAGGAGGGGAAGAAAGCGTTTTCTTATTTATTATTAGTAATAATCAATTTTACTTTAAATAGTATCACAATTTCATATATAAGTATTACAATATCTGTTGTAAGAGACGAATTATTTTTACTTCAAATTGATATCACATTTTCTACGATAAGTATTACAATTTCTTTCATAAGTAAACATTTCAAATATAAATATTACAATATTTATGTTAAAATTACACTTTGTAAGTATCATAATTTTAATTATAAATATTATAATATTTATCATTAGTAACAATAATTAATTTATCCTAGACTAGATATATCCCACCAGTGCCATGTCTAGAAGGGAGCACAATCATTATGGAACCATTGAATTTTCATATATATTTGTGTGTGACAATTATGCAATGATCATCAATATAATTAACGTCTTGTTTGGTAATATAATTAGTTTATTGATTGGTTAATTTTAACTTATTTAATCACGATTAACTATTTGACTTGGTTAAACAATCAATGTTTAATTAATTAATTTTTTGTAACATCTTATCTTATTACTCCAAAATGCTAAATTTGAGCAGCTTTCTCGATCAACTTTGTGAGAAAGTCATTTTGCCCGTAATCAGCTAACAATTAATTTACCAAACACTTTTCTATAATCAATTAATTAACTAAACTCACTAACTCAATCTGCTAACAATTATTTATTAAAGACCCCTAAAATAAAATGAATGAATGAATGAATGAATTTTGTTAAAAAAGAAGTACAGTTAGTTAGTTTACCTTATCCTCTAAGGATATTTCCATGAATTTTGTCATCGATCTCTTACTTTATACTTTTGCACTACAACTTTACAGAAGTTTCTTGAAGCTTTCGTTCATGCAGCATAAATAACTTTAAATTTAAACAGACTGTTAAAAAAAGAAAAAACTATAGCCTATGGGCCACAAAAACAACCAAAAACATTGTTACACAAAAGACACCATAAAAATCAGTAAGGAATTAAGAATTCCAAAAAATCTAGACTGGTTTCACTGTTGAAACATCATTAAAAAAAGGAAAATTAAAAGACCACAGTGAGAGAAGACGTACGACAAGAAGAAGAAACCATGCAGGCCGGTTCAAGGCGGCAACTACCATACATTATCATTCTTTGCCGGCTAACGAACTTCTTTCTCGTTTTCCAGCACGCACTCTCTTCCAAACCCCAATATCACATCCCATCCATCTGTAAAGTTGGCATTCAATCCCTTCCACTACCATAAATAATGTTAAAATATAACGAAAAATGACTGACTGAGTGGGTGGAACATGATTTTCGTATTGGACAGTCATGAGTTTGATGCTGGCTAACACTCCCATAGTTGAGTCTGTCGCACATGGTTTTTCTAATGTGGTTTTATGGTTTACCTCTCCTGTCGTCACCCTATTACACAAGAACAGGCGAATTGAAGCTATGTGGTTTGCCAGAATTTTCCTGGTCACCCTATTAGACAAAAGCGGGGTGGGGTAATGCACACCTCTCGTCACCCTACTACACAGCTCCGATAGTGGATGCGCTATCTGATCTATTTCATTTTATCTGTCTAGTTTCGAAAAAAGTATTAATTATATTTAAACTAAATGTTCGTCATTAATACTCTTATTGTTACATGAATCTCTACCTATAGAAGAAATCGACAAGTTTAGTATTTCAATTGTGATGGTTCAATATTAGAAATTCGTCAAATAGTAACTAACAAAAAAATGGACAATAAATAGCGAGCTTTCTAACTTTTTTTCGGAAATTATGGAAGGCCTAGGACGATGATCAGAAAAGTTAAAAATTCAATAGTTTTGATCAATTATATTATTTTTGGTTGGTCACTAAATGGTGAAATTTTAGTGGTGATAATGTTAGTCGAGGGTGGCTTAAAAGACCAAGTCCAGCAATATGTGTCACCGAAATGTGATGCTAACGGTTATATAACATAAATAAAATTGCATCTTATCCACTAGCTATACTTTTTAAGCAAAATTTGGTTTCTAAGTTTCTTTTAGCAAAATCCTATGCTAGAATCAAATATGTCATTTCACTACAAATCTCAAGATTAAATCTATACCATTAATAATTGACAGACTAACTTTATATTATTGTTACAACTAAGAAATTGATCAACTAAAGTTGCCATTTTTCCTAGAAGATAATATGGGACACACACACACACACACACACACACATATATATATATATATATATATATATATAATTCGATTTATATGAGAATTTGGACAAATCCAAATCATCGATCTATCTTATGGATAGGAAATCAAGTATATAAAAAAAAAAAAAAAAAAAAAAAAAGCACCAATCTATCATTTTTTTCTTTATTTTCAACCATTAGATCAGATCTACTCAGGGACGGAGCCAAGAATTCTGTTGAGGGGGAGAGAAGAAGTAGGGACGGATTCAAAAATATTTGTCGTAAAGGCGAAACATTAAAATAAAAGAGATCATTTTCTCGACTCTCACATAAAGTTCTTGCTTCGATAATTTAAAAATAAGAGGATTCAATCTGCAGGGGTCATGCAAATACATAGGCCGTTTACCGTGGGCACGAGAACTGGTACACCAGAGGTGCATTGCGCTCGAACAGTTGAGCGGCTGCCGGTCATCAACTTAAAATAAATAAATTACCTAAGAAATATATGAGCGGAAAAAATATTGTAAAACTATATATTGACACCAAAGGATTCAAACCCCCAACCTCTATTATTATAACCAAACACATACTCTATAGCCTTTAACAACTAATCTAACTCATTTCTTATTAATATTCAACAGTTTTTTATACAAATACTCAAACATGTACTATATATACATATATGCATACAAATATTATGTATGGGGTGGGGGTAGGGTGAGGGGGGCTGCTCCCCTGCCCCCCCCCCCTTTGGTTCAGTCCATGGATCTACTGGATCAATGGTTTGAATTTGTTCACGAATTTTGTCATTAGGCATGGTTCTCAAGGGATAATATAATATAATATATAAAAATTAATAAGGTTGGGATGTTGGTATTTCATCCCTTTAAAAGGGCACACCACTAGAAGACTCAGTCACTAATTGAACTAGTCCTTGTTTGCACTGCCAAAAGAAGATCATATCAATCAAAGAAGTGCTTAACTTGCTTTCATGGGGAAGCTATCGCAGCAAAAGAGTACAACAACTATCCATGCAACCACGACAGTTGGGGCAACTGCCACTTCAACTGTTCTCAAGCCCAAACGTACGAGGAAGACAGTCCCCAGAGACTCCCCTCCTCAACGCAGCTCCATCTACCGTGGCGTCACCAGGTACTTCAATTCTCATCATCTGTCGAGGAATTTAAGGTTATGTGGGGTTGTTTCAGACACAGATGTTGTTTGTTTAATTAACGTTGTTTGGATCTGGGTTTTTTTATTAGGCATCGGTGGACTGGGAGATATGAAGCTCATTTGTGGGATAAGAATTGCTGGAATGAATCACAGAACAAGAAAGGAAGACAAGGTTTGTTAGTTCATGTTCTATATATGTTCATAATCTCTTATTTGATCTTTCTTTTTTTCTTTTTAATGCAAAATTTCTGTTTATTGACTTCTTTTCTTTTTTTTGATGGGGATGATCTTATGGATTTGCAGTTTATCTTGGTAAGTTCAGAACCCTTCCAAAAAAACATTTCATAATCCATACTAAATGTCTCATCACCATTGGTCACTTCGTTTGAGCCGATCATATTTAGACAATTAGACTGGTTTATCTCTTTAGGATCATATCATTTACAGACTAAAAGTTACAAGACAGAGTCTACCTAGTACATACCGTGGGCCGGCTTATGCTATATTGTGATGTATTTATTTGCAGGTGCTTATGATGATGAAGAAGCAGCTGCACACGCTTATGACTTGGCTGCTCTCAAGTACTGGGGTCATGAAACCATTCTTAACTTTCCTGTAAGTACAACATATAACCATTAATATGCAATCCAACTATGAGCTTAAACTTTTAGTTGAGATGGAGCACATGGTTCAATTTGGTATCAGAGTCATGCCAAAGATCATGGATTATCCTCCTTTCCTCGGCATAGACAGCTCAATTGATTACATGGGTAAAGTTTGAAAACAATGACTCGAAATCGAGTCTCACCAGCCACAAGTGTGGAAGTAATCTCTCAAAGTGAGAGGGCTTCTTGTGCACAGTAAAAATTACCGATTTACATACTCTCAATTTCTCTGTCGGGCTTAAGCGTGGGAGGAGGCCCTTGGGTTGAGGATTCAACCTTGAGAACAATTAATTTACTTGATTATCGAGATTAAAACTCCATCTTGGGTGTACATATGTGTATGTATATGTATATGTTGATGAATATGTTAATGATGTTCATGTGACATATATGCATGTTTATCCATGATAGTTGGCAACGTACGAGAAAGAACTGAAGTTAATGGAGGGACAATCCAGAGAAGAATACATTGGATCCCTAAGAAGGTAAGTTTAATTTTATTATGAAATCTCGACTTTTCCGTTCACTTTTACTGGTCAACTATAAAATGAAAGAAAATTTAAAATTGTTAAGAATTTTCGGACCATTATTGATGGTGATCAGAAATTTCAAAATTATATAATAATAATGGTTGGCTTCATTTGAATCTGCAGGAAAAGCAGTGGATTTTCACGAGGAGTTTCCAAATACCGCGGCGTTGCAAGGTAATTCATTAATCAACCACAAAAAAATAAAAACGTGACTGATCGAGTGAGTGGAGTATATTATGTGTGTATAAGAAGTTTGTCCGTAAAAGGTTAACTCACTAGTTCAGTAGGTAGTATTTAGGAGAAGAGATCAAGGATCGAACCTCGCCAACGGCAGTGTGGAGATTATGTCCAAAGTGAACACCAGCTGTTGAGCTATGTGTTCGAATCTCTGCGTCACCCGATAAAAAAATAGACTATGGTCCACGTGTTTTTAATTGAGATGGAGCACACGCTTCAATTCCGACGCGGCATTGAGTCACCCTGATTTGTATATCCTTCCAAGTGTTTTGTCGGGTCGAGAATTCAACCTGTAAGGAGAAGAGTGGAGTATATTATTGTACTAAAATGTTACAAGTTTAATTTAATTTTTGTAAATACTCTCTCGGTCAAGCCTATTGCACAAATCTTCTTAATTAATGTGGGTTACTTTCAAACTATTACACATAAGAAGAGTTTACCAATGCACACTTTTAAATACTAAGTTGATGGCTACTAGTTTCCTCATTATTTTTCCGTCTTTTTTTTTTTTTTTTTTTTTTTTTTTTTTTTTGGGTATATATGGATGCAGGCATCACCATAATGGAAGATGGGAAGCCAGAATTGGTAGAGTTTTTGGCAACAAGTACCTTTATCTTGGGACCTATGGTATGTAATTATCATTGTTGCATTATTATAATTATTATTGTTATATATTAATGTATTTTTTTTTTTAAAATAAAAAGTAAATAATTTTTCATTCTTTTTTTTTTTGGTTCTTTATTTGAATTTATGTCATTGTCATCTTATTAGCATTTTGAGCAAGATATATAATTAATTTCACCCCACATAGAGTAGTTAAGATCAAATGATAATTAGTAGCCTTAATCTTCATGAGAAAGTGTAAATTAATTCCATCCGTCCATCTAAAATAATCAAGGACTGATTTTTTATTTAAAAGTTGTAATATTTCTTTAACTACAATGGTACGTTTGCGGAATTGCGGATAAATTGACCATGCACTCAGAATCTATAATAGTTCAGTTTAGTTATGTGTGCATCTACTATCAAACATTTTCAAATGCATCGGGTCCTAATTATGAAAATGTCAACGCCTTTTCACCTTTAAAAAAAAAAAAAATTCAGCCCTTAATCATCCTAGTTAGACATATGAAACCAATATGCACATTCTCAAGGGACCACTAGTTCGATCTTATGGGAGTTAGACCCTAGTCACCCTTCTTCTCCTAAAAGATTGAATCGCCAACACCAAGGGCCCCTCACACTCCGATCAGACCCTGGCTTAGTCACTGTATATATATATACATGATGATCGTTTTCGTCGGGGTGTGGGGAGCCCTTAGAGTTGGGGTTTAATTAACCTTTTGAAAGAATGATGATCATTTTCAAGGGAGAATACTATATAGTTTAAACATTTACATGCAACATTATAATAAAACAAACAAATACAAACAAAAACATGCAAGCCATGCACATGTTGGTGATTTAGGAGACGTACTAAATAAAATAAAAGTAGTCATTATCACACGGTTGGGAGAGTCCACCATCCCTAACTTTTATATAACATCAAAATCTGCCATTTGCCAACTTTTATTTTCCTTAATTATTAAATCCCAAAAATAAATAAATTAAAGTATGACCATTTTTTGTTTCAATTAATATATTTTTAAGAATGTAATTAATTAAATTTTTTTGTTGTAATAATTTAATTTGCAGCTACACAAGAAGAGGCTGCAGTTGCATACGACATGGCTGCCATAGAATATCGTGGTCTAAATGCTGTCACAAATTTTGACCTTAGCCGATACATCAAATGGCTCCGACCAAACAACAATAACAACACCAACAACGAGGTTAACCCTAGTATTGGAACCAACCTTGTATCTACTCAAAACCATAGTTTATGTTCAAATTCGAGCTCTAGCTTGAGTGGTAGCGGTCTTTACAATCACCACCAGCAACCGCTTTTGAGTAGGGATGAGCAAAAGAATCATACCGTGATAACAACCGAGGTGTCGTTGGCTCAATCTCAGCCCACCTCCACCACATCGGCATTAGGGTTATTGTTTCAATCCTCGAAGTTCAAGGAGATGATGGAGATGACCCTGGCAGCCGAGTGCTCGGCGCCAGCAGTCGTCGAGGCTAGCATTCCCCCACGACGCAGCTTTCCGGAGGACATAAAAACCTGCTTCGAGGATCAAGATTTTGCTAGCTATGGAGATGATATGACCACCTTTGACAACTTCAACTCACTCATGCAACCAATTCTTCAACTTGACTTTGACTTTTAGTAGAGTTAATCCAATTTGATGGTAAGAGATCATTCGTTGACATCAATTTACAATTTCGAAAAAAACATTATGAACACCATGGAGTAATAGTTATTAGTTACGGGTTTTTCATCACTAAAAAACTATTATATATAGAAAATTCTTACGTAGGAAGTGCTCACAATTATTAAATTGATTATCCATGCAACCTAATAAATGGAGTTCAATTTGATGAGAGACTCATAATACATTGGAGATTCTAAAGGTGCACTTCCTACCTAAGAATTATCTAAAGATTAATTACATTGTTTAGGGTAATTTGTTCTTTATTTTAATTGCTATTGTTATTCTTATTATTTTTGTAGATACAAAGTGTAATACTTTGGATGTCAGTGTTAGCGTTAACGCTATTTATTATTATATTAGTCATATCAATAAAATGTTACGCTTTGTCATTTACATAATTTATTATTTAGTTTCTAAAGTGTGTGTGTGTGTGTATATATATATATATATATATATATATATATATATATATATGCTACTTTTTCTTATGCATGTATCATCATTCTACATTTGTCATTGACATATATCTTAAATTGTCTGTCTCATTATTGTCACATAATGAATTATACTTATGATACATCAACACTATCATGTTTCCTTATAAAATAAAGTGTTTTAAATATTATAATTGAGAATCGAACTTAGATCACATAAATAATAAATTAAAAATTTGTCTTTTTTGAATATAATTAAAATTTTATCTATTCGCTACTAATATATCTATAATCTACTTTTTTTTTTGAAGGGTCTATAATCTACTTATTAATACTTCAACTTCCATGTAAAAATGTAGACATATATTGGTGTATCATATTGACAAATCAATGATCGTGATCTTACCATAATTAATTTAACCATGGGCAAACAATAAGTCATTAAATTTAGAATTAATCAAATAATTCTGTGTTTTTTTACTAAAATCCTCGAGCATTGATGAACTTTATGTGATGAGCAAGTATGCCAGATCATCATTTTGAACTCTCTCTCTCTCTCTCTCTCTCTATATATATATATATATATATATATATATATATATATATATTAACTAATTAATTAAATACCATAAGTATTTCTTAACTAAAAAAATATAGTAGTATATTTCTAAATATATTTTAGGAATGGGGAATAAGGGAGATTAGGATAGTGAATCATAATCTAATTCAAATACATAGAGTCCTAATAAGAATAAGCACAATACTTTCTAAATTATATTACTTGTATACGCGCGTATATCATCATTATTCATCATCCACGCAAAACTTTCCTTGAACAAATTTTTTTCCCCCTATTTATTGTAAATTTTCTCAACCCTACTGTGTTAAAACTAAAACTACAACTTTTGCAACCCTAGCTAGTTTGTTATATGGATACTATCCATGATGGTGGTAATAAGAGGGTCCATCCCCTTGTTAGTTGTGTGATACTCATTATATTTACAATATGTATTGGTTTTTTCATTGCAATTGTCATTGTATCATCAATATATCAACCCAAATATCCAAATTTTGCAGTCAATCAAATTTCTGTGATGAACGATAGCCTCTCGTCTCATTGCCCTGCAAATTGGAGTATGAACTTCACAATACACAACGACAACAAGTATTCTTCCTACTTTTATAAAGGTTTTGAGGTTCTGGCGTACTATGAAGGCGACGACGGAATCAATGATATTTTTGCAAGGGCGAAAATTCAACCTTTCAGTCAATGGTCTAAGAATAAGACACTGATTCGTGTGGGTTTTTTATCGCTAGTGACCATGAAAGATTATAAATTTAAGGCTTTCAGCGTCGAGTTTCGTGGAATAGCATATACACAGACTAATATTGCAAAATTTGTTCGGAGAATTGCACCGATTGATAAAGAATACCCTATACAGGGAAAGTGTGAAGATTTGATGTTTGGAGTGAAGGAAAGCATAGCTATAGATTCACCAAAAGAATGCTTCTACTGCTATTATTCTTATTATAAAGGACACAAGCCTTGTTGGTACTAATTTGTTATTATTTATTATTATTATTATATATATGTTCTAATGTCACAATATAAATACACACAATCTACGGTGCTTCGTTTTTGTTTTGTGTAAGACTTGCTTTATTATTTATTTTTTCTCTTTTTCATTATTCTCTCTCGGGCATCTCAAAAAACCTAAAAAAAAATATTACTATTATTGAAAATGCTATATGACACTGTTTGGTAAAATGACGGTTAGCTGATAGTTGATTGTGTTAATTAAAGTGTATAAATAGTTGATAACATTAGCTGATTGTAGAAAAGTGTTTGGTAAATTAATAACTGTTTGGTATAATTTTTTTTTTTTCAAAAAGCTAATTGAAAAAGTTACTTTTTGAATTTTAGTCTTTTGAAGTTACAAAAAACTAATTAATCAAACATTTATATTAATATTTTAACTAAATCAAACAATTAATAATGGTCAAATAAGTTAAAATTGACCTATAGGCCAATTTTTTACCAAAAACGTCTCATTACCACTACTCTAACGTTTTTTTTTTTTTTTTTTTTTGGTTTTGAGAAGACTACTCTAACGTTTTTAATTTCAGCGTTTTTCCAAATTTTAAAATTTGGATATTTGACAAAACTAAGAATATAAGGATTAAATTGAAAGAATATAAAAAATTGGAGGCCAAATTTGTTAATTTTTTTTTTTTGGCCAAATTTAATTTTTCCCGCCCAAACACAACTGAGCCATACCCCCACACGCTCAGCTCATCTCTCTTGTCTCTCTACTCAGTCACGAGTCGACACAGTTATCCCAGCTGTTTCTCTCACTATACTTTCTCTCTCTAAACCTTAACCCTAGCAATGCCCGATTTCGCGAATTTTCTGGAGCCACCGCCGCCGCCGCTTCCGCCGTCTCCGGCCGCCTTACCCCTCATTTCTCGCTCCATTATCGATTCAGTTGACCCGAATTCCAAGCCCCCCTTGAAATTGGGCAGCCGAGACTCTGACCCGCAGCTCAAGAGCGACTGCCCGAACCCGAAGCCTGATGTGCAATGCAATGAGTTGGATGCCGAATTGAATTACAAGTCCGACTCGACTATTGAGCACCAAGACTCCGACCTGAGCTCCGAACCGGAGCTCCGGGTTGTGCATAGAGAAGACGAAGTCAAATGTCAGAGTAACGGAGACAATAGGGTTAGGGTGTGCCAGAGAGATCTTAAGAGGTTTGCCACAGAAAATAAGAGTTTGGATGAGTTTGTTAAGGATTGGGTTAAGCGGAGTGTCAAAGCTGGTGTTCCTGAACACCGCTGTTTCTTGCCGTTCCTTTCTCAAGCTCCAAAATCGGTATAAGCTCCTTTTCTTTTTATTGTTTTTTTTTTTTTTTTTTTTTTTTTTTTTTCGAAATATTTCAAGCTGCCTGGTAATTATTCCGAACAATTGATTTTCCATGGAATTTTGTTGAGAAACGATTATTTTTGTGTTCTAATGTTAACTGTGGAGTTTCTATTGTTATGTGTGTGTGTGTGTGTGTTTACTGAGATTTTCCTTTTATAGCTTTTAAACTATTTCCTGTTGACATTAATCTGTTACAGGAAATAGTTTCCAACTTTTTGTTTTCCATTGGAAAATTAATTTTCAATTTATAAAGTAAACAGTTGTTTGAAACTATTTAAGTAGAATTATTTTGTTCATTTCTTAGGCAGAACCTATGGGAATGTTCTTTTGCTCTGATCACAGTTTATTCAGAGTTCAGAAATCAGACTTGAACTACTATTTAAATATTAAAATGATCTAACAAATCAAAATTGCATATTTTACTAGAGTTAAATATGCAAGCACTACATCTCATTTGAGGATGGAATGCTACCTGAGCACCTCCCGTATACATAAATACATGCCTAGAACTGCTCCAGGAAACACAATTTTACGTGGATTAGTGATAAAATGTGCAATTGGCATTAACGTATTTTTGTTTGTGCAGTGCATATATTAGTTCACTTTTTAATGTTTTCTGGTTCATTTCAGGTTGAGTGCCCTGTTTGCCAGAACTTAATTTTCCCTGGTGAAGACTTGTCATGCTCCGTTCGGGGTTGCCAGGTAGTTGTGCACCAGCTGTGTGCAATAGAAAGATTGGGTTTCTCTTCTACAAAACAATTCAAGTGCCCGCAGCATGTGAGTATCATTTCCCAAAGTTTAATCTAACCACCCAATTGATTGTGTGTTACAGTCTATAGTGTTTATTTCCCGTGGGCTCTCCATATGCCTTCTAGGCTAAATACATTTCATAGTTTGAGTAAGTATTAAACTGCCAATTGAAAACATTTCTTCTTCTCTTAGACTTGATATCCAGAAAATAACTGTTATTAACTTTATTTCTCATGCTTTTATATATTTTTGGAAGAATATTGTCTTGGAACAATTGAATTTGTATGGAGTGTTGCATGAAATTTCGGTTCTGTTAATACTCAATAAATCTCGACATCAATGTTGTTGACAGCTACTTTCTCTTTTTAAGTTTGAGGGTTCTTGATTCTAGTTTCTCTTGTTGCCTTACCTGGCCAGATCTTAATGCTTCTCACTTAATGAAAGTAGTATTTTTTGATGATAATAAATGCAACCAGTATATCTAATGGCATCTCTTCTTTGAACAGGTATGCTTTGCTTGTAACAAAATGAATCATATATGGCGATGCATTAAGTGTCTTATTGCATCACATGACAAATGTGCAGCATTTCCCGAGTATGTTGTCCATCTGCCTAGTCATCCCGGGCGGGTCATCTGTTGGAAACATCATGCAGATTGGCGTCTGGAGAAGGAGGTCATTTTCTTCCATTGTTCATCAGTGCAATTTATTGTTCTTGCAATGAAATCTGAACCTTCCTCTTATCAGTAATGACCATATGGCAGTTAGGTCCTTGAACTTGTGGGGATAAGGTGTCTTGTCATGTAACCTTGGGATCAGTAAAATCTATGGCTGTATGTGGAAAGAATA